CCTACTCATCGATGACTTCGATAATGCGCCCCAAATTTGTAATCTGCCTGTCCAATACACGTACTACAAAATACTACTATACTATGCTTACCAGATTAATTCTACCAACTTATTTAAATGACCTTTGACTTTCTCTCTTTAACAAGCATGTACAGACTATCTGTTGTTGTTGCTGTTTTTTTTATGTATACAGTTTATTCCTTTTAAGAAATTCCAACAAAACACAATTTTATTATTAAAACCAATTTTTCTATCCTTTGAATAATAACACGTGTTTTAATGGATGAATAAGTTTGAACATTATTTTTATAATTCAATAAGAACATTAAATGTTCTTCAAACAACTTTATTTAATTATCGTAGTTGTCTTGTAGCTTTCCTTTATTATGACGGTGTAAATACCTGTCTACTTACGTTATAAGTAGAATTGTCTAGTTGATTAACAGGCTAGTTATGCGTGATTCATGATATTGCAGCTAATTCATTGTCATTTGAAAAATGTCTTTACACATTTAGAATTATGTCACTATAGAAAACAACAAATGTATTGATTGATATAAATAGTTAAAAACTTATACAGTACAATATTCTCAAATCGAGCACTGTATAATGTTCTTTTAAAATAATGTATTCGTTAATATTTTTTGGTGTATTATATCTAACTGAACTTTACCTTTAATATATTTGAAAGATGTAGGTAATTTGGATATTATCTATGAAATAATACATTTCTTAATAGCAGTTTATATATTCAAAAAACTTAGATTGAAATTGGACGGAGATTATCTGTATGTTATCAACGAAATTTTCATTGCAGTCGTTGGATCTCTTAGATTACAAATTGTTCCACAGACTTTATTTATTAGTTCGATTGCGGAAGTCAAGTTTTTAACTTTTAAAATTATTTATTCCTTTTAGTTACAGTTAGGTATATATAGAAGTTATATATTTTTGGAAAGTACTTATTTATTTAATTTGATATCTATATATTGCTATATTTTTTCATATTTTGAAATATCGATATATAATATTTGTTTAAAACATATAGGTTATAGCGGAATAAAGAATCTCACAAACATACATATATACAATACCCTAAATACACTCCAAAATAAAATTATCTTATATGATGTTTCATAAAGGTATTTATTTACAACGGCATATTACCAAGGAGTCAAGTTGATTGCCGAGGATAGCGAACAGTGGAAATTATTCCAATACTTGGGAAAACAGCTAGTTCCTATATAAAATTACTAGCTGTTTTCTAGCTACTTCACCCGCGTAACATACAGCAGCCGCGTATGATCTAGCTTCTCTTAAGTAAAAGAAATTTCATAATCGGATCAGTTTTTCCGAAGATTACCCCGTACATAGAAACTTTACTCTTAGAATATTAGTATAGATTTATTAAAATTCAAAATACATTATTCAGTTTAATGAAATATGATATAAGAATAAAAAGAGGTGTTAAAATACATTGACATTTTAACAATAGACGCTCTCATATAAAGAGAAAGCTCAGACAACGCATCACAATGGGTATTTTTCGTATTTGTGTCTATCTGGACGTAATCTACTAGAAAAAAAAATTGCAAATTTTAAATAAATCTTACATCCGCAATACGCACTCACAAAAACTGGAAAGCCGTTTCATAGCAAGCTACTCTATTGTTCCACTTTAAATATACTGTTTCGCCTAGGACTTTGGCATAAAATTAATGCTTTTCGGACGAGCTTTTCATGCTTTTGCGCCCGATAAACATACTTTAGGTACACATCATCATGTCGCGCCTGTAGTGACTCCATCACATCATGACCTAGTTGCTCAAGGACGGTCAAGGCCTGACCGTGGAGGTCCAATGCTAATACAGTCCATGCTTGTTCCTTAGTTTTCAACCATTTGCCTTCATGACCATGTGAAACTGGATTTTATAAGCAAATCATGGTGATATTTACACATTAAATCCACCGGTTGCAGAATTTGGTATGAGGATCTTATATAATATGATTCGCTCTCATGCTGTACAAAAATGTATCTTTGATTGTTTACATAAACTTATTGATTTGATTATAGAGTAGCTCGTTGGTGTATAAGCTTCGCAGCCTGCTATTGTTGTTGTTAAGCAACTTTCGTAAGGGTCGGTCACGGTTTGGATGACCAATAAAGGGTCGATGTAAAAAGCTGATTATGATGATGATACACTCATTGAAATAAGTTTAGTAATTTTTATCTCATCAGAGAAAGGAAACCAAAGTTCTATGCCCTTGAATTTCAATTATAAAGAAGCGGCTTCTCAGTATCAGCGCACAACAAGGCTGTTTTGTGGGCTCTATACTCTAAAATATAGGCGAAATAAAAAAAAATTATTACGTAATTTGAAAATGTTGTAGAATAAAATTCTGCTCTATTGTCCTACTAATATTATAAAGGCGAAAGTTTGTAGGTTTTGTATAGCCTCTTCCTCAAGAAAGTTAAAATCCCCTATTTTTCGAATTGTTACTAAAAAGTAACATTTAATATGATTTACAGTGAGTAATTGTAATTATTTTATGCTTTTAAATTCAATTTACTCAATTTTTATTTGAGCGAAGATTAGACGGCTAAGTTTTTACATGACCGACTTCAAATAAGTTTCAATTTTTGATAATAAGAATTATGGTACAATTTTGAGTCTATTTATTTATAAAAATTAAATATTTTTATTATAGAGTTCCTTTCAAGTTTATTAGGGCGATGTCGTTCTCCCAGTTTCCTGTTACATATATTAAAACAAAACTACTGATCTAATTTTGTTAAATATTTAGTGAAATTATTTCGAGAATATACACTTTCAAACAAAAGTGTTACTTGAATATAAGAAAACAGCCAAGTTGGAAAACTTATTCTTGTTTTTTGAAGTTGGTTACAAATAAGCCATTGTAAATAATAAATACTAAAATAAAATAAATACCAATACTACGCAAATGAAGTTGCCCAAAAAGATGGTGTATAAAAATACCGAAATAGTATTAATATATGCCTTCATTAAACGTATACCTATTAAAAAAAATTAGCGCTCATTCCGTTTTGTAATGCGTGTCATAGTATCATTATTTCAAAATAACAGACTTGCTTATAAGGGTATAGTTAATCAATAGTGAAAGTTGTTTATTTTTCTGAAGCACGGGTAATAGAGATTAGGGAAATTTTAATTACGGGTAACAATAATATTTCAAAATTATAATTGTATTTTAAAGAAAAAGCTTTTGTTGGAATAGATATCTTGTATAGGCAAATCAAACGAGTCCATAATATTATAAAGAGATATGATTTGATTTTTTTGTGTGTTACTACTGGACCAATTTAAAAAATTCTTTCACCTAGGGGTAGCTACATCATACGGGATTGACATAGGCATGCTTATTCACCGGACAATATCTAGTAAATTATAAAATTTCCATGGCTACCTTTTAGTTTCCTTATCAGACTCTGGATATTATCTCCGGCCGAAGTCTTAGTCAAGACAAATCAAACGATCCCAAAATAGATGGGATTGCTTCGTTTAATTATATCGGTCCTCTGGCGAACTTCCGGCTCGTGTTTGAATGCAAAATTTCAGCTTCAATAGATGAACATAATGTCTAGTTTTCATAGTTTTCGCTTTTGCTGCATTTGACTTATCTCTGTTTTAGAGACAAGAAAATTTCGGAAGCTTTGAGACGCGGACATGTTCCTCCCTCTACATGCAATCCTTCAAACAAGAGAGTAATTAGCAATAGTCTTCGCATCACTCAGCTTCATTATTTTTGACGACCTCTGTAGCCCAGTGGTTGACGACAAAGGTGACGCCTACTATGAGGTCCCGGATTCGATTCCCAGTTGGGTCCATGTAGAAGGTGGACTTTTCTATATCGTCTTGGGTCTGGGTGTTGTGGTACCTTTGTTCTGCTTTGGCTTTGCAGGTGACTCTGATTTCATAGTTGGAAACTTTTTTAACATTGATTAGGATTTCCAATGTTTTTTCTCTACCTGTTTTTATTATTTATGACTTTTTAATTACGAATATCAGAATTTTATAAATTGTACTACTTTGTATGTGGTTTTGTTTTAATAATTGTAGCTACATTAATTCAATTATTTATTTACTAAATGAATGTTGATTAATAATATTTAACTGTTTGTGTGATTTGATATGCTATTCAACTGAATAATTTAGTTATATTTTCAATATTCATAAATGACCATTCACAAGATCAATTATATTCATAAATGACCATTGACGAGATCAACTCCTATAAAATAATTTTATTCAATCACTACCTATCAATATATACAATATACGGTAGAGTTTAAATTTCTGTTAAAATATAATGATGTACTTATCAAAACTATGTTACCTACTATTATTGATGATAGAGTAATATTGAAATAATGCGAGAAAATTAAAAATGAATACTCTAAGATAGAATAGGATTGATGATGACGATATAAAACCTGTGACAAAAATATCAACCTACTAAACACTAATAGAAATACTGAACTTTAGATGCATCCGTGGTATATTTGAATGATTTAAGTGGTATTTAATCATGATAGACAAAAAATATTACGGATTGTTTAGCTCTTGGAGTCTTACAGCAGCGAGAGACCTAATAAATTTGGCAATTTTTCAGTGCCAAATACATTAAAAATAAACAATGATTTCTTAATAAAAAAGATAAATAATAATTATTGAAAAACACAAAATTTTAATTTCTTTTAGCTATTGCAAATATCAGATAACAAACAACATTCACCGCTAGTCGGTGGAAGGGAATAAAGTGGGGGTATGCAGATGCAAGATCTGCTCTAGGAGTGCCATGAGGGCAACCCAAGACATCCTGTTCTCCCGAAACTGCAGGTGATATACAGCTGATGAGTTCGAAGGGTGTCGGCAGAGGTGCAACGCAGTGGGCGTGCGGGGCGGGCGGGGCGCAGATTGAGGCCACTATTTAACCGCAAGTCAGCCGCGCAACGACCTGTTGTGATCCCGTCATGGCGCGCTACGCCCGTGTCGCTACTCTGGCCGCGTGCCTCTTGTTCGCCTGCGGTGAGTCCTAACCTTTATCTTACGTCTCCAAAGGCGGTCCATCTCGCGACGTCATGAGTGACGTGATGTCACCTCCATACATCTGCAAATTATTCAGTGATTGCGACAACATAGAGTGTAGCACTAAAGTGAACAGTGAAGTTATCTGAAGCTCGATCGTCGCGAGATAGGCCGTCTCTGCAAACTTAACAAATGAATGCAGTCGAGCATGATCGCCTTGCATCGATTCGGACTTAAGGATATCAACACGGCGCGCGACTCGAACGTTTCAAGGATACCTACTGACAAACGATGTGTTAAATTGGCAAGTATCGAGCCTCACATAAGTGCCGGTGAAGTGATCATTCCTATACAACAACTCTTCATTATTTCGGTGGTGGAAGAGGAAACAATTTGTGTTGCGAAACTATGTAACAGATACCGTAACTAATAAGGAGAATTTGTGTAACGTTCCACGGCACATATATTTAAGGCACGATATTTGTCAGTTTTGTTGCATTTTTAAACATTCTATATTATAATTAGAAGGGGAAACAACTACATAAAAGGATTTAAACTTGATCGAGCTTTTGTACGATACATGTCAAATATTTTGTTTGTTACTCGAGGACACAAAAAAACTAAATGAGTATTTGATTTAGCACCTGTTGTGGTTGCGCTGCGCCTTATGTTGGGAGAACTTTCACATTAGTGCTGTGCCGGTGACGTCACGGCTCCGCGGACGGAAGGCGCCGCGGCGCGTACTCAGTCAGCCTTTATACTTGCAGACTTGCCCCTAAAAATAACACTTCAAATCAAATTTTATAATTACCATGGCACTAATTATCCCTTATAATGAAAAAAATCAATCGCGATTTATCAAATTGTATTGTTTATTCAATCAGATTTCTCTTACTACATTCGTTTCTATCATTTTATGACCAAGTAAGCTTTCATTACAACATAAAAATTATAACTACCCTTGACAAGCAAAACTATTTTTAATTTATAATATCAATTTTTATTTGGTGGATCATAGAATTTTGTACACTACTAAATCATAATTTGTTAGACATCAAATAATGGTAATGTCTTCCAAAATTAGTAATAAATAATTGGTCCGGATCTAGTTCTTCATAACTCTATTACAAGCAAGATGTTGCACAAAATGCGTTACACGGTGTAAGTTACGTGTCGGCCAAGTCTAGCCACTTTTATTTCTTTTGCTTCGCTTACGTTAGTACACACGTACGTACATATATAGGTATTGTTGTTTAATCGATTCAATGTAGAAAGTCAACCCTCATTGAACAGTGTTCTGTTAATATTTTTTTGTTTATTTTCTATTTGTTTCTTTTTAAAAAGAAGTTTAATTTATCTTAAGTTAGAAATCACACGCTGACAATATGATTTCAGCTTATGATAATCTTCTAACTAAATTTCAAGTACTAAGAAATATGTATCTCTCTAGCAATCAAGTTTTATATTGTATGATATCTAAACAACTTTGAACCTTCTTCTTCTTCACCTTTATCATTTTTCTTTGCTTCACTGTAAACTATACTGTGAGTTGTTACAGTCCGAAACTTATTGATACACGATAGACTTCCTAAAGAAATTTTCAGACTTAACTATATTTATTTGATATAGATGCAGAACTAGGACACAACTTATTAATATGAGACAATTTTCTTTTACCGGGATATACCTAAACGCTTTTATTTTATTATACATATACAATAGCAGTGGGTGACTTACCTTTGTGCTCGAATTCAAAAATTAATAACAATTTTTTTTTATATCCGCCTTATATCCGGATTTAGTAGGATGATTTAAGTACCACCTGGAACTTATTTTAAGATACCAGGTCCCGGACTATGCGCGAGGGTGGTACGGGGGGTTTTGCACGGTAGGCCTGCTGTAGATAGGGGGTTCTTTAACCCTCCACAGCAGGAGAGCCCGGGTTCAGTCGGCCTTTCGTCCAGGTCGACGGCATGTTAAGTTCAGTTCCCCTCGGTATAAAAAATTATAGAAATTATATATAAAATATGATTTAAGTAGCAACCTTTTTATAGAAACCTTTTTTCTACTTTATATACATAGCAGTTAGTAGGTTAGAACAAAAGACAAAAACATGTCTATGACTTACAGCGACACATACAATATTAAACGTTGTATTCTTTTCCTGTTTACAAATATTTTAACTAAAATGTTTTTGATAGCTATAGTTTCTAAAGAGACAAATCCTTACAAAAATTTAAATCATTTGATAATTTAAAAAAATATTGACATAGTCTAGCTAGCAATTTTCAAGTTATTCGCTTATAAACTAGAAAATGTTACAGATGTGATATTTGTATTCACAATGCTATAATGAAAAATAATCTTAATGAAAAATGTTTAAATTTCATCTTTATCGAACATTTAAAATATTTGTACAAATATTTGTTTCGGTCGTTTGCGTGGATTTTCTGAACAGTGACGAAAATACGCTCTGTAGTAGTGAAAAAGTAACAAGTGCTTAAAAATTCGACAGTCCTGTTAGGTCCTGGGTAGCTCAGTGGTTAGAGCAGTCGCCCGGATTGCGAAAGGTCGTGGGGTCGAATCATAGATAGCTAGCTAGCTTTTTTTCTGCACCTTCGCTCGCATAAATTATAGCCTATGTCACCCGCATATGATGTAGCTTTCCTGGGTAAAAAATTTGACGCTAGGATTAATAATTAGTATTTCCAAAGATTACCCCCTTGAAACAAAGTTAGCAACTTTATCTTTTTATAATATTGTTATAGTTATAAAGTGTACACATAGAATATTTTTTTTTATGTTCAGAATATGTTGGTTTACTATGACCTTGGTCCCTAATGGAAATTCTTTTGTCTTGCGTGATATTTTTATTTTTATTAATTTTAAAGAATTTCAGTTTTTCTATTAATTATTCGTAATGAAATTCTTCGCAAATTGCAAAGCTTGAAGATACGGTATTATTATATTATTTAAATAGCTATTGATAGATGAGCAAACAACGTAAAACGAAATATTGTTAATAGAATAACTTTATTTGTTTCAGTATTGTATTCTTATATTTCCACAAGTGCTATTCTGTTAAAAATACAGCATCCAACGCTTCGTCTAGCACAGTGCTGTCGAAGAATTAGAGGTTCAATCGAATATTTTTTTTTCGAAGGAGTGACAGCGCTCTGTGTTGACGTTTCGTTTGAGGCTACATTTGTACATAATTGCAAAGCTGTAATCTAAATTGCCAATTTAGAGCTTTATTACATTTTATTATTCATGCAAACCGGTAATCTCCTATTTTTGCAACACTGATTACTTATCATTAATTAATGCAGATTTCTCACATTCCGTTACGAATTGTGTCACTTCGAAAACTGGTATACTTAGTTATGGTGACATTTTCGACGAAGAATTTCGTTTTTTTCGTTTTCTATTACTTTGACGGATTGCGCTTTTACGCGTTGAGTTGGAAAGTTTAAACAGTCTCTAGGTCAAGCCATTAAGAAATAATATCAATAGTCGATTTTTATAGTATAACGATTGTGTTAATTCCTAAATATTGACAATGACTTAGAACAAGAGAGACTTTAAAAGTAAAAACTTCAGAATATGTTATTAATATGTTGTTCATTAACATTTTCAATATAAAGAAATTGATTATCTACTACTACTACTATAGCCCCGACTGGAAATAAAACCCTCAGAAATGAGAATTAATATTTGGCGTACGTGCTGATGATGGTGAAGAAAACAGATGTTTAGCCCGTTTTTACGCTTAGAAATCAATTGTATAATGACAGTTCGATAATCGCACGTTTAAAATAGATCTCTTTTCTCATTAAGTTTTAATATAAATTCTTAGAAGAGACTGTAGTAAGGACCTTCCAAAAATAATAACCTCTTCTCAGCGATGAAGAAATTAAGGCATACTATATATAATAATAAGTATTACATATTGAGTCTACAACTTTTAGTGTGATATTAAAGTGACCAATAGCGAATCTGATGAAAAAATATCTGATCAAAACTGTTTTGAGCTAATTTTATTACTACTTTGCGTTAAATTATAATAATTATGCTATAACAGGTATGCAAATGTCTTACAGGCTGTGCTATAACAATGAATCAGCTTTAAAATATTATGAAATTGATTTTCATTGACATAAAAAAATATCCTGTGCTACTAAAGAATACTTTTTGTAACCTTGACCCCGATATTTAAACAAACTATGCAGATTATTAAAAATAAGTTAAAAATTTTGTAATTATGTTTTCGTAATGACATACGGATGTACTTTGCCACTTGTTATGATTACCTTGTTTCCATTAATATTATAGGTAACTAACTTTTAATTATTAAAATAATTATTCGAATAAGTTATATGCGAGCAAACAACTTAATAAAGAGATTATTTATTTTCACTTTTCTGACCACGCTTGAAGACGTGTTCCGAAAAAAACTACATTTTACACGGTAGTTTTCTAAAAATGAAATAGCTGAATAAGTTGAAGCCAGCCACCACAACATTTGAAAATTAAATTTTACCTTATACTTTCAAAACATGATTCATAGTTTACCTACTAACGGAATGAGTTTTATTGCCACACTGTTCGAAATATTTAATAGGATAGTAAGGTACCATTCTTTAAGTTTTTTCTTATAATATAATATAATACAAACGTAAAAATTAGGATTTTGTGACTAGGTAGGTACCGATACACAAAATAACTAAAACAAGGTTACACAACAAATTGCGAACATGTTTTAATTACACAACGATTAAACATAATAAAATTGACTTGTGAAATAAGTGTCAGTTAGTAGAGCATTATAGAATATTAAATGTAACTTACTATTTTCTGATAGTAATTGCGTTGTACCCTTGAAGTTGTCGTTGTAAATACATAATACACGTAATTGAGTCGTATACGGAAGTTTTCCCGTTACCAATGGTAGCTGATACTCGAAGGGAGCGAGGCTAAAGAAGGAAAGTCGAGAAGTGATGTTAATATTCATGAGGTCGTGTTGGCCGGTCGGTCGACGCCCGCCTGCGCCCGCGCCGCGTGCCGCATACCTACACCATGGCTCGCCCATCATTCGTATTCCGGCTGTTAACTATACCAATGTGAAAAGTCACTTTCAATGTCAATAAACGCTTGTCGGGTACCTACAAATAACTCTATCAACTTTCGTCAACAATATTGGAACAATTTCCAAAGGAAACTTTCGACTATCTATCGACTAAATCATTAGCCATTTTTTAAATTCAAATATTTGGTACAATTACATTCAAACTAATATTTGTTTTTTTTGTCCTGTTTTCATTCCTTAGTGTTATATTTTTTAATTATTTAAAAAACACAACAAACAAAAAATCGATTCTTTAAAAATAACATAAATAACTGTGGATGTAAGAACTTCCTATTTTGTGGATTCAAAGAAAAACCTGATTTAGGTACTTACTTTTATTGATTATAAATACTGAAAAGAAAAGTTGTTTTTCTGTAAATACGTGTTGGTCTTAATATAACATTAGCATTTCATGTATATTTTAAAAGTATTTGAAACTCTGGAAAATAATGTCATCAAATAAGAACAATTATGACACTTATAATTACGTAACTTATTAGTAAAAAAATGAGAATTTCTCATGTGAAAAATGATACAATATGTAATGCGTTATACATGTAGTGTCTAATAAAAGCAAAGTGCTTAAAAAAACCTATCATGGAGTCGGGGGCGCAGACAGACATGCGAAGCGAACTCATTCCCATTGCCATGTCACGGTATTGTATAATGGTTTTGAAATGTAAAATAAAAAGTTTATGTAATGCAATTTTATGATGTTATGAAATTATTTGAAGATGATGTGCACTATACAAAACAAAAGATATCAAGCAAGACAGACAAGTTACGAAGCGAAGGGGGAACAATGTACTGTACAGTTGGACAAAACTGCCAATTCACGATCATTCATTTATTTATTAATCTTTATTGACCAGCAAAGAAATGATACAAACGGCGGACTTAATGCTAATGGCATTCTCTCCCTTTAAACCTTTATCTGCAGAAATATTTACATTTCTAGTAATCTGAAGATACGCTTTGCTAAAAAGAATATGAGGAAGGAGCATAGGAGTTGTTTTATTGCTTTTCTATTGTACATTTTTACTGACTACAGCTAGACACAAAATTATAACATTGCGATTAATAACTCGAGATATCCTACTTATATTATAAATGCGAAAGTTTGTGAGGTTATTCTTTCACGCAAAACTACTGATTGGACTTTGATAAAATTTGATATACAGATAATTCATTAATTCCCTCAAATGTAAAGTTAATCGTAGTAGGTATCCTATAACGTCTAAAAGTCTATTGTCGCGATCTACGGTATAGAAAGAGAAGCACTGTCTAATTGTGTTTGGTATGTAGACGTAAATCGTAGAGAATATTATACGAGAGTTTTTTCACGATCTACATACAAGTCGAGTCCAATTCGATGCTACGCGAAAAAATATATTCGTATACGTTGATAATCAATTAGAAGTTATACTCGTACTATGGTTGACATTTGTATTATTAATATGTTTTTTCTTAACAAAACCAATAAATGTTTCTTCTTCTTCATCTTCTTCTATAAATAATTAGACTGTAACAAATATCGTCTTATCACATGCCGTTCGAATTAATTTAAATCATAACGGATATTTAGTCATATTGTTGTCGCATTAAAATGAAGCTGCTAAAAATTAGGAGTCCCATCCATAAAGTTGGTTATATTTTAAATATCTCCATAAATTATCTGTAAAACTAATATTAGTCGTTTTTCTTATATGAATTTAAAATGTTTTGCACTCGTGCAAATAACTTAACAATAATAATAATATTACAAGAGATCAAATGTAACATATTCATCTGAGCTCACGTGGTAGATCCGGGTCAAAGAGAACAAGTTTTAGGTACTTGTGATTCCGTCCGGCTGGATTTTCTTGTCACTAAAATTCATGGCAATTTATATTAATTTCATTATGTAATTCATATTGACTTGACAACCGAAAACAGTTTCCTTAGTCATAACGAATTATCTATATTAATGTTAAATTATAAATATGATTAATTATAATAATTATATAATTAATTATAATAATTCATTATAATAAAAGGAAAAAAATGATTCTTGTTTTGCACTGAAAAGCTCAAAAACCACTGGATCGATATAAATTATTTCACCTAATGGTAGCTCGTGTGACATAGGCTATTTAAAGTCTCGCGAAAATGGCTAGTCCGAAATACGTTTTACTTTCGATTTCTGATAGTTTTACACAATCAATCGAAATACAGTGAGATAGTGTAAATATGTGAGCGTGTCGTTTGCTAATAGCATGCGGCCGATTGCCAGGTAACCCACTTCTGTGGTTTTTCTAGTTGTTTAAAAGCCAACGTTGCTGCAAGCGTTTACCGCGTTCTTTTGAAATTGTTTATCTATGCAACCGACGTTATAGGAATATTCTATTATTATCAAATGATGTTCAAAATATTAAATTACACTAAAAAAACCTGCTAGAAACTAAAGAGTGTAGCAGACATGCCAATATCGCATTCCTAGAATATTTCCAGAGTTTACAAATAAGTGTTTTGAATGATAAAAGACAAAAAATGTTTAAATTAAACCATATTTTTAAAATGATGGTCTCACTCCGAGAGAAATAGAGAGAATTGGATACAATGTCGCATCATGTTTCCTCATATTATGTTCGTGTCTGCAAGCTACGCTAATTTCTTACTGTCAACACTTTATTACCCAACGAAGACATTCTTCACTGTAAATAGATCAAAAATAAATAAATGTTTGAGAAGAAAGTTGTGTAATATTTGACTAATGTAGTCATTTTTATACAGTATGCATAATAGTTATATTACCTGAAATATAAAATTATTGGATTTGGTTTTCATAATAATAAATTAATTGCTGTGTAATTTTTTTGATTTAGCGATTCAAGGAAATCGACTGTTTTGTAACCTTTTCGAATTATTTTAATGATAGAAGTCTCACCTTAGCATAATAGCATCAAATGTCACGCATAATGTGCATTTTAGTTATGACAGAAGAACTTAGAAAGAGTCGTCCTTGCCGCTTACTCAAGCGCTGACATTTCGATATAAGTCAAATGTCATATGCGCTCATTCCACCTTTGACATTTAAATACGACTATTCAGCCGTCTAATAAACATTTTGAATCTAATGGAAAATTCAAAACCATCAGGAAGTTATTATATATTCGTAACATTTTAAACGTTTACTAAAAGTACAAAAAAGTAAAATAATACTTTTTTTGTAATAATAATTAAATGGCATTTAAATGCAGCTTCCTGATTACTAGTCTTTTATTACGAATGATACTGTATTATGAATTCGATTTCTTTTTAAGTTATAACGAACTTAATATCTTAGCTAGTTGATTAGTGTGAGGCAAATATTGATACTAATTTGAACAAGTCAACCTTGACCGAAGAATCGCGAAGATTTAACACATATACTTTACAATGCTTGATTATTTTAAACCTATACTTTAGTAAAAATATGAATATTAAAAACTCTAAAATTACGAGTTATCCTTTATTGCCTTTTTTCACTCAAATATAAAAGAGTTTTTAGAATAGTTTTTAGTACATATTCGGTTTCTTAACTATTGCTATTTTTGTACAGCCGTGGAAGGGCACAGGTGGAAACGACAAGCGGAAGATCCTAAGAAAGACGAAAACCTAGAACAAGAACTATGCAAGAGTAAGGACGCCGGAGAGTGGTTCCGGCTGGTGGCAGGCGAGGGCGACAACTGTCGCGACGTCATCCAGTGCACCGCCTCGGTAACAAACAAGATCAATATGCACGCACTCTCACACACGCGACCTTAGCTACTAGTTTACTACACTTATATTAATACCCACTTTCACTACTTATCAATACCTCGCCAAATTTCTATGACAGCTTATTTTAAAAGTTATATAATTCAAACCAATATAATGGCGGCCACTAGTTAAATATAAAGGGATATCCTTTATATTTAACTAGTGGCCGCCAGCGACTTTGTCCGCGTTTTCCATTATTTCTTCGCTCCTAATAGTTGCAGCGTGATGTCATATAGCCAACAGTCTTCCTCGATAAATGGTCTATTCAACACAAAAATAATTTTTCAATTCGAACCAGTAGTTCCTGAGATTAGCGCGTTCAAACAAACAAAATCTTCAAGCTTTATATTATATTATTAGTATAGATTGAAAAGACGAGCAGCAAGTTCGACTGTGATGTCCTTGTCCTTGCGGTTGTTTATCCATTCACGTCTTATTTTAGCTCCAAGTTTCTACCGATTTTGTAGACAGACAGCAATCTTATGAGCCTAAATCCATCTAGACTGCCATTAAGATTATCTACGCGCAATGAATATTTAATGATGCACAATTAAATCGGCCAGGACAAAGAACATATAACAAGTGAGGTTTGGTAAATCACAAGTGACATATTTTATTCATTACTCATCATAAAAATATTCTTGTTATGCAGGGTATTCAAGCCATACGTTGCCCGGCCGGTTTGTACTTTGACATTGAGAAACAAACTTGCGACTGGAAAGACGCAGTCAAGAACTGCAAACTGAAGAACAAAGAACGCAAAGTCAAACCTCTGTTGTATACCACGGAGCCAATCTGCCAAGACGGTTACCTAGCCTGTGGTGACACTACTTGTATAGAACGAGGTCTTTTCTGCAACGGCGAGAAGGACTGTACCGACGGTTCCGATGAAAATTCTTGTGGTGAGTAGAGAAGAACATTTAATATTATTTCAGGAAAAAACATCAACTAAAAATGGACATATCCTTTGATAATTTGGCATATTTCTTAGTAATATTCTTTAATACCAATACTCATCTGAACTTGAACGGTTTTTAACAATCAGAACTGGCTCGCGAGGCGTGACGAACGACCCACCTGAAATGCCAATCACTTGGCCTAAAAAAACATCTCAATGCTATTTCGAAACTCACATTATACAAATAGGGTACTTATTTTTTTAAATATGTTAATTCAGCGGCTTGATAGGTTAAAAAGTCATGTTCTCTGTACTGAATCTTAATAGCGCCAATCCGTAGTAGTCATGTGATTCAAAGTTGCTATTTTAAAACAGTACGGAAACAATAAAACTCCTATGTTTGAAATATAATAAACAATTTTATTTATTTCACAATCAAGTTCTAGTTTCGTTACAACCTTGTATAATATGCAAAAATTTATGTCTCAGAGAACATTTATCTGCATACCACATTATAGTCATTGTAAATATATTAAGTCTTGCAGCACTACTGAATCAAAAGTGAAACCCAGCAAGTATCAATTATAACCAAACGATCTGATCGAGCGAAAGTGCCCATGCAGGTTCCGAGGCTTGCCCCGCCCGATTATAGCACGCCTCCTCACACGCTTCGTCACCTAGTCAAAAATTGTAGCACCAATAAGTTAAATAATCGAAGAATACAAATTTGGGAAATAAGTTTACTTCAACTTTGTTAGCTCGTTATTAATTACAATTATATAAGTTGGATTTATAATTTTGGTTTAATGTCCTAAGTATTGTTAAAGCATAAAATAACCCCTAACATCTTCTTATAGATATCGACAACGACCCCAACAGAGCGCCACCATGTGACCAAAGCCAATGCGTGTTGCCCGACTGCTTCTGCTCAGAGGACGGCACTGTCATTCCTGGTGACTTGCTTGCCAGAGATGTACCACAGATGATTACAATTACTTTTGATGATGCCATCAACAACAACAACATCGAATTGTACAAAGAAATATTCAACGGAAAGCGCAAGAATCCTAATGGATGCGATATCAAGGCTACATTCTTTATTTCACACAAATACACAAACTACTCCGCTGTACAAGAGACCCATCGTAAAGGACACGAAATCGCTGTACATTCAATCACGTAAGATATTTTTAATAATATTCACTATTTCATAAATCGATTTTTGTTGTAATACATGTAATAAACATCAATATAAAATAACAAAATATATAAATAATAAAAAAAAATTGTTAACAGGCACAACGATGATGAGCAATTCTGGAGTAACGCTACCGTCGATGATTGGGGTAAAGAAATGGCAGGCATGAGAGTTATTGTTGAAAAATTCTCAAACGTTACTGACAACAGCGTAGTGGGAGTCCGCGCACCCTACCTCAGAGTCGGTGGCAACAACCAATTTACAATGATGGAAGAACAAGCTTTCTTGTACGACAGTACTATCACCGCGCCCCTGTCTAACCCTCCGCTCTGGCCTTACACCATGTACTTCAGAATGCCCCACCGATGCCACGGTAATTTACAGAGCTGTCCGACTAGGAGTCACGCTGTTTGGGAAATGGTAATGAATGAGCTCGACCGGCGCGAGGACCCCACTAACGACGAATACCTACCCGGTTGCGCCATGGTTGACTCTTGCTCGAACATCTTAACAGGAGACCAATTTTATAACTTCTTGAATCACAACTTTGACCGTCACTACGAACAAAACCGAGCACCTCTAGGTTTGTACTTCCACGCTGCTTGGTTGAAAAATAACCCCGAGTTTTTAGAGGCTTTCTTATACTGGATCGATGAAATCCTTTCTAGTCATAACGACGTTTATTTTGTCACTATGACTCAAGTAATTCAATGGATTCAAAACCCACGGACGATCTCCGAGGTCAAGAACTTTGAACCCTGGAGGGAGAAGTGTGCTGTAGAAGGAATTCCTGCATGCTGGGTACCACACTCATGCAAGCTCACATCCAAGGAGGTTCCCGGCGAAACCATTAATCTACAGACGTGTGTGAGGTGCCCTGCCAACTACCCCTGGTTGAACGATCCCACTGGTGATGGGCATTATTGAAAGCGCTTCGATCTCGCGCAACCAGCGCTTTTAGTTAGTTGATAGATTGCTGTTGAGAGTTTGCATGGGCAACATATTCGGAACATGTTTTGTCAATAATAACAAAATATACGTACGTATATATAGGTAAATTATATCGAATTAAAGTCTGAATATGTTTCCTGTACTTTCAAAATGTACCGGGTTATAATCCCGCCCATAGAATAAGTTACCTACTGTATGTAATATAGACTCACATAAATATTTAATAAGTCTGTTTAATACTTTATGTGATTTTTCTAATGTAAGTCTGTTTGAAAAGTTTAAAAATACAAAACACCAAAATCATAATGTGTCATTTTATTATTCATAAATTCCTATTCAATTCAAATTTTTTAATGTAATTCCATTAGCTATTCATAACCTACCTTCATAATAAATGACTACCGGTATAATTAAACCTACTTTTAATAAAATAAATTCAGATAAAAGGTTGACAGCAAAGAAAAAGAAAAGACAATTTGTGTTTATTTTTGATATTCCCATGGTTTTTATTCATATCAAGAAAATCTCCTCATAATCGTTACAGCTTGAGACTAATTATCAAAATTTACAAAAACCACGTGATTACCAAATCAATATTTACATTACATATAAATCAACTACAAGATGACATAGGCTATGATTTACGACGGCGAACAGGTAGTTGTTTCCCCATAATGAATAAGGTTACGTTAGATGGGAAATAATGTTATTATTAAAAAGGATTTGAAATTCAAATATTTTTGCCCCAGCCCTAAGTAATAGTACCCCTATGTAAATTAGATAAAAAGTTAAAAGCGTAAATCCTTCATATATTAGTTGTAAACTATGCAGCACTATTTACTTATCAATATCATGTAGTCATTTGTATGTATTTATCAATATCAATTTGTAAATATAATAAATATTCCACAAATTAACAGAAAAAGGCAAACCTTTTGGCGCGCTATCTATATGTCTATATCTCCACTCTGCGGATCCCTTGCGTGGTAGCCAGATGACAGAGCATCAGAAGGCATGGTCTTTACACATGACTTTCGCTTCCTTGACGTTACAAAACGTACCCACTCGAGCCGTCTCTCGCAGCCTGTCGACCCAGGCCTTTTTGAACCTAGGATAAATATGCCAATGACGTGAAATGTCAAAATAAACATTGTATGAATAATCAACAACAATTTAAAAGCGCGCGCAAAGTATGCGTTACCAACTATTATCTTTGGAAAACTACTCTACTACTACTGAAAATCTTATACGACAACCAAATTTCAATTTGTTGTTATCACATGATTCGAGATTTCTTATTTTTTTTTTAAACTTTTTTTTTTAACTTTATTTAATATAATAGTATGTTTAAACGTTAGAATAGAATTGTTATATATTGAAACTTGTATGTTATAAACACATTTTTTATACACTAAATTATTGTAAATATTGATTTAGACATCAGAAGATCTTCATCTAAAAAAAAATATTTACCTTTAAATCGTGTTTATTACAAAATATACACTGTGCTATAAACAGGTAGTCTTAAATTAAATAAAAACAAAAAAATCAATCATCTCTTTAGTCTATTAACAAAAAACCTATAATGTATTCACCTCCCTCAAGTTTTAATTAACTATATCAGTGCTAACAGTAAAGCTTAACGTCTAGTTTTCACGTAATTGGGTAAATAAGTAACAAAAGATAAGTAAATTTGATAACACATAAATAAGTAATAGTAAATATTACTTATATGTGTGTGTGTGTGTAATAGAAAATATTACTTATTTGTGTGTGTGTTATGTGTGCACGTACGTTTACAATTAAGTTAAAATCTACTTAAGTAGATAAGTTGTAAGAAAAATTTTAACTTCACGTGTAAACCAGCATAACAAAATGTCTACAACGGCTTGCCACTAGGTGGGGAGCAGCTGTAAATAAAGAAAAAGCTAGAAGTCCATGGTGTTTTCCGGTTGTACGAACTCTGTAGTCGAGTGGCTAGCTGACCGTTGTCAAGGTGTGCATCTCTAAGGTCTAAAACATTTGTACCTTATTATCAAGTTATTACTTAATTTGCAATTTAAGTGACATTGTCCAATATATAATCATTACGCTCTAATAAGTTTTATCATCTTTATATTTATCTTAAAAATTCTCGCGACACACTCGCAACCCGATATTAAGAAACTGTTCTTGTATATGCCTGTGGGAACATTGGGATATATATTAAAATATATAATAATTAAATAGATAGTGATGTGTAAAAATTACAATTAGTAGTGTCATAGTAGGGGGACTCGAAGCTTATCAATTTATTTCAACCATATTTTTTCATACCATGAAATGAACACTATTAGGTTTTAATAAAACCAATACGCTTATTTTCATAGATTAATAGCTAGCACAGATACTACGTAAATAACAGAGTGCATCGCATCGGAAATGCACAGTTCAACTCCAGGATCTTACCTATTTTTAGCCAAGGTGTCCTCTATATACTATAAAAAGGTCAACAAACACGACCAGTTGCTTATCAATTTATAATTCTCGTTTATCGTCTCGATAATACGACATAATTTAGTAGATAGATTACTATAGTGTTCTAAATTTATATACGTCAACGCCTAATTAAATAGGTTCAATTAATTTCGTTTACTTAGATAAATGATAATCTGTATAATTCAACGTTTATTTAGACATGATTGATCTTCAAATTTTGAACTTATGAACTTAAATTTCGTTTCTATTATTTATAAGTCGAGTGAACATTAATCTCTTAATAGAAAATGTGTTTTTTATTGTATTTCTAAATCGTAATCACGTTATGTTCCTAAGCAACGGAAAGTCTTAAATTTATTGTATAATATGCATATTTAAGTTTAGATAAAAATATTTTCAACAAATTAAACATTTGATTTCCTCTTTAAAACGTTTATTTGGCTGTCGCAGTGTCATTAGCCTTTACACAGGTATTTGCATATTCAACTTATACTTCTAACGATTAATTTCATAAACGCACACGCTCTCATGACTGTGTGTTAAAAATAGTAAAAAATGAACTTAAAATATTTGAGGGTATTGGCCAGATGATTTACATCGCAAATAACTATATTGTTAGCTATATACGAATGAGGCAAGGAATTTTTCGATCATGATGATAAAAACTGGTTGAGGTCCGTGGTCGCAAACCCAAAGATATACATTTACGTTGTTTAGATTTTAAAAAATCGCCATTGTATATTTGCATTGTATCAGAGGAATAAATACAGAGCTTGAACCACACCACAAATCCTTCCGGAAGTATCTACTTCCCGAAATACTAATTGATCTCAATTAACATTTCACCCGGCATAATTTTACGAAAAACATAGTCGAATTATAAAGAAAAAAGAACATCGATTTCTCTAAAGACGAGGGGTAAGTCAAAAAAGAAATCTTCTAATTTTTTTTATAAAACTTAATCAAAAACATTTAGCCTTACGGATTATACTTCACTATTTTTATTTGGATTTTCTAAATTAAGTTAAATATAAGGTATCGGAATTAATATATTAGCAAGTATTTTACTAGAAAATAACCATTTGAACTTAATTTTATTTAAAACTAACATTATCTAAATATATTAAAAAGGAATTATTTTCTGCAAAATTAATACTAAAAAATTTCCAAATATCTGTCGAGATAACAACATCTGTCGATATAGTAATTTTAAAAACCAATCGGCGTCACCTGATTGATTCACTCTTATTGAAATTTCAAGAACCCAATTACAAAAACAGCATACTTAAAATTTCGCAAAGGTAGGCAAGTTTCCTCATAGGGAGTGACTATATGGTTATGAAATAATTTTCGGATATTCCTTATGTTTCTATTCTTTAATTTTAAGAATCGAGATATATTCCTGATAGGTATCTGAATACCAACACCTTAATAAATACCATCTGTACTAATTTTATCTATTAATTGATATTTTTTAATACCTCATAAAGCACAGGGCCGGCCTGTCCATATAGGCAAACTAGGCCTTAGTTAACCTTAAAGAAATATTTTAAGAAATTGGCTTTTGTTCTTTGAGTATGCATTTATGCCCGCGGTATTCGAAGGTACAAAATTTTCAGATCAGCAGTACCCAAAGAGTTTCTTTTGTCATTTGCAAAATTACACTTTTCAATCGACATACGCTATGTTCATCTTTAATTTTGTAGTAAGATATAATAGATAGATAAATAGTTTATTCAGACAACAAGACACAACTACATAACAAACTTGAGCAATACAAAGAACAGTTAAGAATAGAATACGTAATGATATAAGTGATATACCTGTGTGCAGCAGTAAGATAAGGGTCAAGGCTCGGTGCACGTAAATCAGCCAAGAATGGGTGAAGCACCGATTTTTAGCAGTTACCCAAGTTGTTCATGGGCATCTTTCCAGTGTTTTGCCTGGGATGCCAAGTTTCATTGAGCCGGCGCTAAGAAAGCATGTCCCTTAACTTTGTCTTTAGGTGATTTCCTATTGATAAATTAAATATTCAGACAACTTTCATAGGACTTAAACTTTGAAGTATATATTAATTAACCAATGTCATATTCATAAAAAAGGTGTTAAGTAGGCGCATTGATTAAGTGTGGGGTGGTTGTATCACAAATCATTTGCGAGACAATAGGCGGGTAGCACCAACACGCTATTCTCCTCGACGCTTGTGGGCGGCTGTTGCACATCATCACTCTGCGTTCTGAATATTATCAGCGCCACAACAAACTTTCCATTTTGTTTCGCAACATTCACCCTTTATAATGGTGGCCATACACGTTAGGGTTTGCGTGATGGTTTTAGCCGTGCTAAAAACATCATGCATAACCAAATTTCATATGACAAATAAACGTTAGGGTTTGTATACACAGTTTTGCCATAAACTCTCAGTGCTCTAAACTCTAATGTATGGTGTGCCTTACTACAATGAACGACGACGGTATGATAGCTGTACTAGGTTTAGCAGTTGTTTTGCAGAACAGAAAAACATAAAGAGATCGCTCTCAATGCTGTAAACGTTGGTCATTGAAAAGAAAACAGTTTTCTCGTGCAATTTTGATAAATTATGAGAGATTTACACCAAAAGAAACCAAAAACATAATAAACTTTATTTGAAACTGTTATCGTTGATTATTGACAATTGAGAACTGAGCTGAGCAAACGCCTCATATGCTCCGTTATGCTCGCGCGCAAACGTAACCGAGTGGCCTAAAATATCAATTTTGGGTTTTCCTGTAGGTTATGCATGAAACGCTAAAACCATCATACCACCTAAAATGTATAGCCTCCATAACAGAGATGATTGATAAACAATGTGTTTCTTTAAATAGGAATTAACGAAGTCAATAGAGAGCACCTTAGCCACCTCACGACGGTGGTGTTAGTTGGACGAGCGATGCAGCTTACGACAGTGAAAGCAGTGAAAGTATTCACTTCCACCGCATCACTCAATTGTATTTGCAGCATTCACTATTAACACTATTTTGAGACATCGTTTACGTGCAAGTGTAACATAGATGAAAGCACATCTGAGCTGTCGATAAAAAAATCATTTATCTACACTCTCAACAATCTTAACAATAAAGTCATAATTTCAAATGTACATATTTAAAAATGGTGAACTCATCACACACGAATTTAACTTGCACAAAAATAGTTATTAAGTTTTTTCCTGTATACTTTAAATATTCCGAAACATTATCCGAATGACCGAGGACGTTATGGCGTAGGTATTATCTTTTTGCCCCCATATGTAAATCAAAAGCTCTAAAATTAAATGATCATGTCAAGAAGGTTCGACTATAAAACCAAGTCAACATATAATAATTACTTTTGCGAGATAATTTAGTAATGATTTACCTTCTTATTTGTTTAGAACACATAGTCGCTTGCAAAAAATATCGCTATGAGAACTTCCTTATTCTTGGTGAGGTCATTTAATATCTATGATGAAAAGTAGAAAAAAAAAACTATTTTTATGAATACATATAAATAACAAATATCGTTTAACTGCAGTATCTTATAAACTCAAAGCTTATAATGTCTTACATAATATTTTATTTTTTTGTAATAATATTGAGAATAACTAACACTACATACCCAGTCATATGCATATATTAAAATTTGTCCTAATATAACAATTTTCTCCATAATTTCCAAATTAACTGGTAACCTCACTGCTATAATTTAATTCCTCAATAGAAAAGATAAATAGATCCACCGGTTGTTATGCTTTACTTTTAATAACGCTTCTTAAGTTACGTTTGTTAACAATTTTATACCTATGCATGCATATCTGTACCCATCTTACATTAAGAACTCAATGATTTCTGAATAAAAAAGATACCTCACGATTTCCTAGACACTCATACATAAACATAGTTTGATAACTAGCACTTATTACCGGCAAATGACCTTCGTTAAACGTTATGTACCTTTTTACTTCTATAGTAAAGTTATAGAGATATCGACTCATTCTCGGTATAGCGTCTGTGTAGTTGACTATAGGTGTGTTGTATTTGTGTATGCATTGTCGCAAGTGAAAGGAAATATCTGGAAGGATCCTTGACTCTTGCGCGCCTACTCGATGCGACATCAACTGGTATATTGCGCTTCTACATCACACCAAAACTATTTTAGAAAAAAATCTTTTGATTTTACTAAAATGTTTTAATTATCCAAAACATAAGTAATGTAGCTTTATGAAATTTCACGGTCCCTAGACTAATTTAAATGTAAAACGATCCAGAAACTTGTTAGACTTAATTTCACGAGTATAGAATATTATTACGACTAAAATTAGGTACATATTTCAATGAAATCTGCACTTTATTACTATAAAAAGATGTAACTAATAGTATTTCAAGCTGCGGTGATTATACACTTTATTCATTACATTTTCTTACACGAACATTACAACATTCATGACTAAATAGTACATGGCACGATGTAGCAAATGATTCATATACTCATTGAGAAGTTGTACGTATAATGAACACTCACTGTTTCAGGTTAAGATAAAACGGATATTGTTTTTGAATGTTAATTCTGCTAACACAGAATCTTTTATTGACTAGTTTTTATAATGTCTTGATATCGAAAGATTATTTTAAAAAATCAAGAAAGCATATGAAAAATTCTTGTTATCTGCATAATTCTAAATAACACTAACTTTTGCATCTAGGTCGTATAAGCACGTAACAGTTTATAAGCAATCGATACTTTAAATGTTAAATCTTCAGAGTCTTACGCAACGGATAACGCATTTCGCGAAAGTGCAAATGTGACGTACTCACTGAAGAGCTACAACCAAGTCAATCGACTTTATAGTAATTGTATATTCACACACACACACGTTTACTTTCTTCATCATTTTAAGGAAATATTGTATCCAAAAGTTAAACAGAAGATTGTAAATTTAATTAAATTTCAAATAAATACTTTGTTTCAATTAAAAGATTGGAAGTCATCGCTAGTTCGACTTCAAGGTGACGATGCATGCATCCTTGCGGTGTGTGCGGTTATCTTCACATCGTGTCAGCTTGTCACATCTGACCTCTTTTGGCGTGCAGTTACTACCAGACCCCATTCCCCAGTGTTATATAACCCGATACACCCGGAGATCTCAGTTCACACGTCCTCTAGTCCACTCATTTGTAGTTTGTGGTTAAATTAATTTTACATTATGCATAAAACAATCACGCTTTGAATACCGATACTTCGATTATAACTACTTAGTACGTATTAACTTGATACCCGAGAACCTATTCAATTTGTCCTCGGCCGAAAATTGGGTATTTCGAATATATAGTTCATATAATTTTGTTAAAATCAGAGGCGGTGTCAGGTCCTACCCCCGTTGCATCATAAATTATTATCGAATGCGTATCATTAGAATCGCATATTACCATTTCGAAAATAAACGAAATTTTGTTTTCGGAAAAATAGAATAGGCCTTCAGAGAGTACTCTGTTTGAATGAAATTTCGGAAAATTTCGAATCATTCTAATAATTTGGTTAAAACCAATATTGAGTCCTGCCTCCGTAAAAATATAAATTTTCGAAAAATGCGTTACGAAAATAGACGAAAGTCTTCTGGTGGATGACACCTGAAGACTATTAAACGTAAAACTATTAAAACTATTAAACGTTCGTATCAGATACGAAAGTTTAATAGTTTTACGAAACACGGTCGGTATGCAATGAGAAAATTAAGGAAACTCTGTAATCGCAAATGGGTGATAAAAAATGATTATATCTACCTCCTTCGTCCTTCCAGCAGTTCACATAGATGATATTAGACCTTTCTGATTCCATTCAAAAGGACATTCGTTTTTAAATTAATATTTAAACCTACAGTTTTGCTTTTGAAAATGTTCAATCTATGTATAATACAATAAATCATGACAGGATAACGGACGATCAATGCAAAAATGATCAACATTAAATCAAAATAACTTATCACTAATCACCCAATTTATTTACACTTGTCATTAATTGTATATAATATTAAGCATCAACCTTGACTCTTGTCTAACTTGTTACTACTAAGTAGGTAGATATGTTGATATAAATGTATACATATTATATATTCTGACCTCTGAATATATTAACATTTTCATAGAATTGACTGGCAAACATTATGAAATAGAAAAGCTAGATAATTAAGTCAGGTGTAAAAATAAAAGGTATCTATTAGCAGATGAGGCAATTTTGTGTTAATTAATTTGATATTTAATCAAAACATTATAAATTCAATTAGTAAGGTACTAAATACTTCTGTAGTAGTAATTCTGATAATACTTTTAAATTATAAGACTAGTGATTAAATATTTTCTCTTTATCAAATGTTGTGTATGCATAAATCTTGCTTTTGCTAGAAAAGCTTGACAGATTTCAAGGATTTGTTTTATTATTTTTTTACAGGAAATTTGAACCAAATATTCTTTCGTTAGATTAAAATAAAATACCTATCATTAATAGGGATGACGTCTAATTTTGTTTCTCTGTTCATCGGGTAGATTATTAACGAATATTAAACGAGCATTTTTTTGTTTTTACGTAATCAATAAATTACAGCAATACATTGAGTTAATCGAAAATTTAACCCAATTTTAAAAAGGAGATATATTTTTTTAATAATAATTAAACCAACTTCATAAAAATTTAAAATAATACAAGAAACTTGTGTTGAAGTTTAAAGGTTCATATAAATAACCGACACAAAAAGGTATTTTCTTTTTCAATAAAAGTTTCTTGAATTTATTGTTCATGAATTTTATTAAGTAGGTACTAGCTGATTTCCGCGACTTCTTCCACATTATAGCCTATGTCACCCGCTTATGATGTAGCTTCTTGTAAGTGAAAGAATTTTCATGATCATTTCAGTACTTCAAAACATACAAATAAAGTTAGAAACTTTACTTCTCTACGATTAGTATAGGTTTTTGAAGTTGGTTTAAAAAAAATAAACTTATACTATGATAGCTTTATAATTTGATACAAAAACTGAATTATATTCGATGAATTGACAGTGATGACACTACTTAATATATTCACATAAGAAGACATTATAATTTATATCCCAAATTCTCATGAGATCAACCTCAAAGTCACGAAGCGGATCTTATCTAGATAAAGGTTATGTACCTATATAATATGTGGCTAGCTTAAAATAATGGTAGAAAACATTCGATAATTATTTGTATAACAATCGATTTTTTAAATTAAATTCTCAATTGTCAAAAATAAATACACAAACATTGAACATTTCCTAATTTATATTATTTGTAGGATTACTTAATCACTTACATAAATTAAATAGTTGGTGATAATTTGTATATTTATACATTCCATGCAATGTCATAGAATACCTGCAAAATATTGGGGTAATAGATATACATACATACTACATAAAGATATGAAAACCACTTTTATAAAAAATGTACCTAGCATATCATCAACAATAAAGTTTTGTATGTTATTTATAAAGATATTGTAATTTTTACTAGATCCATTAACTAAATAGAAAATAACAGCCTAAAATTCTTCAACATCATCGGGTATTTAATAAAAGCTGCATCGATGGTAGATAGGTTTTACATTGGCAGGAGTCGTAGTCTGTATAGGACGGCTGGAGGCTGCTGTGCGCTAGAAGTACGCCGCGCCCTGCCGGCTTATATAAATAGGTGAAGAGGGGCAGCGGAGACCTCTTGCACTTTCTTGGCAGCGCGCAACGCAACGACCAGTTCTCGCCGAGCGCCATGGCTCGACACGCGTATTTGTGTCTTGGTGTGCTGCTGCTCGCCTATTATGGTGAGTGTCTTTTTAATATTTTGTATAGTTCAATGTTTTAGGTTCAATACTCCTTAAAAGTTGTTTAGATTTTCCTAATAATATTAAATCATATTTTTTAATCACTAGGTATAAAACAAAAAGAAATACTACCTACTCTGAAGCGAATAAAAATAAATGTTTCGACATTCTCAACGACAATAATGTTAAAAAACGCGAGGAAATATTTGTAACAGATAGTGAACGTTTGCGTAAATTAAGTATTACCTCTTGCGGTTGGGCCGCAATACATAAAGCTTATAAAGCAACAATAAAAGAACGCCGGCTCCTACGTGGCTCGTTTACTTGGTCTGCTGGGGTGACCTCGATTTCTTTTTCAACATTTCAACTTTCAATGCCGACGTCAGTTCTTTATAACTTGAATCATTATTAAACGCTAGCCGGTTTAAAACAAATAAATATGTATATTTATAGTAGTTACTACCCAAAATTGATACTATTTTTAATTTTCTGATCTAATTAAATTTGTAAGGTATATGGGTCCTACACTTATTATACTTACTGATTTCCTCAATTTAGTAATGAATAAGTGTAATTAAGCCGGGTAAGCACACTTAGCTTGCGTGGCATTCGGCGTCGCAATGAAACGGTACTACATTCCTTTACTAGCTATGTTGTAATAGTTGCTTACGTTAAATCGTGTTACCTAACAAATAAGCAGTGTACATTGCGAAAAATTACATTAGTTATGCTTTTAAATGTGTTAATAACGGATAAATGTTTTGTTTACTTGTAACGGATGCGTTTCTATTACATATTTTATTCACCCAAAATGTTTATTTAGGGTTACCTCATATTTTTCATATTGCAAACAAGTACCACTCATTCAGAAAAGTACTCCTACCTACAAAATCATGATTATTTCTAAAGACGATAAATCAAATCTATTGCTTATTTCTAGAATTATCTATTCATCTTTAGTGATAATTCATAAATAAAGACACTTCTTTTTTCATGATAAATAAGTACTAATGAGATAACTAGAAATGATACTCACAAACACTATTGCTCAATAACTATTAAGATGAGTTTAACAGTTGTGATAGAAACAATCATGCTAAAGTGGGCAAATGCGGTCTTATCGCTAAAAGCGATCACCTCCACACAACTTTTGAGTCGTTGAAATGATTAGAAAAATACATTTACCTGTTTGCGATTGTATATAATTAATCATTTTATATTTATAATTGTATTTTTTATTAAATAAATATTTTGTTTAGTTAATAGCGAGATTCGAGTGAAAAGACAAGAGGAAGACGGTGGTGGTGACGACGCAAGCCCTGAACAGCTATGCGAGGGCCGTCCCGCTGATGAATACTTCCGCCTTACCACCGAGGGTGACTGCCGCGACGTAGTCAGGTCAGACACACACCTAACCCCATATAAAAAAAAAAGGTTTTATTTACAGAAACCAACAATTTTTTGACTTATTTTTACTTTCATTGAAGTCATCAAGCTTTATATTTATCATGACTAGTTAAGATAAAAACATACATCTTCCATAATAGTAATAGCCAACTTTTCATATATATACTTACAGAACATTGAATATATGTAAAAGCAAAAGTTGTAGATACTGGTACATAAGACGTTTGCATTACTTTATTACTACTCGTATTCAGAATACCAAAGGTTGAAAGTGAAATCTAGTTAAACCAGTTTTCTGTAGGAACAAAATAACCTTTCACAATTATTCATAAATAATCTAGTTTTCAATGGTGTAATAAAATAATTATACGATTAGAAACCTGACGCAAGTACGTACAAACAAAAGACATCAACGCGCTCGCGTCATTAAGGTATACTTGAATTAGATAAGGATCAGACATAAAGTCAAAATGAACAAAGAAATATTAGAATACTTCTTAATGAAAAATTCTTAAAAAATCCACTTTGTCCCTGGCACTCTGAGATGAGACTCGAACCCATGACCTTTTGATTTTTTAAGCATTTTTCATTCTTTTTCGGTATAGCAATGTAAATGCAAAATTGATCAAATATAATTATTAGAATACTTATCAATTATGGTACATAACTATTATCTACAACGGATAGGTACAACTGATAATAATACATACATTGTATAAACATATACATCACATACATTGTTTGTGAATCTAAGTAGCTAAAGTTCTTTGCTATAAAATTCTGAAACATCCCCCTCTCTGTAATAATCCTTAGATCATAGTGACCTGACCAGTAATCGAACCTGCAACTTCAGGGTTGACGACACCTTGAAACCGGTGTGTTTGCCGTTGACCACGACGACGATTGGCTATGATATTATTTTCTTAGTACTTTGATTTCGTCTACGAACAATTTTATTAAGACAAGAATATCTCGTGTTTATTTAGAGAGTATTATTTATCCGTAAAATACGTTTAGCTGTTCTAATAATATCGAGTATATACAAACACATTATTTAACATTTACATATTAATATTAAAAGCTGGTATATATTAGTATATAATTAATGTATGTTTAAAAAGTTAATAATTATGAAAACCATAAAAGTGAAAACAAATACAAAAATATCTTTGAAGGAATTTATTGAGTACATCCGCGTGTTTTTAGCACCTATATAAACACATATTATTGTATAGAACACATTACTTTGTTGTGACGTGTTTGTAAAGCTTCGTTTAGTACGCGGTGACATTCGTGTCCGTGAACGGACATTCACCAACGTGCCGTGAATACCTACCGTGTCGAATGTCCAAGTAAGTAAATGTTTGTTCAATATTGTGCGAACACTGAACAAGCATAATAATTACGTTTATACTGTTATTATAATAAAATTACCATATCGGAATCGTTTTAACAGCAAACATTTTTTTTTTTTTTTTTGTAGAAATACAGGTAATATTACTGATTAAGGTAATATGCTGAAATATTGAATGTGAATATATTTGATGAATTGGTTGAGCTATTCTCAATTCGTTTCGTATTTCAAAAATAATATGATTTTGTGGTAATGTGTTAGGTAATATAAATATTTCATTTGTACGACACATAACAGAGATAAAAAAGAAAAATATTATAAACATTAAATAATTTTGCACGATATGCTGTCTTGTCGCTTAACAGCGGTTTCTTTCAGGCAACCTATTTTGAAACAAGCAATGATAATTATTATGTATGGTGTAGGTAGGTTGTAATCATGATCTTTTAAATGATAAGTGTTATTTATAAACAGGTATCCAAACCAATATTGTATGAGAAAAGGAAAAGATTTATATTAGAAAGTTTTCTTCGTTTGTTTGCCTAGAAAAACTAGCTCCGAAACTACGGAAACCGATTTTAATAAATCTTTCAACTACGGGTACATTATACATTATACGCGGCTAACATATGTAATAATTTCATACAGGCAAAGTCGTGAGAAAACAGCTAGTATTTAATAAATACATAAAAATAACCCAAATAACATTATTTTCTATAGCTAAGGCCTACAATTACCAAACGGTATTTAAAATGATCTATAATAGTAATCACTGTGAATTGTTACTTTTCAACAAAGTTATATAAGACTATAATATACATATATATATTTATTAAAGAACCTTTATTTTATGTTTTTATTGCAATTCAGTGGTAAAACTAAGACCTATTTGGGTTTACAACATTTTAATAAAACTAATTAGCACACGTTAAAACGTAAATTAGATTTACGTTATTTTTCCGTGTTCCGTGGTTGAGAACATCGCTGTATACAGGTGTGACAAGGGCGGTGAGGACGGCGTCACCAGGCTCGCCTCAGTGAGGTGCCCCGGCGGTCTGGCCTTCGATATCGACCGTCAAACCTGTGACTGGAAAACACACGTTAAGAATTGCGATAAATTAGAAAGTGAGTTCCGTGTATCATAGGAAGTGGTCATGCGGAGGGCTCGGCTTCCTCATCAGAACCCACCAGAACAGACAGTTAACTAGCTGGCCTTCCACTTGTCCACTTCCTGTTATTAAATGTTTAATTTAATTAGATTTCTTGTCAATGCAGGTGCACTAGGTCAGGTCTTAAACAGATCACTTGCCCATCTGGATTGGCCTTCGATCTCGATAAACAAACCTGTGACTGGAAGGGTAAAGTGACCAACTGTGACAAAATCGAGAGTAAGTGCCGAAATCGAAGCTAGTCGCGCGTAGCGAACAACCAGGCTTGGGTGAAGGGGCCGCGTCGCACAGTAGTTTAGGAATATTGCATGAGGCCCCCGGACATGGACAGGGAGCGGGCTGCGCTCGGTCAGCCCCATAGTTAACGCATTAACATTCTTCATAAAAAAACATTGAATAATGACAATATTTCAGTCCTAAATATATTAAATCAAATAGGAGTAATACATTTTGTGAAGTAATGTCAATGCAATAACAGAAACTGCCCCTTACTGTCTCGTATTTGTTAAATGAAGCAAAAATTGAACGGATAATCAAAACACATAACATAAATTGCGAATCTAATTAAAAAACAGCACAGCAGAATTTGTAAATACGTAATATCGTATGTACAAGGCTCTTCACAAGAACATACCTTCACTCTTCTATTTCTATTTTTAAACTAAAAAGACGCTTAAGCTTCATTTATCCTTGTTTACTAACACAAATAATTCGCTATCGGTGGAGTGTTTAATTCACTTACTAATATTATAATGATAAAAGAATCCAAATTAACAAGTAACAATCACCATGTGGGATTTATTGTACATATATACAACACTGCTTTTTATTAATTAATTATAAAATATTTTCTTGACATTTACTTAATATTTCGAGAAGTAACATATGTTCTGTCGTTCTATCATTTCCTAGACATTTACTAAAGTCAAAGTTCATAAAGAGAATGCCTTTATTAATACTGACTTTACTGATTGCCTTACTCTTTCGGTATATTTAATAAGTCAAGTTTTTTGCAAATAAATATTAGAACATTTTGAATTAATAAATACAATTTCTTAAAGTTAATAGAATATTAATGTAGATTTTAAGTACAATTATTCTTCAAAGTCATGAAATGCATATAAACTTTAAATCACCCCTGGAAATATAATTTTAAATAATCCAATAATATTTATTTGCAAGAAGATTTCTTTTTTAATTATTTTTCATTCTCTTTTTCTTAATACTGTCTTAGTTTCCTGAAAACAACTTCTTTCACATTTAATAAAAAGTATCTTAATTCATTACATTATTACCCTTTTCTACATATTTCTTGTAATCTCATCGACAACGTGACTTCTGTTGATTTTTTCTTTTCTTATTAATTGTTTATTTTTGTTAACTTTGTCATATTTCACCGTCATGCTTTGCCAAGACTTTTCTTCGCTCGAATCTACTGAACCCTTGTAACACATACAAATACAAATGAAAAAAACACACAATCCAAGCACTCTAAGCCCGTGGATTATCAGTCACCTGCAAGCTGTTAAGCAATTTCACTTTAATAAAAAAATAACAAAAACTCTCTTTTCCAGAACCAAGAAAAGTGTTACCTATCCTGAAGACTGATGAACCTATTTGCCCAGAAGGAAAATTAGCTTGCGGAAGTGGTGATTGCATAGAAAAAGAACTGTTCTGTAACGGAAAGCCCGATTGCCAAGATGAATCCGATGAGAATGCATGTAGTAAGTATTACCACAGATATTATACTAGTGCATTTTCAATATTTACTATAAGAATATATAACTTAATATATAAATAACATCTCGCAACACTTTGCTGCTATATCTTAAAACCTTTCAAGACAATATTCCTTTTATACTTCAAATTTCACATACATTATTAAAAAGATCCGATAATCTAATAATATTTCTTACTTTTAGTTAGAATCCTCTGCTAAACAATTGATTTTGACTTGTTGAATTATTGAGAAATACCAGCTTTTTAAACTAATAGTAGCAAATATCTGACTTTAATGATAATATACTTTATTATTGTAATAGAATAATTTGATAATTTGTAATAAAAAGTAGAATTTGAATCGAATTAATGCTTTAAATAATACATTTACTTTTTATGTTGACTAATATATTATTATTATTCACAGCTGTGGAGCTGGACCCCAACAGAGCACCTGACTGTGATCCTAAGCAATGCGCATTGCCCGACTGCTTCTGCTCTGCCGATGGCACTCGTATTCCAGGAGGACTAGAACCAAATCAAGTACCCCAAATGATAACAATTACATTCAACGGAGCAGTCAACGTAGACAATATTGATTTATATGAACAAATTTTCAACGGAAACCGTTACAACCCCAACGGCTGTCAAGTTCGCGGAACATTCTTCGTATCCCATAAATATACTAATTACGCTGCTGTACAAGAATTACATCGCAAAGGTCATGAAATTGCAGTATTTTCGATAACACATAAAGATGACCCACAATACTGGTCAAGCGGTTCCTACGATGACTGGCTAGCAGAAATGGCCGGTGGACGTCTCATTCTTGAACGTTTTGCCAATTTGACTGACGCCTCCATTATTGGAGTGCGTGCTCCATATTTGAGAGTAGGTGGAAACAAGCAATTTGAAATGATGGCTGACCAATATTTCGTATATGACGCTTCTATTACTGCTCCTTTGGGTCGTGTCCCCATCTGGCCTTACACGCTGTATTTCCGTATGCCACATAAATGTAATGGAAATGCTCACAACTGTCCATCGAGGAGCCACCCAGTCTGGGAAATGGTTATGAACGAGTTAGACAGAAGGGATGATCCCACTTTCGATGAATCTCTCCCAGGTTGTCACGTGGTCGATTCTTGTTCTAACATCCAAACTGGTGATCAGTTTGCCCGTCTTCTGCGTCACAACTTCAACCGTCACTATTCGACCAACCGCGCTCCTCTTGGTCTCCATTTCCATGCTTCGTGGCTTAAATCGAAGAAAGAATTTAGAGATGAATTAATCAAGTTTATCGAAGAGATGCTGGAGAAGAATGATGTTTATTTTGTATCTTTACTTCAAGTTATTCAATGGATGCAAAATCCTACCGAATTATCATCACTTAGAGACTTCCAAGAATGGAAACAAGACAAATGTGACATCAAGGGTCAACCTTACTGTTCTTTACCCAACGCCTGCCCATTGACAACGCGGGAATTACCAGGAGAAACATTACGTTTGTTTACTTGCATGGAATGCCCCAATAATTATCCCTGGATTTTGGATCCTACGGGAGAGGGCTTCAACGTTAAGAAGTGATCTCTTTAAGTTAACTTAAAAGACTGTAAACACATGTAAATAATACTCAATAATGTTATAAATAATGATGACAATGATGGTGTGGCAGGTCGGCGACGTCAACATTACTAAATATTTTCAATATTGTACTTTTCTTTCCACCTATCGCATTCGTAAGATCTTACCTCAAAATCTTGTTTCTAAACTTTTTTATTCATAGTTGATGTTATGATACAATGGTGTATCATGAGCTAGATACCGAACAAATGCTACCCTTTTTATAACAAAGATTTTATGTTACATAGTCTTCGTTTCGTTAATTATAGTTTAGGTTATGTCAATAAAAATTTAATTTTAAAGAGTGTTTAATTAATATTTGATACCTTCTCTTAAGTATAATGTTGATATAGCATGAATACAGTCACAAACTTTTTTACTAGGTAACGTTCCAAAAACAGTTACGTTACAGTTTCCTTTTTTCTTAAAAAGAGTGTCATGGCCAAAATAATCATACATTTTCTCATACATTATTCGTTTTAAGTTCAAATCGGGTACATTACATAATTAATATTAATGCTTTCAATGTTTCGTGTAGGAAAATTGGGTACTACGAGTACTACCAGTCATGTTATATCTATCAAATTTGAGTCAAGCTATTTACCGTACACTGCAAAAATATATACTTAAACATTAATAAAAAATAAAAAAATGTCAATTAATAAAATTATATTTTTATTTATGTATAAATGTAAAAAAATAATATCAACATTAGTCATTGTTTGCCCTTTGTCGTGTTAGTTTCAAATGAAATTGCAAAACTTGTATGCATTATTTCGACCTATATATTATACTAGCATTCCGCCAGCGCGGCATCGCCCTCGTGGTATTGTATTATACATAAAAACCTTCCTTTTGAATCACCCTATCTATGAAAAAACCGCATCAAAATCCGTTGCGTAGTTTTAAAGATTCAAACATACATAGATAGATAGAGATATAAGGACAGAGAAAGCATCTTTGTTTTATACTATGTTGTGATTACTCTTTGATTTCGACTGTCAAAAGCATTTGATTATTGTTCCTTGTGTTGTTGAACAGAATCAATATGAATTTACTTGCGCTTACCCAGAACCCAGCACTTACTTAGGGCCTAAACTTATCAATAAAGGCAAATACTATAACATTTTCATGTATTCGCTTCAAGGAATAAAGATTTGTATTGAATCTTTTGAATAATCTTATTATTGGAATTACTCATATTTCAAAACAGAAAAGCGATTTCTATTAAACATAATCAAATAAATCATGCACGCACGACACACAAACAGATCGATATATAATAACTTAAATAACAATAAATAATCGGTAATCTGATATCGGATTCGTTCGTTAGTATTATTATTTACGGTCTGATAACATGTGTCAAAATGGACCTCTTATTTTTTGTAAACTTTAGTTTTTTGTTTTTTTTTTTTATTTATCACTATAAAAATTATCTATCAGCAAGTAAACTGATGTTAAAATTAGATGAAATATTTTTTTACAAAAAATAGAGCCGTCTTCAAACTTTAAGAATTTTACTTATCTTAAAAGCGACTTACGCCCGTTCTCACTAAACTTAGGAGTCGCCCAAATCTGTCATCTAAATATTTAGTAATCGCCTAATGTAAAAATACATTTCACCATTGACTAGAAACCACTTATCGCAATTAAGCATAATGTAAAGTTATGATGTTCCTTATGCGGCGCCTCGCGCTAGGTATTTGCGTATATGACAGGTCATAAATATAAAGAAAGAAAAAAAATATTTGGAATTAAACAATTCTGCTAAGGCGATTCATAATATTAGGCGTTTCCTAGATAAGCTATGCCCTGTTCTAGGTAAGTGAAAATCAGTGTAGGCTATTTACTCATGGCTCGATGCGATTCACCCGATATCGAGTCGATCATCAATTTAAACTACACGTACCACTGGATACCAAACAACTTTTTCTAAATTCAATTTATTTCTATTTATGAAGTATAAAGTGTGTGTTTACGGTTATGCGTGCACGTTTACAATGAGGAAGTATTTAAGAAAAAAAAGAAAGCACTAAAAAATACCTCAGTAGATGGCGACTCTATCAAAAGTTGATTTTTGCAGGAAACGAATGGACCAAAGATAGTCATTTCCATTCCTTTTGACTATATGTGTACCATTGGTTAGTGCGATTGATCTACGATTACGAAGATGAAGCGACGTTGGTAAAGGCCAGTAATGGGATGGGTGATCATTTATTTTTTACTAAGCGGGGTGGTGCAGGACAGAGCGGGGTGTGTAAAAAGATTTGGTCACCCATCCGATTACTGACCTTTGAAATGTCACTTAACTTCTGCTATCACAGATCAAACGCGTTAACTATTACAGCACCGAGACAATCCACCTAGCATTCCACACTGGGTGGGCGTGAAGGTCCCGATGAGAAGTTGTAGTGTTAAAGCACAGGTATTCTTCCTAGTAATACGAACCAGGGCGCGCGTGGTATTATTTTTTTTTAATTTACTTTTTTAATCCGTTATAAATCTACATGATTAATTATCTTAATAAATTTAGAGTATAGATCGGGCTATTTCACTCGCACCAACGTACATGTATATTCATCGCGCGCACGCCTGGAGTAGACTTCAATGTGCCTGGGAAGAAAGAGGAACCATCGAAAGTGACTGGGGGTTGTGGTAACATTATTCATATAGCTTTCTGAATAACATATATAAAAGTCAGATTTTATACTATGACGAAAGTAGATTTATAAATAATCATACTGTAAGGGTGTCTGGAAAGGGGTTGTTACCGCCCGAAGTGTCCGCCAATAGACGAGGCGGTTTCTAATATGATTGTAAGTTAAAATATATGAAAACTAAGTTTTATACTATCACAAATTTGAAACATAATTTTACTCACCTTTACTACCTGTTACCTGCCAAAGCCACCGCGACCCAGGTTGTATAGGCTGGGTTTGCTTATACCTGTATAGGAGACATGTATAGAAGAATTTTCAGCTTTTATAATATAACGAAGGTCTGGGCGTCGCGGGCTCTTAGTCTAATAAAACGCCATCCACACTGGTTCACAATCAAAAAAAAAAACTAAAAAAGCACCTCCACTAGATGGCAACTCTAGCAAAAGTTGATTTTTGCAGAAAACGAATGGACTAAAAACAGTCATTTCCGTTCCTTTTAACTAACACATTAAAAAACATAAATTTGAAAAGTTCGAAACTTAGATATCAATACAAATACGAAAACGTACAAATAGAATATAAGTTGTTTATTAGAAAATCGGAAGGGTTGTCATGGAGAAATCAAGAACGTACCGTAGCGACATCTAGTTTGATTTCGGGAACAATTTTTTTTTTAAATACTTCCTCATTGATTGCCAACCAAGCATCTCGCCCAAAGGTGACCTTGGCTTGGCTGGAACTCGTTTTCTAACCTGAAGTGTTGTCATACTGGAGAACGTAAAAAAAATTTTTGTCTTTATTATTTGTCTTTAAATTCGTTTTTTTTTAATAATAGTCAAAATGAACAGAAATGTTCACTATCTTTAGTCCATTCGTTTCCTGCAAAAATTTGCTAGAGTTGCCATCTAGTGGAAGTGAAGTGAAGTTTAGTGCTTTCTTTTTTCAAAATACTTCTTCATTCATGCCCTGAAATGATCTATTTGGATCATTTGGAATAATTATTTTTATTTGCTTTTAATTATTGACATTTTAAACCTCTAAATGTGTGGACCAAGATCCCTCTGACTTTGTTTTATGCTTCGACCAAGGGCGTTAGAGTTGGTTTGTAACAGCCGTCCTAATGTTGCCAACTATCAAGGTCACCTTGGTTGGAGCTCAACCATCTTTTAACTGTCAATGTGTCAACAGTCGGGGTCTGTGTTCGGGGTAATTGTATATGTGTACCAAAGTCAATATTGTTCTGTGATAATAGCCAAAAAATGAATTTTTTAGATTTTATATGATAACTTGTGACTTTTAGGACTGTTACAACAGAAGAAGAAGAACTTACTATTCTGTTCCGTTTATAATCCTTCAACGTGGAACAATGTCTTCACCGTTAATTGATAAGTTTAAACAATTTGATGCCTATGCAAAAACGTTAGAAGACTTCAGAATAAAAACTGCAACCGGTGCCGCAAGTGTGTAATAATTGACTCAACGAGGAATTTATTTAACTTTGCCTTATTTTAATACTGTTTTTGTTTTAGTTACCATCACCGGTACTATAATAATGCTTTTACTGTTCTTATCAGAACTCAATACATACATTTCCCCAAACGTATCTGAAGAATTGTTTGTCGATACATCAAGAGGTCATAAATTAAGAATAAATTTTGATATAACTGTACCCAGAATCTCTTGTGACTGTAAGTAAATGTTTAATTTCAAAATAAATTACTATGATCTTACCTACCTCCAGTGAATTCATGTCTATTAAATCGTAAAGATGTTTAGAACGAAATTAGAATTAGCAATTTGATATTAGCTTACCCGAGTATAAGGCCACATAGCAGTTAAACATCATGAGTTACAAACTTTACTGCTGTAGGTCACTTTAAAACTAGAAACCACTCAAAATATTTTTTCTATGATTTAATACCACTGTATGTCATTAAACAAAGTCTTCCACCACATCTAATGGTTCACAATAAATTCTAAACTGCATATATATTCATATGTTATATGATTTGGCAAGTTATTATGTAATTTGGTTGGAATATAATGTTAGTAATTGGATAAAGTCCAGCCATTCTGTGTTTTCATAGAATATGCTACCTGATCCATTTGAAGTAAATAATGAACAATACATGGTGGGATATTCCTCTTTTATATATCTACAATAAAATAGTTCTTGATAGCATATTCTAGTTTTTAAGGATTTATCTTATGAAAAATTGAATATGGACAATGCATTTATCCTTATAAAATTAAACTTTAGTATAATATTATATATTATTTTAAACAGTAAGATGTAAATTAATACCTTAGAATTTATTGCAAAAAAATTAACACACACTTAAATTGAAATGCTCTTCACACCGATGATAGGAGTAAATTGAAGGGGATTCTTTAATGTGCAAGCCGGGCAGATCACCATTGTTTTATAAACACTAACTATTGTATTTGAACCTTAGATTTGGTGTTGGATGCAATGGATTCATCAGGAGAACAACATCTTCAAATGGATCACAACATACACAAAAGAAGACTGGATCTTGATGGAAATCCTATTGAAGAGCCAAAGAAAGAAAATTTTGTGACATCATCTCAAAGAGTAAAAAAATTGTTAAGTGATAGCTGATTTTAACTTCTCGTTTAGAAGAAATTTCACCGCTTAATAGTTCTTTTATATAGCAAAATTCAATTCAATGAAAAACACTTAAAAATTTTTTTTTGCATTTTTCATTGAATGTAAAATTAATCAAATATAATAATCTTTTATAGCTTATTTATATTTACAGAAAATAATTAATTAAAATAAACAAAATATGATATGTTTTTAGATAGAACACAATAAGACAAGTCTTGCTAAAGTAGAATGTGGTAGCTGTTATGGAGCTGCTTTCAATGAATCACAGTAAGTTTAAGACCTGACTGATTTTTATTTAAGAATGAAAGGGTTTATTTAAAACAACTAAATACATTACCAAATAATTTTTAATATAGATGTTGCAATACTTGTGAAGATGTTAAGGAAGCTTATAGGCTGCGCAGGTGGGCTTTACCAAACCTGTCAACAATCGAGCAGTGTAAAGGTGACGAATCAATAGAAAGAACCAATTTAGCCCTAAAAGAAGGTTGTCAGATATATGGCTACATGGAAGTAAACAGGGTACCAACTTACTATATTTGCTAATGACTTCATATATATTATTATTACATATTTAAAAGATGTGGCTAAAATTCTTCACTTCCTTTTATGTTTAGTTTACTATAACATTTTTTTACATCAATATAAATTATTAAATCATATGATTTAATGCCTAACAGAAAGAAAATTTGCCTGTCTTTTTTAATATTAAACTGCAACGAAATCCCCATGTTTATTTAAATGTAGTAAACTTAACATACTTGTATACCAAATTGCAATTTTAGGTTGGAGGAAGTTTTCATATAGCACCTGGGAAAAGTTTTACAATTAATCATGTTCACGTACATGATGTACAGCCATTCTCATCATCAGCATTTAATACAACACATATAATAAAACATTTATCTTTTGGAAGTAACATAAAAAGTGGCAATACTGCACCATTAGATGGAATAGTTGGTTTAGCAAAAGAAGGTTAGTATGCATTGCCAATTTTAAATGCTTGTTATAGGATATCATTCAGCATTACCTACTGCAGGTATAGATTAAAAAACTACTTTAAACACATGTGTTTGAAAAAAGTAGGGTTGAATGATTCCATTTGCCTGCTTAGTTTAATTCTAATACTTTTTCAGAAACACCAAGCAATTATTTTCCTAACACACTTAGGTTGTAAGATTTTATTAGAATTAAATAACATAAATTGCTACAAGTTCTTAAGCTATTTACAAAGTATTTGAATAAATTAACAACGAATTCCAGTTCCAATTGCCATAAAGGTTCCAAATGTTCCCCCACCTTGAAGCATGACTTTACCCACAGAATGGACTAATTCTCGTCCTCTTGCCCCATACCTGTAACAGAAATGGCAGAACAGCATTACATGATGTGTTTGGTAAATATAGTTTCGACTAACACAGTTCAACAAAAAGCTCATTAGGTATTATTTTATCTGCTGCTATAATACAGTAAAGTCCGCGATAAATATATATGCACATACGTGGACACGTCTTTATTCAAATGCAATTTATAAGCACACAAATATGTGAGAAAGTATAATATACCCATGCCACACAGGTAATAATAAAAAATAATGTTAGTTAAAATATAACCTCAGTGCAGTAAAACCGCCGAAGAGACCTCCACTAGCCATTCCAACACAAAACCCTATCATGAATCCCATTTTCATCTTGTCAAAGCAAGAAGGCCCCTGATTTTGATATATACCACCAGGAACAGGCATTTTTCATGTACGTCGTGACGATATTGTAATGTAAAATAATTTTATCGTATATTTTCTAACGCAATAATCAACCAAGAAAACTGACATTGACAGACAGATAGACAAGACCAAAGAGTTTTTTTATTGGCATGCACGGCTTGTGCTTAGCCATTGTCAAGACCAAAGAGTAGTATTAATGCCAGGCTGATACTGACAGACAGTCTGTTTGACACTTTTGACTACTAAGGTTAGGATATCTGTAATCGATAACAATTATAGTATCGATGTGTGTACTACCTACTTCTGATTAAGTTAACTCTAGGAAATTCTGTTTAGATTTTTCTGTGTCGTTAAGAATTACAAAATTATAAGAAATGTTACTATTTTTTGGAGTTTTGGCACTAATCTCTAATATAACCAATGAGTTTTTATGCCAACGTGTGTAAGCCAAAGAGCCTATTCTATCCCCTTCGCCCTGTGGATCCTACACTGTGCAGACGTGTTTTAAGTAAATTCGTAATTATTATTTTCACATTAAAGTTTGAAAAAGAATTGTTAGAATAACTTTTATCTAATACCAGGAGAGCATAACACAAAACAGCTTTCATAAACCACGAGTGTGCGAGTACAATCGATAACCGGAAAAAGATATCCTTGTTTTGTTTGAGTTCCTATTTAGTAGTACACATAGAATAAAACAATTAACCAACACCTGTGATGCTATTGTGCGTTACCACGCCCCTATCCCCATCAAGAGCACGCGCAAGCCTAAACTAGATACTGTATGTTTCTTATTCGATTCATCAATACAGAAACTAGATATGGTATGTTTCTTGTTCGATGCATCAATTACAGATCATGACTGCATATGATCAGCGTAAACTTAAATTCCTCTTTGTCTCGAACGAATAAATTTGCACACCGAATTGGCTTTGTTCAATTGGATGAGATTATGGAAAAACATTTCCAGGCTATCCTTATCATCAAAGAATCCAACAGCGCCGCTGAACGTATGGTAAATCTATTATCTACACTGTAGATACTTTAACTTACGATTAAAATAAAATTATTGTGAAAGTTAGATATTATAAGAAACACAAAACGATGTCATACTTATTAATTTTCGATACTCGATTTACTTTTATTACGTCAGAAACAAAATTTGAATGAATATCATAAATAAAATCCAAACATCGCGAGTGACATCTAGTATGATTTCAAGAACTAATTTTTATTTTTTGAATACACTGATTATGCATGCGTTCGAACATAGTAAAAAAATGTACACCGAGCGAGCGACAATAACAGGCCTCGTCAATTTTGAGCATTACTTTTCATAATTATGGGAGTAATTTGGGGAGCAATTTGCTAGCTGGTATTTCTTTCTAAGTCGTATTAAACCAAAACTAATAAAAACGGAATGCATATTACCATGGGTGTAAAAATTTTCCCCTTTTTATAATATTGTTGCTTTCCGTATTTTTAAATGAATTCGACCAAATACTTTTAGTTTAGTTTAATATCTTTGAGTTGCTCGGTGGCGTAGTGGAAAAGCACCGTGGCACGCGTTCGTTGTTGTTAAGCAATTTTCGCAAGGGTCGGTCACGGGATGGCTGACCAAAAAATATTATCTCGAACTACTCCGTGCTTCGGAAGGCACGTTAAGCCGTTGATCCTGGCCGCATTTGCAGTCGTTAATAACCTCCAATTGCATTAGGCCAGTGTGGTGGGTTACGGCACATTCTCCTTCACCATTCATAAGGAAGGCCTGAGCCCATGCACGTTAAAAGGCTGATGTTGATGATAATGATTATCTTTCATGTTACAAGTTTTGCAACGGCGCCGGCGCTAGTGTTAGTGAACAATAAAAAGAAGTTACATTCTATTTTATAAACAAGGAAATGTCCCAAAATTGGTAGCTATGTTTGATTTCTTATATGTCTGTGGATCTGTCAGGCATTATAATATTTAAATTTGTTTAAGTATTTGAATTTGTATATAATTAAATATAAAGACTTTTACATATATTTGATACTGTTATAAAATAATGTATTTATACATGGAATTTCAAAATAAGTTTTTAATTACTATAATTACTCGTAAAACTACTATGATAATTGCTATGAAGTGATTTACACACTTATAATTTTGCTTTTTTTAAAAGGGTATAATTACAATAAAAATAAAAAATTCCCGTGTAACTTTGTGATTTATTCTCTACTGACGTTTTGGCTATAATAGGACTCTTGAATACATTTATAATTAACACGTTAGGCAAACAATATGTTTTTTTTGGTGCACGAGCCCTATAATAAGCATAATTATTTTTATGACCGAATGGTTATGTTTGGGAAACTGTAATCATATTTATAAGTTAGCATGGTTAAAAATTTTCAACATTTCGAGGTAATTGTTGTTTATACTGTTATCTTATCACTCATGACATAAATGCAAAACTTTGCAATTAATACACGTTCTCTGCTTACGCACACGCGAATCTCACATTGCTTCACGAATTCATGAATGAATGAATATACTTTATTGCCCATAAAAACATAAAAATAAAAACAATTATTATTAGAAACATCAATGCAAAAGGCGGCCTTATCTCTACCAGGCTACCCTTGACTAAAAGAAGCTATACCAATTGAGTAAAGAGACTGCGGGAAAGTGTAATAAAAAAAGATGAGTTTGAAAATTCATAAAAGTAAATACATATACTAATATCATTAAAAAAAAACAGAATACAATTTCAGGAAGATGAATCCAGCTTGAGGAAATGTTCCTTGACATATTTAACAAAGGACTCTCCTGATTGTGCGCGTCTGATATTTACCGGCAATGAGTTCCACAATTTGATAGGTCTGATATAAAACGACTTGGCTACAAAAACAGTTGTATGAGGAGGGATCATTAAGGAAAGGTTATGGGAAGACCTCAAATCTCGGAGAGAATTAGAAGAGTGAAAAACGAAGTGATCTTTAAGATATTGCGGTGTTTGAGGATTAAAAAGAATAGAATAAAGAAACGATAGGATGTAACAGTCTCCTCTACGAGAGATAGGTAGCCATTGAAGTTGGGAACGATATTTAGAGATATGGTCATACTTGCCAACGATGAAACGGATACATAAATTTTGAAGACGCTCAAGCTTATTTAGATGTATATTATATTATAGTACATTGAATTTATACATACGTAACGAAAACGGTTTGTATCTGAGCGCGCCCGTCTTCGATCAACAAAGGCGCTTTGTGCGTATGCGTAGTCGCACGCACACACTAATAAACTTGTGCCTTGAACTATAAATTCAAAGATGGTTTTGAATTTGAAAATCTCTATCGCAATTGGAACAACTTTTCCTGAGTATGGCATACGACATGCTCTGCGTCTAGTTTTCGCCCGCTGAGGCGGTGCACTGGCGACACGCCGGCCACCGCCGACCGGTACATTTAAGTTTGCGTTGTATTCCGTAATTCCGATAACTATAAACTCAACATAATATTTATTTTATAATAGTCAAGCAAAACAATCTTTTAAAAAAAATAGAACCGACTTAAAAAGAGTTAAAAATAATACTTATCTCAAAGTCAAAACAATCTTTATTCAAATAGACTTAAAAGTTCTTTTGAATTATCCAATTTTTTTCTGATAAGAAGAACAAGCGAAAAACTCACCAGCTCTAATAGGAGTAATGAATGACATTCACAAAAACCATGTCATTACCAGATCAATGCATTATAAATAGTAAAAAAAACTATGGTCTTATAATGATAACATAATAAATAACTTAATAATAATGGCAACAAGATAATTTTTGAGATATAATGAGTTTAAAAGAAATCACCTGTCCAATTGCTGGACCATCTTGAATCCAAGCATTCTTATCTGTTATATAATAGGATACGTTGAATAAACTTTTCAAATAAGTATTTTTATAATAGTAGATTTAAATTGCATGATATCTTCTTCTTCTTCTTTTATTAGTGGCTGATCTGCGCATTTCGCACAATTCTGCCAATGTCAAGTGGATAAATCAATTATTACATGTAAAATGAAAATGAAATGTTTGCATGATATCTGATTATTGTATTTTGCTTGGGACCTTATTGTAGAAGCGCACATAGATATAGCCATGAATGAGTTATTAACTTTTTAGAGTCTAGTGACAGGCAACATGACCGTTATTTTATTTTTATTTCTTGTATTAAAATTGTGTACATCACTTTATTTAGAAAACAAACTAATATTTTTACGAACGTACATTAAGTTCTCGTATATCAATACAGCCAAAAGAAATATTATTATCAAATATTGAAACTTTCGTTAAAGATGAGAATTTTGTTCTAATTATTATATTTTGATTAGTTTTGCATTCACAATACCATACTGAAAATTGATTCTGTTTGGGTGGATACCTGAACATTGATGAGAATTCGCTCTGTAGTAGCGAAAAGTAACAAGTGCTTGAAAGATTCGTCAGTCCTTTTAGGTCCTGGGTAGCTCAGCGGTTAGAGCAGTCGCCCGGATTGCGAAAGGTCGAGGGTTCGATTCCCATCTCAGGGTCAGCCAAGGGACCATGATATTCCACGTCGTTTTAATTTTATCAAAAGCGTCTTTTTCAAGAAAATACTATTGAAGACTGGCACCTATAAATTAATTAATAACCTACAGAAAACCTCCGCCAACCAGTGTTTATTTGTTAACGGTACTGATCGTTGAACACAATTGAGTCACCAAAATGGCAGCCAGACACTTTTACCATAATATTGCAAAATCGCGCCACATATGTGCCCTTTTCACACTTCTATTTACTTACTCTAAGATATTTATCTTTTCAGGTGCTGTAATGTTTCAATATTATTTAAAAATTGTTCCAACTATGTATGTTAAGTTGGACAAGTCTGTTCTATATACAAACCAATTTTCGGTTACACGACATCAAAAATCAGTGTCGAATGTCAACTCTGAATCTGGTATGCCCGGTGCCTTCTTTAGTTATGAACTCTCACCACTTATGGTAAAATATACAGAAAAAGAAAGGTAAGTTAAGACAAAAAAAAATATTTTCTGATATAACAACTGTTTAATAAAAAAATAATATTTACATTTTTATTTATTTACAGATCCATCGGTCATTTTGCTACTAACATATGTGCTATAATAGGAGGAGTCTTCACAGTTGCTGGTATATTTGATACATTATTATATCATTCACTTAATGCCTTTCAAAATAAGATATTACTTGGAAAAACTGGATAGTTTCTTTATATTGTCTTTAAAAAGGTATTAAAGTCACTCACATTACATTTTGCATATTTTTTACAAAATTCTACATCTGTGCCCTCTACTAATGCCTTAAGTGGAACAAAATTTTCCTTCTTAGGATCAAATTGATCCCTTCCTAGCTTTTTAAGAAACATATGACGTTGTTTTACCCGAAAATTCCTAGATAACAATACCTCTGGGCAAAGAAGTATAATGGAGTGAGGTATATTCATAACATTATGGATATACTTAAATCTCTCCAAAAGCGCCCGTTGATCTGAAACAAATAGGAACATTATTTTTTTTACAATATCGATATCTATAATTAAATCTAAATCCGTCTTTATGAGGACTTTGGTACTGGATGCTTTGCAGACCAAGGTCTGGTCATGATGAACCTGGAAAGTCGTCATAGGAACTTGGTAATGAAATAATGCACTTGCATCATGGTTGGGCTCGTTTTGTTAAAATTATTATTTTTTTATTTTGTTGCGCACAAATAAAACTTTTATTATATTTTTATGAAATCTCTTGTGGGAACAGTTACAAAAGGTTACCTACAAGTACTACTCGGTCAAGATAGTACCGGGAAAAGATCAATAATACACAAACTGTTTGTTATTCATCCAAATTTATTTTATCACCTTTAAAGTATGCTAACGAATAATCCAATCATCAAAACATTTTTTAAACGCTGTTTCCGGAGTTGAGTTCAGTTCTCGCCGCGAATTCTCCTACATGTCTTCTACCGATGGAAACGGGTGCCACCAAGTGGTAATTTGAGTTTAGGAAAAAGAAAAAAGCCGGCTGGAGCCATATCTGGATAATATGGTGATTGCTCGATGATATTTGTTGTATGTTTGCTCAAAATTCATTTCTAATGTGGCCTTGTGCGAAGGCGCACGCTATAATGCTCAATTAAGGATAACGCTCAAATAACCATTTGACCTTCCGGCAAGAATTCAGAGTACACAACACCGCGATAGTCAAAGAAAATATTCAATATGACCTTGACTTTTGAAAGACTTTGGAGTGGTTTTTTCAGTTTCGGTTCAGATGGAAGGAGTCAAACTCATAAACTCACGTCTCCTCACCAGTAACAATGCATTTCATGGATGTTGGTTTGGAATTGACTCGTTCTAGCATGTCCCCAGAGGCTCTCATGCGATTAGAGTGTTTGAAGAAAATCCTAGTCTTTTGGGACTAACCGGGCGACAACGTGTTTTTTTTTAATTTATTTATTTACAATGGGCTCATTCTTGACCTTTATCTAGCCTAAGGACAAAGATGATATCTACGGTGGGACGAGTTTGCCCAGAAGGAACCTATTCACTTTTGTCTTAAATAGTACGTCTGGGCTATATGCGCTCGGGAATATAGGCGCCGGCAAGGAGTTCCACTCCTTGCGATTTAAGCGAAAAGCACTTAATTAAGCATGCTTTTCTAAATAAGTGTAAAAACGGTTTTTCACTAAGTAGAAAAGTATGCTAATGATAATGATATGTCCCGCCATCTATCAAGTTATGATGTAACTACCGGCATTTTTCTTTTGGAGGGCAGCACTTTACATAAATGCACTGTATTATAATATAAATATACATACATCTAGACTTCTTTGGTTGGTTAATCTAGACTCTTTTTTTAAACGGATCTTAACGTCTGAATAGGCGCGCGTTGTGTTAAAAGTTAATTCATTACGTAAATTTAAAGTTAAACATTATTATATTCATTCCAGATAGATCTAAGCCTGTGATTAAGTACGAAGGAAAATTCATGGGTTAAAATAAAGTACAAAAAATATGTATGTTATAAATATTTTGTTTACTTACAACAATTTCGTTTTATTTGGTTTATTTAGCTTTGAAAAATTATTAATTAATACAACACAACGTTGCACGCATATTATAAAAATTTCCAAACGGCAGTTGAAATAAAAAAACGTTTAAACAATAAGCCATTTTTAAAAACGCTTATTAAAAATCGTACAACGTAACAACGCTTAAAAAAATTTAGCTATTATTTGCACCTCTTGTCATTGGTGTAGAATGAGATGTAAATATCCTTTATTCGATTGTGCTTAATGTATATAGATAGCACTTATGAGTCATCCATATATTATAAAGGGGTAAAGTTTCTAATTTTGTTAATTTGTTTGCAATCATGGGAAATATTAATCCAATCATGAAACTACTTTCACCTACGGGAAGCTACATCGTACATAAAGGCTATATTTTCGCGGGCGAAGTCGTGGTATAACAAGCTAGTATATTATACATCCATTGCTACTTATTTAAAATATAAATTTATTTACTTCATGATAAAAATTAGTTATGTTAATAACGGAAAATGTTTCAACCTTTCAAAATAGGTATAGGATCCTCTTCACACCCTTATCGCAACCCTCCCTATGTCCATTAAAATATGATGTGATATGTGTACCGCGATTTATAAATAACCCTAAAGAAGTGTTTTCAAGTCACTGTATTGTGTGCTACCGCTAGGATAAGACAGATTGATAAAAAATTGCCTGCAAATACGGATACAAATCATCCGAATTTGTCAAAAACAGAAAAATATCTACAAGAAAGTTTAGGAGTGTTATATGGAAATACCTGTTTGATTATTAATTTATTTTGGGAAAACCAACAGCTAGAACAAATACATAGCAATTAAATAGTCTATATGAAGCCAATTGATGAGGATGAGGACTTGCCTCACAGATGGTTTACGAATTAGTAAACAAAAAATCGACACTCACATGATACACATAAAATATATATACATATATTTAATAAAGCTGTTCCACCTTTGGGATCACATATAATTAATATTTCTATTAATCATCATCAATCTAAAAAAAACCTATCCACGAATGCAACCTTGCTTTCTCAAAACCAGTATTAAACAGGTCGAAATCGAATTCGATACATACTTTAGTAAAATTGTTACATGCACGCCATATAAAGGAATTTTGCCTGTGATATGTATTAACTTCTGGAAGATAAATAAGCGCATTCGATCTTAAGATTTTACGAGGCGGTATAATGTAAATTAAACCTCATAATTGAGGACAATCGTCGACATAGGATGTGATGTTAAGCAGGAAGCAAAGATCAGCAATTGGACGTCTTTGCTCTAGCGGTATGAGATGATGCTTCTTGCAGTAGAGCATGTAATCAGAGGAGGAAAATGGCTCAGAAAATCGGAAACATAGAAAACGTAAAAATTTTATCTGAATATTTTCCAATCTGGAAATGTAAGTCGAGTATCTAGGGTTCCAAACCTGCGATGCATATTCAAGATGACTGCGTACATATGTGCAATAAAGGATTTTTAAAGTCTTAGCTTGCTTAAAATCACGAGATATACGTTTGATAAAGCCTAATGCCCTATGTGCTTTAGCGAAAATACTGTCGATATGGACATCGAATATCAGTCGCGAGTCATGAAACACACCAAGATCGGCGTATGCTAGCCTCTCTTCCGAGCCGTTCGCCTCTTATGACGTAGATGAAAACTACAGGACTTCGTTTCCTACTGTAACTTACGAGACAATACTTAGTAGAATTTAGGTCTAAATAATTACATTAAGTGTTGAAGTATGTTTCAAATTTAGAGACGTCCTCCTGGAGGGATTGAGCATCCATGATAGATCATATTCTAGGGAAGATCTTCATGTCATCAGCAAATGATAAAACACTAGAAGAACTGAAGCATTTCTCAATATCATTCACGAAAACTAAAAACAGCAAAGGTCCAAGCAACAAACCCAGCTTAAGACTGGTTATTAAGGTAGGATGAAAACCACCTAAGAAGGTCTGCCTTGATTTCAATCGAAGGTAGCTTAGAAACTAATAAATGGTGTGAAATTCTGTCAAAGGCTTTGCTATAATTAGTGTAAGTTAGTAATTAGTGTAAATAACATCCACTTGCCCTCCGTTATCCATTATATCAATGATTGTCTCATTCAGAAGAAGAAGATTAGACTGTTGAGATGCTTTTCAGAAGTCCATGTTGCTGAGGACTTATTTAATGTCTAATACAAGGATATAACTGATTGTAAATTAAATGTTTCAAAACCTTTGCAACTTTACACAGTTTAGTAACCGGTCTAGTTTTCTACCTCATATTTTAATCCTTTTTTCCTTGTTCATATCAGCTTCGCTTTTTGAACACTCAAAATAGCAGGAAAAGATTTTCATATAATGCACGACTGCACTTTTAGAGCTACTAGTCTAAACAAATAAAATAAAAACATTAGAATGTTTCTCATAAATAGTCATAGTTTGTAGCGGGCTCAAAAATTTAAAATATTATTGATGAAATACAGAAAAAAAATATAAAAACAAAACACTTGCAAATTATCTTTAAGTTAACTGTCTACTGTACTTATATACTTATGATAATATTATTGAACAAATTTTGTACTTAAATGAACCTGTATACACAGGTTCATGGTTTCCATCAAATCATTTTGAGAACCAATGTTTTATTCATAGAATGATGCAAAATTTTATTGATAAAGCATCACATTAATATTAATTTGGTAATTTAATACCTGAATACCTGGCAACATACTTACTCAGCATCCACAACTTTGGTTTATCTAAAAGTAATTTTTTCAATTCTTGATCTTCAAATCCCATTTCTTCTTTAATAACAAATGTATTAGTTATAACATGATGAAGATTGTATGTAATCAATCTTGGTTGCTTTGCAGTTAAACCCCTGACTTCAGAACCACAAAGATTAAATTTGTTTTGAAAATATCCTAATCTTCTATCAATTCTGGTAGTGCTATAAACAGACATAGTCTTTGATTAATTACCATATTATTAAGTATTTATAGTTGAAGATCTTAACATACATCATCATGACAACATAAAGTAACATAAAATATTTTATGATTTCTATCTCACATAATCTGGCAGATTGTAGCTTATATTGTAACTGACAAGAAACTAAAAAGTCCATGATGCCCGAGATCATAACCCAGGTCATTGAATAGCACAATGTACATAGTTACTATGAAGAGACTAATAAAAAATCTCTGTAGTTTGTGAGGTTGTTGCATTCCCTAAACTATAGTTGAGCGTATCTGTGGTTGGCTCAAGAGTCATGTTTGTGAATGGGTGCTGCCAGTGGGGTTGAATCTGCTCTAATCTTCTTTATGTCATTTATATAATTTTGTCCATTATTGTGAATGAGTGAGTATATACAACACATGACGAATTTCTTGCCTGTTCTTCTAAATAAAGTAAAGCACAACATTGAGAGTGAAACAAATTTTATAATTACTTTAAGGGTTGGTGCATATCTGATGATGAAAGATTAAGTCTCAAGGAAGCATGCATTAGATCATCTGATGAGTGTGCAAATATAATTTTCTAAGTTCTGATGTCCCTCTCATTGGTTACTGAAACCAATGAGAGGGAGGCATTTTCAGCCAGGTGTGCACCAATCTTAATAATAAGTACATACATTACATCTCACCTGAACATAAGCCAGTAAGGATTTTTAGAAATAATTCTTCTGACTTCAGTATTGGAGAATTGCTTTGAATGTAAATAGTTTATTCTTATGCTAAGATCTTCAAGTGATTCATACAGAATTAATGGATTTTTTGTAATGAAATTACCGATTTCATTTGCATCAACATAATCCTTTATGAAAAGAATAAAATTACCAATAGTTTCAGAGTTAAGTTTCAAAACTTTTTCCGCTATATATGGTTTCTTCTCTATCTTACTCAAATTTACATTAAGGTGAAGCAAATTTTGTAATAATTCAGAATTATTGATATATGCTGCTAAATTGAATGTTTTTGGGTAATAAGGAGTAAAAGAAGATAAATCTTCACAAGTTTCATTCAAACTATTAGAAGAGGCATTTTCGTAAGTAATATTCGAGATCAATTCCTGTTTCTGTGAATAAGAAACAATGGCATTGTTAACACAATACAGAGATTTTAAAGTACATGTATGTTTCATCAACTTAAATAACGCCATTTCCAATAACAAAAAACCTGCATTTATGATTTAATCAGCTTCCGACTACAAAAAAGCGTAAACAGTCAAATTAAAATTAACAATTTTCATAACCTAAACAATAATTGATATTTTTATTCTTTCTAGCTTCAGGGTAGGCAAAGGACTTCCATCCATACAGCCACTTCATGTTTTAATAGTCTCTTGATATTTTTTTAGGTGCAGGTTAACACCAAATCTTAAGTTAAATATCTCTTAAGTTTCAAACGTTTAATTATTCACAATAAAGTTACACAATCAAACCACGCTTCCAAGATAAAACATAAAGAATGAGGAAGTTTGTAAAAAAAAACATCAGTTCTCGAAATCAAACTAGATGTCGCTACAGTACGTTCTTGATTTCTCCATGACAACCTTTCCGGTTTTCTTTCAAGTTTAAAAGTAAATTAGTTTTCAAAACTCAATAAACAACTCATATCTATTTGTACTTTTTCGTTTTTGTATTGATATCTAAGTTTTTGATATGTTAGTTAAAAGAAACGGAAATGATTTTCGTTGCTCCATTCATTTCCTACAAAAATCAACTTTTGCTAGAGTCGCCATCTAGTAGGGGTGTTTTTTTAGTGCTTTCGTTTTTTTAAATACTTATCGTTATAGTCGGTATCGTTTCATCCCTAATAACGCCTCCTGTTGAGGATCGTCAGCTGAACCGACCTATTTTTATACGTTGTCTTTGTTTTTATAGTTTTTTTTATATATATTTGATTTTTATTTAATTTTTTTTTGTTTTGACATATGGTCGATCATTGATTGTCACGTGCTTTGACGAGTATATTTGTTTTGTGGACAATATAGTTTTGAGAAGATAAGTTGTTTATTTTCGCACCTGTGCCCACACCATTCATCGTCACCCTCTTCGTCGATAACACCTCCCATACTAAAACAATACTCAAATACGGTACCAAACCATAGACCATACACTGCGACAACCAAGGAACATGTGTTATGTTTCTACAAAGTATATTCTGTAAATACTCTAGCAAGTTGCATGGTTGTTACCTATTCTTTTATTCTTATCGCCTAACATCCAAAATCCAACATCTTTTTCTGGTTGACTGGTAGAATGCCTTTGACATTAAGTCCGTCATTTATTTGTTTTTTTTTAAGCAATAAAGAATAAATCAAAATTGCTCACGTTAAGCTGTACAGTGACTGACAAGTTTTGTATTAATTTCAGTGAAGTGAAGTCTCACAGAAAACACAAATTTAAGTTTTATTTTTAATTACGTATACGCACAAAAACCGACTTATGATGGCAAACTACAAACATATATTTGTATGTATTAAAACTTTCGACAAAATCGCAAATGGTTCCACTCTTCGCGTATTTAAACACATGTTTGGTGCAAGATTAACATTAATCACTATTTTGGCTCAAATAGTAAATACATACTCATGTATTGTAATGTAGATGCCACTAGCGATGTTTGGATCTTTTCTATTATATTCATGGAATTTTGTTTATGACCTAATAAAAGTAAATTGAGTATTGAAAATCAAGAAATATGATTTCATTTCGTGTGTCTTGTATTATCTAACATTCAAATTATAATTTATTTGAATCGTAAGTTTAAGTTATCTGTTATGCGTTATGCTATGTTATGTGTAAAGGAACGATGTTTGGTTTATACGTCAACATTAGTGACAAGCCAACCATTTACTTGCTCGTAACTTCAATCGACTCGATTCATCCGAATTCAGGTTTGGGATCAAGAACAAAAAGCGAAGCGCTGAATCCAGCTTGTTTTTTTTATGTGCAGTATTTTCATATGTGCGATTATGCATCCACACGTCGAATTATATAAATATTAAATCAATTCAGTCTACGCTGTTACATAGTTCTTGTGAAAGTTGAAAACTTTGCCAATGGTTCGCTCAACTAAGGCTACTATGAAGTATTTTGTACTATGAAGAACCGACAAGAAACTCAGAAAGAGCTGCCTTTTTCTCCCATGTTTTATTTCATACAGAGAAGTCTAATTATAATGTAACTTAATTACTTTCCATTATGATATTAGAAATCCTACATGGAATGACAAATCAATATACAATATTCATAATAATAGAAAATGAACAAAATTGAGTAGTCCAATGCAGACTCATCCCCACTGGCATATCCATTGACGAGCTTGACGTATGAGTCAGCCATCGCTTCGTTCATCTATATTTGATGAATCGTAACAATCCGACGCACACGCCACCACCTCAGAGATTTTTAAGAGAGCATGACTCACAGATGACTTCTCTAGGTACTCAATAAGTAGTATATTCCAATTAAAGTTATAACCTTTCTGTTCGTTTCGAACGGACGTCTCTTGTTGATTGCTGAATTTTTATTGAGATGATTTAATTATGAATATAAGATTAAATAACTGATCATAGTTTTTTTTATTCTTAATTTCGAAAGGACAACTCATTTGAACGTTATATTTTGCACAAACGTCGTTCTAGTATATTTGATACATATTGGGTAAGTATATAGGTAATAAATGAATTTTTTATTATAATTATTGTTTTTATGACCCATAATATAAAAATATTATTGAAACTTGATGTAGTTTTGCTGTCGTAAGTTCAACAAACAACTAACAGCAACAAAACTAACTTACCTAGTTGTTATTGTTTTTTAGAACTTTTCTTTAATGTTATAATGAAAAATTCTTAGACCTACTATGGCAAAAGTATTTTATTTATAAAAATTATTTTACGGTAATATTATTGTATACCGTGCTAAATGCTACTTTTAATAATTTCACAGCATTAATTTGATTGATTACTCTATCTTTTAAAAAAACTTCTCTGTACTTACTTCCATTATGTTAGTTTCCATTTTTCTTAGTCGAATCGAATCGAGTCAATTGAAATTAATCGAGTCAATTGAGCAATCGAATCGAGTCAATTGAGCAATCAATAAGTTGGCTCATCACTAATGATGACTTATAAACCAAACATTGTTCCTTTACATGTAACATAATCAGAGGTCGGAATTAGGAAGAGTTATTTATGTACTTGCATCGAAATGTTGATATTAATGTGGACCTTCGTGGCAACATCGCGCGTATTGGTATTTTGCAACTTTGGACATCCGATGTCATTGATGTAAGTTTGGCAACGTCGTGCGTGCAGTAGTTTAAATTGTGTAAAAGTAAATAACTTTTTATTTAAAAAATCACAGGTTTTTTTCTGCTCTTTAAAATTAATCTCGGGATTTGAGGCATATCCACTTTATTCTTTCGCTGTATGAAATCAGTGTAAGTACATGAATAACTCTACCTAATTCCGACCACTGAACATAATAAATAACTTAAACTTACGATTCTAATAAATTTAAATTAATTTGAAAGTTAGATATTATAGGAAACACGAAACGATGTCATATTTATAAATTTTCAATATTCAATTCACTTTTATTACGTCAGAAACAAAATTTGAATGAATATCATAGACAAGATCCAAACGTTGCTAGTGACATCTAGTTTGATTTCAAGAACAAATTTTTATTTTTTTAAATACTTCCTTATCGCCGCAGCTATAGCAACTCTGGAACAAAACACTATCCAAAATATATAAACTTTATAAGTAAATGGTAATTTACGAATTTTTCTGAAATATTTTTATTGTTTTTATTTTCATTCAAATTTTTCCTTAAAAATATAATAAAGTTAGCAAACAACGCAACACCAACAACGCAAAAAAATATATCGATTTGATATCTAAAAATATATATCGATATATCGATAGTTTTAGCCCAATCCTAATCGAAAGTATCGTCGAGCCCTAGTCGTGACGTGAGTTGGTCGAAGTTGGTTAAAAGAGAAGTTATGTGGTGGAATCATTTTCTTTCTCGTTAAAACGAAAGTAAGAAAATATCGTAGGAAAGTCTAGTGATACTTAAAAAAGGTTAGCAAATTATTTAAACTTATGAGTTTTATTAATGTAAATATAAGAATATTAGGTACTAGTCGTAATTCCAGGTTATTTGAAGACTAAAATGTAATATGTGTAACATATGGAAAAGTAACCAATAACTTACTTAAGTTGCTCCATATTGTCTTTAATAATAGAATTATAACTAAAAGATGGCATCAAATATTAACGTTACATTAGATTACTTTAAAAGTGTGAACCAATGTAACTTTCATTTCTGTTTAAAATCAAATATCTAGGTTGAACAAATTTTCATTTGAAAATGCATTACACTATATGAGATATATATATTTTAGCTTGCGGTTTGGTCTGTTGCTGCAATGGTGCATCATATAGTTATTGATCTCCAATGCGGATATCACGAAAAAGTGCAGACTAATTAAAAACATTATAATAGAAATACTGTTTTTTTATGTTATTTTTATATTGTAATTTCAACTGTGTTTTATGGTACTGGTTCCTCAATATAAACCTTGCTACTATAGCATCAACACACATTTTTTTATTATACTTTAATGTAAAAATATAAAAAACATTCCCACTATACAATTTGTTATTTTTACAATCAATGTTTAATATTCTGTCACATGTATTCATATTATATAATCAGGTTGCCAAATTTATTTTCATCCTGTATGGGATGAAGCTTAAATTATATATATGTATAACGAACACAAAAATATTCGGGATTTCAAGTAAAATCATTACATTTTTAATCATAGTTAAATAAGGTTATTAATTCGCTTTTTATTAAGTTGGAGATACATTTATTTTGTAACGTACGAAATAAATGTGTATTCTAGTTTAACACCATTTTTGTAATCGATTATTGATTTATAATTACGCTCAAACATTCGGTGAAATTGGCGTTTTGTTGTACTGGCCACTTTAATCACTAATTTCTCCTCCTTGGTTAGGAATTCCAAATTCAAATTTATACAGCCATTTACACGTCTTTGTGATTCGCTAGACGGCATTCATTTGATTTTTTTTTTCCTCTGTTTGTCCTATTTCCGTCACCCAGTATAAAAATTTCAAAACTTAAAATATCGTGTTATTTACGAGTACGAGTTCCACCGTGGTACCAGTGCTGCGGAAACGGCTTGAAGGGTTAATGATGTGTATGGCGGTTGTGTTGCAAAAGAAAACACAGTGCGTTTTTGCTTCCAACGTTTTCGTTCTGGAAATTTCGACCTGCAAAACAAGCCCCGTGGACGGCCTGAGACCCAAGTTAATAATGAAGAATTGAAGGCTATTATTGAAGCGGATCCATCGCCAACCACGTCCGAGTTAGCTGCAGGCTGAGTTAGTGATAAAACTGTTTTAATCCACTCGAAGCAAATTGGAAAGATTAAAAAGCTTGAAAGGTTACCTCACGAATTGAGTGAAGCAAACGCGCTTCGACTGCTGCGTTACATTATTTAACCGACACAATAATGTAGGGTTTTTAAATCGAATCATTACCTGTGATGAAAAGTGAATTCTCTACGATAATCGGAAGCGCTTATCGCAATGGTTGGACCCTGGCATGCCAGCTAAATCCTGCCCCAAGCGAAGATTGACCCCAAAAAAGTTACTTGTAAGCGTCTGGTGGACTAGTGCCGGTGTCGTTCATTACAGTTGTCTCAAATCTGGCCAGACGATTACGGCAGATGTCTATTGTTAGCAATTGCAAACCATGCTGGAGAAACTAGCTGTTAAATAACCGAGGCTGGTAAATCGCTCTACGCCACTGCTACTTCACGTCAACGCTAGAGCACACACTGCACGACCGACGACCGACGGACGACATACAGGGCAAAATTGACTTTTACCCACTAACGTACAAAGATTGTTCAACGGCCAAGTCACACAACATTTACTATAATAATAAAGAAATCGCAGTAAGGAACTTTAGACTTAGCATGACTTTGTCTAGATTTCAAGATAAACAAGCAGCTCCATTGAGACTTGGCAAATTTTTTACAGAATGTTTTTGGTGGGATATAAAATAATACTTGTTAAACCTATCCATCAGACACCAAAGTTTTTTTATATCTGAGAATAAAGCAATGCTGAGTGGCATTGGCATTGCAATGGCTCAACTCGGGTGCCGGCTGAAAACCAACGTTTACTCTGCTGCAGCACTATGTCGAGCTAGGACCTTTTGAACACTGCACCGAATAAAGACTATTATTACAATTTAGGTTAATTTATATTTTTTCTTTTTATATATTGTAGTTCCTATATTAACATTGGGTACTCTTTCTATTTTTGGCTTTAATTTGTCAAAAGGTGTACGTGTTCAATAAACATTCATTCATTCATAATTTGGTACTTCCTATATTGATTATGACGGTTTTTGATCTTTTTGGATATGGTCAGAGTAATAATATTTGCTTTGTGGTGTTCGGTTCGCACTGCCCATCCCGTATGGAAAACGACATAAAGAAATAATATGACATTTGTTTCTGCCAGACGGAGCCGAGACACTACTCGTGCGCATCCCTTGAATTTTCAGTATATTAGTTGTAGTATATATTACTTAATTAAAAAGAAGCGACAATAATTACTTGGGATGAGTAGTTTGGCCGTCTACCGAATATCTAACCAGCTATCCGGCGAACATAGCTGATTGATGCCTCGTAAAATGCTGATGACATTTTTAATCATAGATGTGTGTCTTGGTTGTTCGCAGACTCAATCAACGTAGAAAATAAAATAAAATTAAATGGGCAGACATATGAGATGTGTCAATGAAATTCAGAAATTCAAACTCGAAATAGAGCGCCAAGTTATTTTTAATTAATTACCCACTCATAAACCATTATGACTCTAAATTTAGTGACTTAACTAGCGATTTTGGTCAAGGCAGCCTCTTAAACCGGCTTGTTATCGCTTAATACAGAAGACTAAATTAGTACACCTTCACCATAATTTGTCGGACGCCGAATCATTACCAGATATCTGTTTCATCACATAAATCTATAGATATTTTTCTAATATCACACTTCGTGAATTAATTAAATAGCAGCATTGGTGGCTGTTTGTTAATTTCTGTGAAGTCATCTTTAGAGATACTATGAACGGCCTCCCCGACAGCATTGTTTCGCAGCTAATCAGATATCTTCGTCACACAAAATTTACTGTTTTTATTTTATTTTTGGTTTTATTTTTAGATTTGGTGCCAATATCTACAACAGGCTTTAAAATTAGTCTTCTCTTTTTACAGATTAACGTCACCATGGATACAACAATGACTGCCAGTGAGGTTCGCAAAACTTATATTGATTTTTTTATTGAAAAAGGACATAAATATGTCCACTCCTCTTCAACTATACCATTAGACGACCCAACTTTGCTCTTTGCCAACGCTGGAATGAACCAGTTTAAACCGATTTTTTTAGGATCTGTAGACCCAAACTCTGATATGGCTCAATATGTTCGTGTGGTAAACACTCAAAAATGTATTAGAGCTGGGGGCAAACATAATGATTTAGATGATGTCGGAAAAGATGTTTACCATCACACTTTCTTTGAAATGATGGGAAATTGGTCGTTTGGAGATTATTTTAAAAGAGAAGTATGCACATGGGCTTGGGAACTATTAACTCAAGTGTACAAATTACCAGGAGAAAGATTGTATGTAACTTATTTTGGTGGGGATTCTGCTTCAGGGCTTGAACCGGATTTGGAATGTAAAAATATTTGGTTAAACTTGGGCCTCCCGGAATCTCATATTTTACCAGGAAGCATGAAAGACAATTTCTGGGAAATGGGTGAAACTGGCCCTTGCGGTCCTTGTTCTGAATTACATTATGATAGAATTGGAGACCGTGAAGCTGCTCATCTTGTTAATATGGATGATCCAGATGTATTAGAGATATGGAATTTAGTTTTTATACAATTTAATAGAGAATCAGATGGATCATTAAAATTATTACCAAAAAAACACATTGACTGTGGATTAGGACTTGAAAGATTGGTATCCGTTATACAAAATAAAAGAGCGAATTATGATACCGATTTGTTTCTGCCCATTTTCAAGGCCATTGAGATAGGTACTGGAGCTAGACCTTACTCTGGGAAAGTTGGTGTTGAAGATATCGATGGCATTGATATGGCTTATCGTGTCTTAGCTGATCATGCTAGAACTTTGACAATTGCGTTATCTGATGGAGGATATCCCGATAATACTGGAAGAGGATACGTACTGCGTCGTATTCTAAGGAGAGCTGTTCGCTATGCGTGTGAAAAACTTAACGCCAAGCCAGGATTTTTTTCTTCATTAGTTTATACAGTAGTTGAGTTATTAGGGGATGTATTTCCCGAAATCAAGAAAGATCCGCAATCTATTATCCAGCTGATTAATGAAGAAGAGATTCAATTTTTAAAAACACTTTCTAGAGGAAGAAATTTGCTTAATAGAACCATTGAGCGACTTGGAGATTCTAAAATTATTCCAGGAGATGTAGCTTGGCGTCTATATGATACTTACGGATTTCCTATTGATCTCACGATACTTATGTGCGAAGAAAAAAATCTTTCGATTGATATGGAAACTTACGAGAAAGCAAGAAAAGAATCTCTTTTGGCATCACAAGGTAAAACTGCAGGTCAAGACGATTTACTAGCATTAGATATACATGCCATCAGTTATCTTCAAGATAGTGGTATACCTGTTACAGATGACTCTCCAAAATACAATTACAAGGCTTCAACACAAAATAAGGAAGTTGTTTACGATTTCGAGCCGTGTACAGGAAAAATTGTTGCTATTCGAAAAAATAAAGAATTTGTTAATGAAGTGAAGTCAGGTGAAGAATGTGGAATAATTCTAGACCGTACTAACTTTTATGCTGAACAAGGTGGGCAAATATATGATGAGGGTTATATGGTAAAAGTTAACGATGAAACTACTGAATTGTCTGTCAAAAATGTTCAAGTTAAAGGCGGCTATGTTCTACATATTGGAATAGTAGAAGGTTCTTTTAAAACTGGTGATGTTTTAACATTGCATATAGATACTGAGAGACGAAGACTAGTAATGAATAACCACACCGGAACACATATACTTAACAATGTATTAAGAAAAGTTCTCGGAAATGATTCTGATCAGCGTGGATCTCTTGTAATGCCAGATCGCTTAAGATTTGATTTTACTAATAAAGGTCCGATGACTATTAAGCAAATCAAAGATGCTGAGGATCAGATTAGAAGCATTATAAAAGATAACAAACCAGTATATGCAAAACATACTAAACTGAGCAATGCTAAAAAAATTCACGGATTGAGAGCTATGTTTGATGAACACTATCCTGATCCAGTGCGTGTGGTATCGGTTGGAATTCCTGTAGAGGAACTTGAAAAAAATCCTGAAGGTCCAGCGGGTTTCGAGACATCTGTTGAATTTTGTGGAGGCTCCCACTTACATCAAACAGGTCACATTGGTGAATATGTGATAGTCAATGAAGAAGGAATTGCTAAAGGTATCCGAAGAATTGTAGCATTAACAGGACCTGATGCCCTAAAAGCTTTGAATAAATTAAGTATTCTAGAGAACGAGGTCAATGATCTTTCGAATTTTGTAAGGACCCAAGGAGATAACTTAAACCAGAAGGAGATTACAAAGAAAATTGTAGAACTCACCAATGATATATCTCAAGCACAAATTTCTTACTGGAAAAAAGATGAACTAAGGACGATGTTAAAGAATTTGAAGAAAGAACTTGATGATAAAGAAAGGTCATTGAAAGCAGCAACCATCAATCTTGTGACTGAAAAAGCTAAACAGCTATGTCTGGAACAAAAAAGTTCTGAAGTTATTGTTGCTGAGTTGCAAGCATATGGAAACACAAAAGCTTTAGACAGTGCTTTAAAACAAGTAAAAGTATTATGTCCCAACTCGGCAGCAATATTTTTTTCAGTAGATAATGATACTAACAAAATATTTTGCTTAGCTGCCGTTCCTAAGAACTTGGTTGAAAAAGGACTTTTGGCGTCCGAGTGGGTTCAGTCTGTAGTCAGCATCATTGGTGGAAAAGGTGGCGGGAAAGCCGAATCCGCTCAAGCATCTGGTAGTAATCCCGGAAATATTAAAGAAGCTATGAAAATAGCAGAAGAGTTTGCTAAAAGTAAACTACAATGAGTTTTGCTGCCATGATTAATGTTAAATTAATAATAGATTTTTTATATTCATTAAATTATAAACGCTCTGTATAATTAAATTTTCTAAAAATAATTTTATTTTATTTATACCTACGTTTGTGATGAACTGAATAAAAGGTCTAAGTATTAACAAGATGAATCTCCGTACCTCACGTCATAACAGCAATATCACGATACTTTATTCTTTGAGCGCCGCTATGCTTGGATCTTGGATTTTGAAGTTCATAACAAATATCATTTCATCTCTCTAATTTATCAGGTCGAAAAAACCCCTCTGCAGTTCTGTAGTTAAATTTGTAAATGGTGCTAGGGCGCTTGACGTTAGTACAGTATTGCAACGCCACACTCCCAAGTTATAGCAAATATAATTTTATCGTCGATTCGTCAGTCTAGAACGAAACTGTGATAAATGGCTTGTCAGTATTTTCAGACACAAGATGGCGCTGCTGTATTTTATCAAAATATCAGTTATTTATGCAAGAGTTCGTAAAACAACAAGTGGAATGGGTTTCGGTAACCACCACAGACTAAGTAGGTCATCTGGTAACCCGCCAGTAATAGGTTATCGACCTCTGCTCTAGAACATCTAGTCGATCGAAATCTAAAATAATAGTGTACGGGTATATTATGGCCTTTCTGAGATAATGACATTTTGATAGTGTTAATAATGAGATTGTTTTGATAACTACTACAATAGATGGATATTCATTACGTTGCTTGACAGGAAAGGCTTTTTTATATAAGATACATAATAATATTCCCGCATAGTTAAAATAATACCAGCAGACTAATAAAATAAATCAACAGAAATCTTTCAATATACTTTATATTGAAAATTTTAGATACTGCTCGTACGAATTAACATGACATCTGAACGCCTATGATGTTTCTCCGCAAACTCTCAAGATCTCGTCTCTTTTCGGAAAGTTAATGCGACTCCTATTTTTCCACAATTTATGATGCAACGGCGTTAGGAGCTGACACTGCCTCTGATGCACAGATAATTTTCACGGATATGATATTAACCATACTCTGAGTATATTAATAATACGTATTGAATATTAGTTGCACATTGTTACTGAATCGAAAGTTAATTTTTTTTTTTCAAAAATAGAACCGACTTCGAGCTTTAAAATAGTGACAAATAATACTTATCTTAAAGTCTCCTTAATTAAGAGAACTGAACACAATGACGGAGAAGCTGGCCCAACTCCAACCAGGTTTTGTCAATCGTTCGGTTCCACTGCTCCTGCACGACCACGTACGACCTCATACTACACAATTGGCGGTACCCAAGCCACAAGAGCTGGGGTTTGAAGTTCTCCGTCATCCGCCGTACTAAACAGACCATGCGCCTACACACTTCTAATTCTTCCAGAATTTGAATAACGTCTTAGCGGGAAAAAAATAAATTCCCGCGAGGCAGTACAAAATGCCTTTGAAGTATTTGTTGCCTCCCGTCCAGCTGATTTCTTCAAGAAGGCATCATTAAGCTACCAATGCGTTGGCAAAGATGTATTGATTGCATGGGTGATTACTTTGATTAATAGAAATAAGAAAATAAAGCTTCATTTATATTATTAAAAACGGAAATTTCATAGATAAAGACTTAATTAACACTTCAAATCCGGTTGAGACCGGATTTATCCGATCAGATGGTAACTAATGGCGCATTACCAACAAACAGTACCAGCAATACCAACTCTACGTCTTTTTAGGTACATCTACGTATTATAAGCCTTTCCTACAAACCAACGTACTATAATCAACCACAGAAGCTAAGTATTTTCTACTAAAAATTTTCAAATTAGCTTAACACACTAAAGGGGCATAATTTTCGGTAGTTCTGCAAAAAACGTTAATATACGTTCCGTTACATACTATCGCACATTTACCTCGTCACAAGTCACGCCAGTATTTATTTTTACTCACTCTCTTCATCTCACTAGGAAAAAATGAATTTTCAGTTCTCCGTAATTTTACGTCGTACGTAAAACCAGCTTTTTAAATAAATAATAATTTTATAATTAAATTTAAATAATTATTCTTGTTGTTATATTTCAGCAATTTTTCATTCACAATGCTATATTGAAAAAAATAATTATTAAAAAGGAACTAAAAAATTTAAAATAATTTAAACCTGATGTATTAAATATTTGCATTTTTATATGTTACATTGTGATTGACAAACAAATAAAACGGAGGAAAAGTGGGTGAAATTTAGTTTGTAAGTTTGACTACAAACACAGAAAACTAAATAAAAGCAAAAATTGTTTCTAATGAAAAATGCTTAAAAAATCCTCTGTCCCTGGAACCATCTGGTCTAAGATTTAGGTTTTTGTGGTCTTTAATAAACAAACTTAAATTCAAATCTTTTTTTAGAAAAGTATTCGTATTTATAAAAAGTATTTATAAGATACCTATTTTGTATCTAGTATTTCAAATACTTTTCTCGAAAGTATTTCGTATCTGGTATCTGAAATACTTAATTTAAAAGTATTGTATTTTGTATCTTGTATTCCAGATACTTTGTACAGGGTATTTTGTACATCTCTGGCCATGTCTGTACTTGGCAGCGATCGGTACGTAACTGAAACGAGTACGGCAGCGCGGACGATCCGCATTACACTTAAGCCAGCCTAATGTTCAGGTCTTTTCAAGATTCCAGCCATTAAGAATTATCATCGGTAAAGCAAAAATGTTATTTTAAACTACATGTATAATAAATAATACAAATTATTAATTTTATTATTTATATTATTTTCGCTGGCCGTGCCCGCGCACTTTATATAATCACAATATTTTTATCGCTGATCTAATAATTTAAATAAAATTTCAATAATTTTAAATTCTTTATTGATCTTTATAGACGAACTTTAGTTAAATATTGTTCAAACAAAATATTTCTTATAAACTGACAGTATACTAAATATATCTACATATTAATAATTATTAAAGAAAATATTCATACAGTATTTGGTTGGTCTTTTTATGACAGCAGCACCAATTCCATTGGTGAAATAACTTCCTCCTAATAAGGTGCAGTATAATGTGCTAATTATTTACATATTTCACTAATACTATTAGTAGATGTCTATATTATTTTCACTCTTGTCCAAAACCCTCAGTTTCTTCAATTGCATAATTAAGTTTTTCACACAGCTGTTCATAACTTTTATATGGTGGTAAATCAAGTCTATTGAAACAGGTGTGAGAACGAGGCAGCCATGTGTCTTTACCGACCTGTAATCAGATAAATAAAACATTGATTCAACGAGTTATAAATAAACATAATTTATTCCTTTGTTTATAGCACGTCAGTTACATAAGGCCTAAATGATATCAATTTTCAAAATTCTTTGAACTATTCTATTTATAACACTGGGAAATTATTCACCTTTTCTATACAGAATCTTTGAGGTCCATTGGATCCCATTAGTTCTGCGAAGCCTCCAACAGGAACTCTGCATGTGCCCGTTACAAACTGCAGTAATCGTGCCCGCTTTTCGTTGTCCATTTGTCTTACAAACTGTAATATTTAAAAAAATATTATCAGTCATAGTGATTAATGCTTTTTTTCCATGATCATGAATTAATCACGCTGTTAACATAAACTGAAAAACCAACAAAAACTTGATGATAGTATTACAAACTTATTAATTTGTCCACAAAAAGACATGTCAAAATAGTAACATGAATCGAAATAACACCATAACATCGCTAAGATGCCATATCTTATGAATCAAGACTTCGACCCATGGACCCATCCAGTTGCACAGAGGGGTGAGACAGTGAGATGTCATATCTCCGAAACCGTGTTCGATTGACTGGTAAGGAATAGGGATGACGACTGGGTAAAAAAAAAGAAATTCCATTTAGTCCGTCAGTAAGAAATATAAGACGTATTTTATTTGCTTCTATTTAAACACGAAATAGCTTAGATAATAAGCATTAAAGTTGAGGAGTGGGAGCTCATAACATCACAGTTTTGTAGAAAACGTACAAAAGCGTAACGTTATGCTACATTTCAACTCAACGTATCGCTATAATTAATTGATTACGCAAAAAAAAAGTGTTAAAATAATATTCTCCTTATTGGCATTATGTATAAATGAACGGCGATGCTGGCGAAATCTCGCAATATGCAGACCACAGAACAGATAAAAAGGTAGAACGATTAAGTGGGCGGGGTTGTGCGACCATCCATATGCCCAAAACGGTCATATGAACGTCATGTTACTCAAATTTCCAGTTTATTATTTGCACAATGTCATAGTGGTCTATGGTGCGTCGAAAAATACGAAAATATGCCGAATAGTGCCGTTATTACGAGTCGTTTGCGTAATGAAAATGTAATTCTGAAAAAAGGAGAAATTTCATTTCATCGGTAAGTAACAAATATATGTTATATAACAGTATATCGAGATATAATCACATATTTTTTTCCGTGAGATTGTGTCAGTTGTTAACATAGTGCTTGCAGATATCGATAAAATGCTATCGATAGTACTTAACCCTAATATTATGAATGGCAATCAATTTACATGCAATTATAACATTAAATCTATTAAGATAAATAGTTAACAGAAATTTTTTAGAGATTTGTATGTTTTTGCTACATAATAGTGTTAATTTATTATTAAATTTTGTAATTCATTGTGTAATGTGAACAATAAAGAGTTTTGTATTGTATGTTTCAGTTTTCCTAGAAACCCTGTCATAAAAGAAAAGTGGATTGACGCGTGATAGAAATGGTTAATGGTTTCCTTCTAAAACAAGTTACATTTTGTTCAACATATTTTTCTGTAAATGATTTCATTAATATTAATATGATAAATTACCTACAAATTTATAATGAAATATTATGTATTACATCTAATTTTCTGATTATATTGTCAAATTAAATGTTATATTGGGATATTATTGAAATATAGTTTCAATGAGACATCTTTGTTATTATTTTCCATTCTTAATATATCGTGCTTCATATAATACTTAGTTAGTAAAAAAAAATTTGGATCATTAAATATACAAAAAAAATTAGCTAGGTATCAAAAAATAAAACTATGACTATATAATAGAAAAAAGGCTAATTCAAATTATAAAAATCTAGCCCCCAAAGGGCCAAATTATCATCACTGTCACCTGCTCTTGATATGTGACCCCGTTGCAGCCTACTTCTGATTAAAACTGACAAAAATCGCAGTTACATTGCTACTTTAGCAAGATAGGAATTGGTCTAATTGATCGAGCCGTTTCAAGTGAAAGTTGATTACAATTATTGTTACGTGATTACATACATATGGTATTTATTTTCATTGAATTTTTTTAGTGAATATGCTAAATGATAAATTAATAAATTATTTTATTATATTAACCCAATATATCAATGATTTTCTGATTATCGATATCAAATTGTGAATCACAGGGCCCTTCACTATTTCAGTGTTGACAGAAGCGTAAAATTCTTTGCATTATATTTTGAAACATTGTTTTAATGCAGATACGTCGTTCAATAACATTTTTATGTAATGAAACATGTATTACAAATGTTTACACATTAACTAATTTATATATCTGCGCACAAAATATAATATTTAGAACTAACAAAAGTAATTGTGCAAATTTTTATTATAGCTAGCCATACATTTTGTGTATTACTGCAAAATCACCTGTATTAATAGGCTAGTATATACTAATTTTGCTGAAACTTTTGTAGCCAATGGAAGCATCGCTCTCTTTGTGAGCTGAATAGGTGAAGTTTTATGTCTGTGTGATATCTGGCACGCGCGGTCCTAGTACTAATGTTAGTACGTTATCATTCTAACCTTTTTATCTGTTCTGTGATGCAGACGATATAGTGATTATTATCTATGGAGGAATTTATCTATGGGGAAATTTTGAAAATTAGAAATTTAATGTTCAAAATTTTCCGCGATACCGCTCTTCTGTCATAGTGTCGCTATAACGTCACAACCCTATGAAACCAATATTGTTCTATGTATGTATAAGGTTGAATTTTCTAAGTTCTGATGTAAAAGGGACGTAACGTCACGCGCTGTTTTCGGTCACGTGACAACGAATATAAAATATTTGTTATTTTTCATAATTAATTTAAGCAATAATATAAATATAATAATCATAAGAGTGTGATTATCGGTAATAATAGATTAAACACTACCAGAAAAAAATAATATGTATTTATTTTAGTTTACTTTATACACTCGTATTGTAAAAATAAAGTACTAACCTGCCAGAACCAGGCGACCTGTTTGCTGGAGCGCGTGTAGTGACGGTATATGGTATTCCGTTGCCAATCCTCCACGTCCACCTCCTGCATGCCGCATAACATCAATTCCAACTCACGCTCGTCAAAATATTTTAACCATTCCAAGGGCACGACCTGCATAATTAAATTTAAAAAGTTAAAAATATATACAACCACAAAACAGAAACCAAGTATTTGTATTTAGTATGATTAGCGATTGATTATTTCAATTATACCCCATTCATTATAGCATTTGACAGAAGTTAAATAAGGTTATCAATAATCATGTTACTCTTAAGACTGACGGCTAATTTGCTACAAAATTCACTTAAATACCAGCTGCTATAATAATATTTGTTTAATAGATAGCTTAAATGATAGTTTCGGCACGATTCTCATGTCACTATAATTCTACCAAATTTAAAACATTGTCTAATCCCTTCAAACGTTTCGGCAGTACAGTTTTTTAATTTTGTCAGACTATGATGTATTTATTCATAATAGGCTAGTTGACAACTTTTTTTTATTTCATAAATAGATAGTCCATTAACATCTGAGAAATAATGTCGAAGTAACAACATGTCTGCGATTAATAGTTTCGGAGATACGGTGCTGTTTGTAGAACTGCTGCTAGTTGGCCGAAAACGCAACTTACAAATTCAAGGCACTCAGTGACGTCACACGGTGCTACAGTAGCGAAAAATGTATGGGCGTCTGGACAATTTTTGTAATATCTTTGTTATTTTTGCGTTTATGTTTATAGCTGTTATAATGAAGGTTTAACATTTTTTATATCTAATTTAATGCCTAATGTATTTTAGCAAATTTTTGTAGTAGATTTTCTCTACTTTTTTCAAGTTTTCAAAGCGTAATATTTTCCAATGACTCAAAATTTGTTTTGTTACACATTTATAAGTTAAAATGGTTCATATTTTTCGAAGAAATAACAAATACCTATATTTTTACTTGTAGGACACAAGCCTATTGTCAATATACGTAATCTGGGATTGTCATGCCTTTCTTGTTGTTTTGCCGTTTTCCGTGGATAAGTTATTATTGTTTTATTTTTGTTGTTAAGTTTTATTAAATATGGACGATGCCGGTGCAGGCCCGAGTGGCCTATAACAATTACGCTCTAAGCCCCCATACCTACCCTCAACCTTTGACATTTCATGAAGTTTTTCCAATGTCTTCATCAATAGTCTAATGTCTGGATAAATGTTATAAAAGTAATAATAAAATTTTCATTTTGTTTACCTTTCTTTACTGGGCATAGATATAACTAAATTCTATTCTAATTATAATCAAATCAACAGATGGATAGTTTTAGTTCCATCTTGGCTTGGGAGTAAAAGATGAAGTTAGAAAATGCTGGCCTCATCTCAACCCCGAAGTATCGAAAAAAATTAGAAAATTGCTCAGCTCTTTCAGACTACCTAACGTTCAAAGTTTCAACAAAACTAATATATTATTATTAAATTTATCTTGAAAATAAAATATTCTGAACTGCTGCTTCTACGACCCTCTTTTTTCTAATGTTATAATGAATGGAGTATAGATTATATAAATAATATATTATTATTATCACCAGCTTAAATAAATTGAAGAACTCAATTGGAAAAACTGCTTATAAACAGGCCTGTAGCCGGGATAGGAAATGTAATATTTTAATAGAATGAGGAAGTATTAAAAAATATATTTCTTGTTTTAAAACAATAATTTTCGCACATAAAAAAAAAATTACAAATAACCCTTTTATCTCGTATACATGTAGCGATATAAAAAACAGTAGCGATCGCCTTTATTTGCGATATATAGTTATTTAACTAGTGAATTGCCTGAACCGCGCTCTATTTACCACAACGCTTTAAAGTAAAGCTGAATTCACTCTTATGTAATCCTTTTAACGTAGATGATTGGTAGACTGATGATTGGCTTTACAAGAAGATCACCAAGAAGCGGCGGAGCCACCAAGGATGATTACAGATCGTAGTGATACGTTGACAGAGGTTGTAGAATTCAACGCTTTATATTGACTGTAATTTTAAAAACCGTATAAAATGAAACACGTACTGTAGAGCGCCTAAATAATCGCAAGCAAAGGAACCTGTTATGTGTACGCATGAACTTTGTGTGCGTATGTGAAAGAAACGACAAAAGGACGTCAGTATAGGCGTGAATGAAATAAGTATATGTTCGTACGTTCCGGGTAGTTCGCCTTTCGCAATGCTCAAGTAACCAACCGAAAATCTAGCGTTGTGCTAGCTAGCAAAATATGTAGTTATGATATCGATGATTGGGGATCCGATAGCGATTGAAAACCGATAACAGAAAGACGATCCAGTACTACCTATATGGCCACCCATCAGAACAGAGGTCGTTTTCAAAACAATTTCAATATTCTTTTTGTAAAATAATATCCATTTCTCTCCTATTAAAATTAATATTTTTTGCAATTTCTTGCAATATAGATTTTAGTCCTTTATATAGTATATTATTAGAAGAAAAAATATTGAACACACAATTGTACATAATAGACAATTACAGAGTGTATCTAATGTGGTGTCCAAAAACTGCAACTTCGAAATAAAAGACCAAGCAATTCAAAATTATATAAACATGTTAAAAAACAAAGTCACTTCCCGCTGTCTGTACGCACAGATCTTTTAAGAAGAAGAAGAAACATTTATTGATCTCACACAAACAAACAAGATTGTACATAATTAGGAACATGATAAAGACACAATAGAAACAGAAAAAAAAAACAATAAGGTACATGATAATATAAAAAGTGCCACATTAACGCTGATATTATGGCAGCCTTTTAAACTATAAAACTAATTTTAATGCGGTTTAAAACAATATCCAAGTGGAAGGCTTATATGTTTAGTACGTCCTGTACTATAGCGGTTAGCGAGCGTAACCGCTAGCGGAAAGCAATTATATAAATATTTGATTACCTCATTAAATCCCTCGAGGAACGCAGACGTTTGTTCTTCGATGCCTCGTGTCATGCGCCACTGTGTAACTAGCTGGAGATACTGTTCTTTGTTTGCCTGTTCATACAAAATTAAATATGTAATGGTACAAATTGTACGCGTAGAAACAAAAAAAAAAAAAAAAAAAATTATCTCCACCATTATTATGTTAAAAAATATCATCGTCATCATCAGCCCTTTTACGTTCCCACTGCAGGGGTTCAGGCCTTCCTTATGGATGATGAAGGAGGATGGGTCATGAATCTCCACGTTGGCCCAATGTGGATTGGAGGGTATTAACTGCAAATGCAGTCAGGACCAACGGCTTAACGTGCCTTCCAAAGCACGGAGTAGCTCGCGATAATAATTTTTTGGTCACCCATCCCGTGACCGAGCCTTGCGAAAGTTGCTTAACGACAACGATCGCGGGCCGCAGCGCTTATCCACTACGCCACCGAGCTACTATTAAAAAATACATAAGATAATTATTAGTATAATTACATACGAATTAACATATATATGAACACAATATTTGTATTCTGCATACAATGTTTTCCTATATAATAAAAAGAAGGCTTAAAAACTATCTATAAACATCAGTATTTTTTAATCAACGGAATGAATAGTGATGACAGATACTCAATATAACTCACTTCGGTAACACGCTCTTTGTCTCCGGCTGGTTTCAACTCGTGGTGAATGACTTGACCCAACACTTCAAAGTCAACACTAAACCACATCTCAAGGCCACATTCGTCTATATTGTTGTCTTTGATCCACACTAGAGAATTGTAGAATTCTGGATCGATAGACTCGATATCTTTCATGGTGAGCTTCTTATTCAACATTCGCTTGTAAAAAGGCATCGTGAACCCAGAGTATATGAATCTACCGTGATATAGAGCCATTGCAATAAATCTCCCAATGAATTTGAAATATAGTAAATGATCCGGATTGACATAACTGGCTGGATTTATCTGTAAACTATAGTTGTTTTTGTTTGCGTATTCAAATAAACAGTACATAGGGTTCAAGACTTCATGCGAGAGTAGGAAGAACCATTCTCTGCTGACGCCACCGTAATCTAAGCCTTCTTCACCTCTAAATATTATATACAATCGCCTGCGTAATTCATAGGCCGGTAATCTCATTATCTGAAATTAAGGATAATATCTGTTGTTATAAAACAAATAACTTAGATTTTCTTTATAAATTCTAGGTTAAGTTATCACATTATGTAACAAATGATAAAAATAATTATCCTAAAATTAGAATGACGTTATTAGAAATAATCATATTAATGATAACATTGCTGAACACCAAATAATTATAAAGTACCTATAGTTATCTGTCCCTGAAATTTACAAAAGGAAACTGCCTTTTTACAGGCTCACTCGGTTATTGGTCCGTCTTGTCCATCCGTCTGTCAAAGATGATTTTCTCCAAAACTATTAAGTTGAAATATGTATGTTGGTGACCCAAATCAAATGAAATTTGAATATAAAGGCCTCTTTTGACTGGTAAATCGAGATATTTCAAAAACTTTAATCATTATTATAGATAATGGTACGGAACCATTCTTCCGCGAGTTCGATTTGCACTTGGTCGGTATTTTTTTTTCAATTTAACATTTCCGCGGAACCCTTTGCACGTGAATCGGACTCGATATTGGAATACTAACCTGATGGTAAGAATCTTCAAACAGCGTCTGTCTAGATAGCGTAATTTTAATGTGACTGGGTAAGGCATTGCTCTGACATAAATATCGGAATTGACTAAGTTTCCATCGGAAGGAGCGCTCATACGCTCTGGGGACTCCGTAAGCGCCCTGGGGTCCTTTGGGGGCTCCAGGCCGGGGGTCTTGGAATGTTGTAGTACGTGTGTTGTGGTCCACGAAGTATCGCGTGCCTTCTTCTGTAAATCTAATTTCCCAACCGGGTGGGAGAGCCTCTTCTGGTGCGCTGACCTCTTGACCCTATTATCCAATAAACATTATATAATTTTTAAGGTTTCATGGTAAAGTCAACACAAAAAAGGTAACAATAATTGTCGGAACTTCGGTATTAAAAAAAATTAAGATATAGACTAACTAAGAAATGGCTTGAATAATAAGTATTAAAGTTGACGAGCTCGCTACGTCAACGTCTTTTAGAAAATGTACAAAAGCGTGACGTCATGCGACATTTCAACTCAATGTATCGCCGTAATTTATTTATTAAGAAAAAAATACGTATTCAATATTCCTCATTGGTCTACCTGACGGACAACCAAAGAAAAATTACTCATCATCCCATTGTTTCAAAGTACGTATCGACAGCTAGTTTAATTTTGAGAACTACATTTACCATATATAATCATACATATGCATACAGAATACTATACATGTGGGCTGTCGTCTGGATTGCGAAAAATAATAATGTATAACTAATTATCTTTAAGTAGGTATTACAAACAGAAACCACAGTAGCTTTAAAAGTATTCTGAAATCTTTTTTGAGCATAATCCTTTCTATTCCTTAAATGAATTTTTGACGGTACGTATAGGCGAATCTAATTTTATGACATGATGAAATAAGATACTTTAAGATTTTTTTTTTGACATTTGGATTTAATTGAAGATATGTATAAATAAATAAATACTATGAATTGTGTTGAGAACTGACATGCCTTGTATAACGATATTGTTATAAATGGCTAATATATAAATTGAAATTGAAGATTATCTAATACACACACGGAAAATAAGTATGGTATTTTGTTAATGAGCTGCTTTGAAAAAATCTAAATAATGACCTGCAAAGGAATTAAAAGAAAATACTAGCAAAAACAGCCGGGATTAAATCACGCTAAATCTCTAATTGAAGGTTATTCACAAAAACTAACTGAAGAGCTCTTGAAGCAAACAAGTGTAAACAGAGCGAATAAAAGTACAATTGTAAGAACTTTATCTGGACACTGCAAACAAAACAGACATCTATTTAACATGAAACTAGGTGACACTGACATTTGCAGATATTGCAAACAGGAACGTGAAACACCAAAATATATCCAGTGTGAATGTGAACCACTGATTCACAAACGAAGCATACATCTGGAACGACATATAATCAGCCCAGAAGATATAAAATCTCTAAAAGCCAGGAATATTATAGAGTTTTTTAAGTCTACCTGGCTGAAGGAGTTACTATAGCTCTGACGACAAGTCACAATAGATCTTCATGGTCACAACTACTACAGTTCCTCAGGGAACTGCATAGCCCCTTAAAATAACAAATTGAAAAAATTTATCGTAATCTTTCGTGCTGACCAATATATTCAATACAGAGATTATTTGATATACACACGGAAAATAAGTATGGTACAAATTTTGTTCATAGGCTGCTTAAAAAAATCGTCAATCCTGTTAGGTCGTGGGTAGCTCAGAGGTTAGAACAGTCGCCGGAATTGCGAAAGGTCATGGATTCTAGACCCATTTCAGAGTGCCAGGGATAAAGTGGAAATTTTAAGCATTTTTCATTAAGAATATTCTTCACTATAGCATTGTGAATGCAAAATTGATCAAATATAATAACTAGAATAAATTTTGATTTAATTGAAAGGTTTAATATTTATAAAAATATTTCTTTTGGCTGTTTGGGTGGATTGCCTGAACATTAATGAAAATACGCTCTGTAGTAACAAAAAAGTAGCAAGTGCTTGAAAAAATTCGTCAAGTCCTGTTAGATCTTGGGTAGCTCAGTGGTTAGAGGAGACGCCAGGACTGCGAAAGGTCATAGGTTCGTGTCCTACCTCAGAATACCTGGGTCAGTGGATTTTTTAAGCATTTTGCATTAAGAATATTTTTCAGTATAGCATTGTGAATGCAAAAATGATCAAATATTATAATACTTAATAATGTGATAATGCTAAAACTCCTGTATTATCCAAAAAAATATGTGATCGCAATGCTCAGTTAGAACCAGGGATCGTTGATAAATATCTATATGATATGATAATATATATCAATAGATATTTATTGTTAGTTTGAGTATTGAATATTCAGTTTCAGCTAGAAAATTAACCAATCCGATGCTAGCGCTAGCAACATTGGCTCCAAGTAGCAATCTTACTTACTAGAATTATCAGATTTTCCCTTATACCTTACTGGAAATCCTCGCACGCATACTACTTTTTAATTATTTTGTAAAATAACAACATAATTATGGTATCATTTTTAACTTTGTAACAATGATTGAAATATTAAAGACAGTTAAATGTGTAACAATACTTGCTTATTTAATTCATAAAAAATTAAGCACTTATACTTTATTTCACTAATTATTTCATAATGAATAAACAAATATTAAATAACTCAAACTCAATTTTTATATTATTAAATAAAGCCACTGGCAGCTCAAAAATCGCAGCTTTTCATATGTTACATATATTTATTATAAATATCGGATTTTTGCGAATCTTGGTTAGAACTATTCGAGACTTAAAAATTAAATATTAATTTAATGGTAATAATTTAAGTAAATCGACGATACATATCGATTGTTTTTTCGCAAGCCTCTCTAGGCTAGGTTGTGAGTAATTTTAGGGCTGGTTTGCACATATTAAGTTGATAACTAGTTACCTATATTAATCATCATTCTGTATTTTCAGCCCTTTTACGTCCTCAAAGAAGGGGCTCAGGTCTTCCTTATGGATGGTTAAGGAGGAACTAAGCTGTTGTTAACGTAATTGTGACTTGGTATTACAATGGCTCATTTACACCTATTATATTTCATTTTAAATTATTAAGTGCGTGTACGCACAAAATCACTTAAAATTAAGTTAACAATTAAGCTAGCTATTTATCTATACCACAGTTGCGGAACAAAGATAATTTCGAACAATGACTCAGCATTACATATCTCTCACTCGTGCACAGACATATTGCTATGATGCATCTAGCCAATTTTATCTTATTTCTGTTGGGCGACCGTACCAATTTTCCACACAATTTTCTTATTTTTTTTTCATAAGAGCCTTTTCCTGACAGTAAAACAAAAAAATAATTAGTGAAATCGGTCCAACCATTCACGTGTGATATATGTGTGTGTGTATGTGTATGTGTGTGTGTGCGTGTGTGTGTGTGTGCGTGCGTGTGCGTGTGTGTGTGTGTGTGTGCGTGTGTGTGCGTGTGTGTGTGCGTGTGTGTGCGTGTGTGTGTGTGTGTGTGCGCGTGTGTGTGTTGATTTGTGTGTGTGCGTGTGTGCGTGTGTGCGTGTACCTGTGTGCGCGGATCCTCCCACTGCGTGGTCCGATTCTTATGGTTGACGTAGTAGACGCGTCCGTCGGGTTGCACACGCCGCTCCCAGCCGGCGGGTAGCGCGCCGAAGCCGTCGTCAGCCGCCGCCACGCTACCGCCACCCGCCACCGCTCCTGGCCCAGCACCCGCTCCCGCTACCGCTCCCGCCCCTGCCCCTGCCCCCGTTCCGTTCCCAACAGACGGACCCGCCGCGCCAACGCCGCTCGCTACGTCACATACAAAACAATATACATTACACGTCACCGGAAAAAGCGATGATGACTTGGTAAAAAATAAATATGTACCCCCTGTATGAAGTGTTAAATAAATATTTTAAGTACGAAACGCAGCTTACTCTTTCACAAAGTGAATAAAAATAGTGAATGCAAAGTACATCTGGCAGATAAGAAATCAAACTGATTTGAGGATATTTTAGGGTATATAACTTTGTTATCAAAAAATGGTAGAAACCAGTGGTTGTTGGGTAAAATTTCCTCCCAACAGCCACCGTTCATCGTCTGTAGTCGAGGCTTGTTTTTCATTTTAGATACCTTTACAGTTATTCCTAGAATTCTTCTTTATTTGCCTCTTACATTTATATTAGTAACGATCTTATAAATTGGCATCGACTATTGTGACATCTTACTGTTTAAGTATCATTTTGCACTGTAACTGTTAGGACCGTCCATAAATCACTAGATGATTTTTTCAGCATTTATAACCCCCTCCCCCTTGGCAATACATGGCGAGGTTAAAACTAACCTCCCTCACCATTGGTGATACATGGTGAGGTTTAAGAGTAGCCCCCTCCACCCAAATCACGTGTATTTTTAGTACCTTCAAAAAGTCTTGATTTTTGACGCCGCTTTTCGGTTTTATAATCGCACGGTTGAGAAGATAAATACACGTAATATATTACTACCCCCCCCCCCCCCTTCGAGCCTCACGTGATAAGTGGACGGTCCCTTATAAGGCACATTACAAACTAGCGCTTAGTTGATAACTAATTATATTTTTATCAACAGTTTTTTTTTTTGTAGTTTATCTAAACCATCAGTACAGATTGCCCTGGGGTTGGGGGTTTTGATGATGATGATGATGACCAAATGTTAAGGTCACTTCCCTTTGGTTTAAAAAAGGCTGCCTAAACAACGATGAAATGACTGATTTAAATCGTTATTTGCTAGTTATATCACAAAAATAACATGAATTACGCTGACTCCATATTCAATATACTTAATTTAAATAAAACAATCAATATAATCTTATACAACATGTTTCAAATCATTAAATATATTCTTTTATAAATTGTTATCTACCTTTTATCAAAATACTTTCATGGCGTATGACGTAGATAATGTCGCATAGATAAAAATTAACTTAATAAAATTTTCTATCTATGGCCACTACATCGACGACAGCGGGTAGCGGACCATTTTGGAAAAAGTGGCACGTGACAGATTATATATCAAACTATGTCTTTTAATGTAATCTTATTGATTTATAATATAGTATTTAAATACAAATGTCTTGTCATGTACCGACTCGCCCCTACTCTGCTTTTTTCAAGAGTGAATGCTAACTGTAAACTCATATCGTCGCTTTGTACCCCGCTATAATCGAGTACACGGCTTTATCGAAAATATATTTTATTTATATTTTATAAATCAAAACAAGAGATCGCACATATCGAAAGTAATTTAAATTAATTGAAACTGACATACACAACATTACAAAATACTTTTTAATAACTAATCTACATCAAAGCTATATAATGATAACGGAATGTTAATTATTAGGACATGTATATAGATAAGAGGCAAAACTTATCACTTTCGTTAAAAACGCAATCATATAAAAAGCAGAAACCGTGACAGCTACATGAAACAAAATCAAAAATTTCCTGATCCTTCCATCACTGTGTATTCAAATCCATACAACGGCATAACATAACAGCGACATTAAAACCGAAATAGGATCATAAACCATCTTTTGCATAGCAAAGTCCTTGTGTAAAGGCAAACCTATCAAAATGGATGGACATGATCGAAACTCACCAACGGGCGTGGCATCGCCATCAACGTCGGCTTGATGTGGTGGCGGCTGCGTCTGTGGGTAAAGGAAGCGTTGATTGCCTTGCGCTACCACGTGTCGGCGTTCCCCACGCCAATGCTGGAAGCGTGCCAACCGCTCAGTGTCCGGCCTTTGCCACGTGGTGGTACGAGTGTTATGGTCCACATAGTAAACGCGCCCGCGTGCGTCCCGCCGTACCTCCCAGCCTGGCGGCAGCGGCTGCGGCCGCTCCCAAGAAGTCGACCTGGTGTTGTGGTCTACGTAGTACCTACGCAATATTTATTAGTATTAAGTAACGTAAATTAATTAACTAACTCAATTAGTCTAAAAAAAAAGGAAATAGTACAAGCAATATTTCCATTAAAACCATTTTTTACACTCAATCCATACCATGGTTTGAACATAATGCCTAGAAAATAAAAAAAATATCAAAATCTAATGATTATTTTATTATCAAAGTACAAGTACTGGTTTTACAGCATTTTACAAGATTCAAATAATGTTCTCACCTTCTTCCATAGACGTCATACCGCATTTCCCAGCCTGGGGGCAGTGGTTCTTCAGGTGTGCTGGTAGAGGCGGTGGGTGGCGGTTGTGTAGGTTCGGGCCCTGGCGTATCTTGATGCGATGGGCCCGGAGCCGTCACCTCTGTAGCCACATTGCTACTGGGAATGTGTACTCCACCATTACTTAACGGCGGAGGCCCTGGTGGTGGCTAAACAGATACCAGATTTTTATTTTATTAAGTTAAATATAATTTTTATGATTATTAGAAGACAGTATATCTCTGCTAAAAATGTTGACTAATAAATATTCTTCAGTATTATTACTCTCCTTCAACAACCATATAGTATAATCATAACGTTATAATATAACAACATAATTATAGGATCATTTTTAACTTAGAAACAATGATTTAAAAATTGAAGACAGTTAAATGTGTAACAATACTTGCTTATTTATTACATATTACAAAAATTAAGCACTTACTCTCAAATTAGGTGTGCGCAACATAGACCGTAATGTCTCTGGATTGTTACGTCTGACACGTGCCCGAACACCATCATTGAGGGGATTACGAGAAGTTATTGTTTCTCCAAGAGCTTCATGTGTTTGATGTAATGTGGCAGGATCAATTCTTAACCCGTCCAATAGCAGGACTACTTCAGCAGTTTTAGATTCAGCTGAACTAGATGTGTTTTCCTGTGTTGCAGTTTTCATCATATCTAAAATAATACATATTATTGCATTCACTGTTGCTAATAATAATATAATGAGAATATTTAATTTTCAAACAATTCACTATTTTATATTACAGTACCACGTGAATTAAATATTAATTAAGAGATTAACAGTCATGGTATAGGCAGTTAATAGTTACCTAGTGTTAACTCCACATTTTCACATTTTCCATTAAAATATTGTAAGATTTTTAGTAAATTAACCCTTTGCTCTCCAATAATATTATCTTTTCTAAAACTATGATGATCTGCCAATCGAAATAACAACTGTGATAATGGGGTTACTAAAATTGTAAATTCTTCTTTCCATTTTGGGTGCAATGTACTTTTTATAACTTCAGTTTTCCTAGATATTTTATCATCAATAGTAACTTGTAAATAAGGATTGGGTTTAAATAATCCAGAATTTCTTATACTTGCTGATTCCACTGGAATAGAAAATATATAGGCTTTAGCAAAAAAGAAATGGACATTGGATTTTGTGATAAATTATCTGTGAGAAATAAGTTGTAATTTTCAAAAACATACTTATTGAAAATTAATTATTAACTGCATAAGGTGTGCATCATCTATACATAGTTTCAAAAAAGTTACTTCCCACTATCTACATGTTGAGCTTTTTTTAAATGCAAAACATATTTTAATGTGGATTTCATAAGAAAACAAAGTTATATAAGAGGAAAGTTTATGTGAAAAACTTTCCTCAACAAAACTGCTGGTGGGAAGCTAAGTTCGTAATGAAATAACATAGCCTTAAGATTCTAATTTTGTTGATATATTAAGAATTTCAACTAGATGGAGCCTAGTATAAATTTACACCTCTAGTAGTAACTATTAAAGTTACCAATTTCCATATGAATTCTTAATACCTTTTGTTGATATATCTATCTACACTTACACCTGATTTCTCAATTGAGAAATCAAAGTTAAACATGTCTCAAACTGTACTAGAGCTATCTTTATGGTCATTTACACAGTTTTTCATTTCTGATTTAATTTTTTTTAATGATCAGTTGATAGCAATTTGGTAAGACTAAGACTTTCTACCGCTTGTACAGAAAAACTTAAGTTATTGAGAATAATCAGCTGAGATTTTATATTTTTTAAATTTAGAAACTGGCCATTATTGGTGAAAATGTTAACTAACAGTAGAGGGTTTATTCTGAGTGAATATGAGCATTTTTTAAAACAATAAAATATTAATTTTTACTTTGAAAATGATCTCAAATAAAAATGCAGAAACAGCTGTTACTATATATGTCTTACCTGTTAAACTCAATTGATGATATGTTGACAAGGAAATGGGAGCAGTAAGTGTTGAAATACTTTCAGTCATGATGAGTATTACCACTTCATATTAATCATTAATATACTTAATACAAGTGTCGCCTGGAACCACCATTCACACTATTATTGTGGAACTAATTAACAAAGATATACTAATTCTTATCAGAGACATATGAGCATGGATAATTGAACTTAAACAGATTAGGAATACTCTCTATAAATCAAAATGAGAATCGTAGACAAAACGTAATAAGGAACTAGAAAAAAAAAATTAAAAACATTAACTGGCAGAAGGTACATTAAAAAGTAAACAATATTTTACCTGTTTACTATATATTGTTTTAAATCAAAACATAGGAAAGAGGTATGCAAGCACTAGTATTTATTTTTGCGTTACACGATAATTCGTAAGACTTTAGCAAATTATCTTATTATCGAATGGCTTATCTTGCTGTAAGAAACAAGGTAACAAATAATACTATCTAAGCATTAATAACATATCACTACTATAATAATCAAATCATTTCACAAACTTACACGGCTGTGTCAAATGATAGTACGATTCAACATTTTAAACAATATTGGCTAGCAAAAATGGTAAACTTTTAACTTGAACAATAAATCCAAAATTAGTCACTATTTTTTTAGCAAGCACATACATAGACGACATAGACTATAAATAAATCAAAGAATAAATTAAATAAAGTATGAAATATATTTACTCTTCGCTATTTAAACCATAGACTTTTAATTCGGGTCTGGATTTTCCATAGAGATAAGGTAGAGTGGAAATATTTTCTATGGTTCATGGTTCATCATGCAATTTGAAGTTGACATCGAAAACATCATGTTGTCTTTTTTTAACTAATAAGAAGTTTCTTTAGTAAACAAAGATAACACTAGTGTGACAGTTCAAAATTTTTTACGTGACGTCATGAGATATAGCTATCGTACCACCTGTCAGCCAATTCGCGTTTTTTTTGGTCGTAGTTGTTACACGTGGTATGGGGATTTCTTTGTTTATTTAGTGAATATTAGCCCATTTTCTACGTGGAATTACGAAATATTGTGTTTATATTTAGTACTAACAGCTGGTATTGGTAAGTAGTCATAGATTTCTGTTTCCCCGTCCTTTCCACTGATTACAAAATAATCAATGGAAAGGACCCCTCCTGAACCTCCGGATCCGCCGGATCGGCCTTCTACTCCACTAATGATGGAACTTTCTCCTCCGCTATTCACACAGACAGGAGTTAAACGTCGAAATGAAATTGAACCCGAATTGACTAACACACCCAAAAGAGTAATAACAGAGGTTAGGCAGACAGATGTCACAGAGAACCCTCCCGGTATATACACCCACCCATCTATAAACGAAACTAACAAACAATATATTGATAGTGATAAAGGCCCTTTTATTGTTCATATCTCTAAAACTGAAACAGATCCCTCATCAGGCATATCAATTCATCCCATTAAGTTTGGCCAGTTACTAATTAAAAACAAGATTAAAAATATTGTCAATGATGGTATTAAAAAAGTTGGTCGCAATAGAATTTCTGTTGAATTTATGACCGGTTTGGATGCAAATCAGTTCATAAACAACTCCTTCCTTTCAATCTATAAATATACTGCACAAATACCTAATTACAATGTTACTCGCATGGGAATTGTTAAAGGAGTACCATCTGATCTATCAATGGAAGAGTTAGTAGAATCGTTAGTAATCCCTGTTAGCTGCGGTCATATTTTGAAGGCAAGACGACTTAATAGAAAGACTGTGATAGATGGCAAAGTGACCTGGGTACCAACTCAAACTGTAGTTCTTACATTCCAAGGACAGGTCCTCCCTAATAAAGTTTTTGTTTACCATACGTCCGTGCCAGTAGAAGCTTACCATTTTCCCACTATACAATGTCTAAACTGCTGCAGATTTGGACACATTAAAGTACAATGCCGGTCTAAACCACGTTGCTTCCGCTGCGCTCAACCTCACTCTGGGGAATCATGTAGTATTATTGAAGCACAATCAACTTGCCTTTTCTGTTTAGGCTGTCATTATGCTACTAACAAAAGTTGCCCAGAACAGTCTCGACAAAGATCAATTAAAATACTCATGTCACAAGATAATATTTCATACCAAGAAGCATCCCAAAGATTTCCCTCAGTGAAAAGATCCTATGCGGATGTAACCCAATCTCCTCTATCGAGGCATCCCCATATTCAGCACACACAAACATCTCCTAACAAACATCCAACAGGTACAACTTCATACCGGAAAACTGTATTCCTTCCCCCAAGCTCTAGAACCCCTCTGAGCCCGGGATATGATCGATTAGCCCATCAGGCTATTATTGAAAACTGCCCCTCTTTCCTCCCAAATGGCTGCGCTCTCAATAATGACAATGCACCAATAGAAATCTCCCCAAATGATAACTTGTTAGAAACCCTCTTAACATTTGTTGTAAGCCTTCTAAATAGATTTGATGACATCCCAGTACCGACCAACGTTGCGCAAAAAATCAATCAACTTCACAAATTTCTCACTAATAACAAAAATGGCGACGATAATTCAATGGAACTGCAGTAGCATTAATACCAAAACTCATGAACTAAATTATTTTATAAATAAATTCTCCCCATCTCTCTTTGCCTTATCGGAGACATGGTTGGTGCCTGGTGCACTCTATGGCATATCCGGGTACTCCTGCCTCCGGGATGACAGGAGGGACGGTTATGGAGGGAGTGCATTGCTGGTCAGCTACTCCCTCCCTTTTAATAAAATCAACTTACCACCCCACAGTGACAGCATTAACGCAGTGGCTGTGAGACTCTTAAACATAACATTTTTATCTATATACATTCCTCCCCAATCTTCACCTAATATTGTTATCCCAGAATTAATAGCCATTATTATGACACTTCCTCCTCCGGTAGTAATTATGGGAGACTTTAATGCACATCATGTGGTATGGGGTTCATATTCAAATGATTCCCTCGGTTGCCAACTTATTGACTTATTAGATGAGAGAGATCTTTGTCTACTAAACGATGGAAGCCCCACTAGAAGGAACCGCCCTAATCAAAACCCATCAGCAGTGGATATCACAGTTTGTTCTCCTTCACTGGCATCAAATATATCATGGACCGTATTAAGTAGTACACACGGCAGTGATCATTTCCCAATTTTAATTTCGACATTAGATAGTCCCCCTTCTACTAACCGGCCACCCCCCTTATTACAATTTAGACTTCACAAGGCAAATTGGTCAGCTTATTCTGAGACATTGGACAGTAATGTAGATAGCCTTCCAAAAGTAACGTCTGAAAATGGTACCAAAGCTTATGACGCGTTAGTGGAATACTTAATTGACGCCGCACATATAAACATCCCCAAAAAAAATTGCACCCAAAAAAAAATATCTCCTCCATGGTGGGACTCTGAATGTTCAGAGGCTATCAAAAGACGGAAACAAGCCGAAAAAAAATACAATCATTCCATGTCCATGGAAAACTTCCTTTCGTTTCAACGAATTGCGGCTCAAACTAAAAAATTAATCAAACAAAAAAAAAGAACAGGATGGAATAAATTCTGCGAATCTTTGTCACCTGGTACCCCTTCAGCAATAGTCTGGAATCAACTTAAAAGATTCCGTAGAGCTAACAACCGTCGTAACTTGACTGCCAACGATTCCTCAAGCTGGATTGAAGCGTTTGCTGATAAATTAGCTCCTTCATCTGTCCCAAATGCTGACTGCCTTCCCATCAACCCCAATATCCACTTTCCCTCCACAGACATCATAGACGGAGCTTTTACCTTTGAAGAACTTCAAAAAGCGCTTTCTGGCCTTAATGATACATCTCCAGGTCTAGATGGAATTCCATACTCCTTTTTAATTAGAGCCCCAGATAAATTAAAACAATATTTCCTAAAATTAATTAACCTTTTTTATGATAAAGCTCTCATCCCTGATCAATGGACAAAACAGATTGTGATTCCAATACTAAAACCGGGTAGGAACCCATCCGACCACTCCTCTTATAGGCCTATAGCCCTTTCGTCGGTTCTCTTAAAAGTCGTCGAGCATATAATGAAAAATCGCCTAGAGTGGTTTGTAGAAAGACATGACATTCTTGCTAAATCACAGTTCGGTTTTAGAAAAGGATATAGCACTTTAGACAGTCTCAGTACTCTTACAACAGACATCCGTTTAGCGTTAGTGAAAAAAGAATACCTAATTGGAGTATTCCTGGATATATCGTCTGCATATGACAACGTCCTTATTCCGGTGCTCAGGCAGAAAATGCAACATCTGAACATCCCAGTGAAGTTGGTTCGATTCATTTGCAACCTGATAACGTCCAGGTCTATTTTGATAAGGTCTCAAAACCATACATTGGCTAGGACTGTATGGAAAGGCCTACCACAAGGATCGGTTCTTAGCCCCATACTTTACAGTTTATACACTTTCGATATGGAACTTTCGGTGAACCCCTTCTGCCAGATTTTACAATACGCTGATGACGTAGCCCTTTACGTCACAGTGAAATCAATACCGGAGGCTACTTCACGACTTAACTCTGCTCTATCATATCTCGGTGATTGGCTGTCTGACCATGGACTATCCGTCTCCACACCAAAATGTAGCACCGTAATCTTTACAAAGAAACGAAACATCCCTGCTCCGAACATCAAATTTCAGGACTTCACAATAGAAATTAGGCCTTCAGTAAAGTTCTTAGGGATGATACTTGACTCTAGACTCACGGGTACTGAGCATTTCAATAATATTGCCAGTAAGGCAGAAAAGGGCGTAAACGTTTTGCGAGCTTTGTCTGGCGTCTGGTGGGGCGCACACCCAGTAACTCAAAGACTGCTTTATAACGCAATAATTCGTAGTCACTTTGACTATGGCTCATTTCTCCTTGACCCATGCAATAAAACAGCTCTGGATAAAATCAACAAAATCCAATCGAAGTGCTTACGAATTATACTAGGGGCAATGAAATCCTCCCCCATCAATGCCCTTCAAATAGAAGGGGGCGATCCCCCACTTTTTCTGCGTAGACAATACCTCAGTGACAGATTTCTCCTTAAGGTTTTACAAAATGAAAATCACCCATTGTTACCTTCTTTAGACAAGCTGACCCATTTATCAAATATAAATTCTAATTCTTCTCATAAAGTACCCTGTATAGTTACTAGTTATTATAAGTTCCACCGCCCATCCATTTCCATTGAAAAATTTCCTTGCAACCCTTTGTTTTTAAACAGCTTCGAGTCTTTAGTTTTCGATCCGCCCATCTCACTTAATCTGGGTATTGAAAAACAGTCACCCAGTTCAAATAAATCCTTCAATGAGGTAATGTGTAAAAACTGGCCGCATTGGCTTCAAATATTTACGGATGCATCCAAGATTTCAGATACTGAGAGTGTTGGAGCGGCAGTATGGATACCCAAGTATAAGATAGTCCTGAATTTTAAAATACCACCACCCTCATCAGTCTTTACGGGTGAAGCAATCGCAATATTGGAGGCAATTTTATATTGTGAATCACACAATTTAAACCGCTCAATCATCCTATCCGATTCTCTTAGCTGCCTTCAGGCAATATCGTCCAATCCCATGCGGTCCAAATCTCGCTTCCCAATTATCCTCAAAATTAGAGAAGCTTTACTTAGATGTAAAGTGAAAGAAATAGAACTGATGCTGAGCTGGATCCCAGGTCACAGTGGCATACACGGCAATGAAACTGCTGATTCGTGTGCCAGGAATGCAATCTCCACTGGTTGTACTAGTCATTCCGAACTTACATATAACGATCTCATCCCCCTCCTTCATTCTCATCTATCGCAATCATGGGAGACGCATTGGACAAACACTAAAAATAAGAGTGGAAAGTACTACTTTGACATCCAACCAACTATTCCAACAAAACCTTGGTTCATAAAACAGAAACATACTCCCAAACAGGTTGTATCAGTGTTATGCCGTCTCCGCATTGGACACGCAAGCTTACCAGTTCATTTGGCCAAAATTAATGTTAAGGATAATCCCCTTTGTGAGTGCGGCCTAGATGAGGGATCTGTAGAACACACACTATTTGACTGCCCCAAACTCTTGTATTCCCTGTATGATGTACTCCCACAAGAAGTTCCTCGCCCCATTAATATTAAAAATGTGCTTCAACTGGTTAATACACCCTGTTTAAAAACACTAATTAAATTTATCTTAAGTAATAAGTTAAAATTATAATGAACCATTCCTTATTTCCCCCTTACTAAAATGTTATGCCTGTATATGTGTTGTGTTGTGTAACGTGATGCATGCGATAAAATGTGTTTTGTTTCAGGTTCGTTATCGACATAGAAAGTGTATAATTATTTATTTAAATATTAGAATCTCTTTTCCAAATTAATTATGTATAGAATCCCTATCGTGTAGTGGCTATCCACGTGAAATTGGCGGAATTGTGCGAAAAGCGCAGATGGGCCATCAATAAAAGAAGAAGAAGAAGAAGACCTGTCAGCCATTTGCAAATTTGCTTTGCGTATTCTCGGAAGTAGTTCAGCTGTCAGTGTTATAAGTTTTGTGGTTATTTTCATTTATAACTTTAATTTATATAACTTTCATGGCAGAAAATTGTAAATTATTTATGCAAAACAATGCCTAGGTGCTGTATAATTGGTTGTGCGTCATCAATATCCCGCAAACCGAGCAATATTACGTTTCACCGGTAAGTTAAACACTTTCTTGGAATAACAGTATTTAAAACGTAAGTAAGTTATTCTGAAAATGATTGCGTGTATAAATCGATACATATCGTGTTTTGGCGTGTTCTATTTATGTTATATTGCTCTTTTCGTTTATATTTTTATAATATTTCGGTCCGTAAATAATGTTGTTTCCATGGCTAGTGTTGTTACTTTAACATTTGGTTTATATCGATCATTTTATTATTTAAAAATATATTCATTATTTTAGATTACCAAAAGATGAAACAAAAAGAGGAATATGGCCGAGTTCCATTGGAGCAGAAAATATTAAATATAATGAAAAAGTTACTTTTATCTGCTCACTTCATTTTAGGGAAAGTTGTTTGGATCGAATTTTAAATATAATAAAATTACGAGATGATGCATTGCCAATCAAATACGCTGGTAAGAATTTTTGACAATTGCTTTTAACTTAATTTTACAATTTTTTTGTCTATTACACTTAGTTAATTTTCATTTGATTTTACTGATTTATTTATTTAGTTTTTTATGTAGTCATTTTGTTATTCTATAAATGTACCTTATTTTTAGTCTTGCGGTCATATGACAACTATTTTAATTGAAAAAAATCAGAATGCAATATATAATAATATTAAAATTTAAAATTCTGATTATAATATACTCCCACTAAAATTACAATAAAATGAGTAAAATAATTTTAATAAAAATTTAAAGGTTTTCTTTGCTGTTCAATAATATAATCTTAATACCCAAATAATTATTTTGCGGCGTGGCTGTTTATTTTGCTGATGCATCATAAAATACGCTACCTTTTTGTATTTAAATTGCTGACCGTTATCATGATTGTTCACAGAACATGAATTGCAGACAGTTTTAGTGCTGAGAAAATATTTGTATGCTTGCCCATTGATTTATCGGCTGTTTTCTTTTTGCTAACCAAATTTTTAAATAAAATGCCAATTGTTACTTTTTTAATAAATTATATCACTTTTTCATCTACCAACTTTGGTTTCTTTATTTTCTCTTGTTTATTCATCAAAGTTTCTTTTACAAATAATATAATACAAAGATTATGTAGGTGTTTCAAGTTTTCTATGTTTACTACTAAACAAGATGCTCTGAACTAAAATTATGACACAGTACGCACGGTATCTCACTTAATGAGGAGTAAGCGAAATTTATTCAGTCAATGCAATTTGGCTTACTAGTTACAAATATATAAGAAAGTCAAAACTCTGTGCTTATAGTTCGTAAATCTATTACGGGAAACCTTGTACCGAGAAAAGAAGAAGGGGAACCGGTAAGAAACTGCAAGTGCTGCTTTTGCACCCTGTTTAATTTCGTACTGAAAAATAAAAAATGACTTCATTTCACCAAAATGTCACTTTCCACTATAACAATAAAAAATACAGACAAAAAAAAACATAATAATTCATTCGTCAATCGACTCATTTAAAGCTTATTATAGTTACCGTGGCAGTTATCTTGGACAGTGGTCACACTTCCCGTGGATGCAAAATTAAACTTATGTTAAAAAAAATCTATTTAATTATAGTTGCAAAATATCAACTTTACAACATATATGGAAATAATTATAAAACACGATTGATATTATTGTTAAACTTTTAAGATATATATTTTGGTACTATAGTTCTTAAAACTACGTAAAATTGTCTATATTATAGGAAAAATAAACATATTTATCGAGGTACAATCATATTATAAAATAATATTTATATAGTATAAATATGAAAGTTTGTGAGGATCGATGTTGGTTACTCTCATGCAAAAACTACTGAACGGATCTTGATGAAATTTGGAATACGAATCTTTTACCGGTGGGAAGCGCCATCATACGCTGGTAACATAGGTTATAATTACTATACTGACGCAACGGAGTCGCAAGAACAATGAGACTTTTAGATGTCCAACAAAACACGAGCAAAAGATTGCTTAAAGATTTATAAATAATTGATAAATTCACGCCACTTGTAACGATATATTATTTTCTTAAAACTGGCGTGAATTTATTTATTTAATTAATAATAATCATAAATAGGATTGGTACGTAAGTGTGAAACGAATAGAAGTATAATAGATAATAGTTTAGCCATGCCCCTAACAATGGAAATTATATTACTTTATTTAATAAGTAGTTGTTTTGTAGCAGTTTCACAAAATACTAACTTTTATTTAATATGACTTCAATGTCGATACAAATATCGATATCATGGGTCGCGCCCTATTACAGTCCGCCATCGAAGAATTTGCATTTCAAGTTTAGCCATATAGGTACGCTTTTTTCGTAGGTATGGCCGGTCCTCTTCTTTTATGTCTATGGGATTTCCAGATTCGCAGGGCTGAAAAGCGAGTCAAGCGAGATATCAAGTATAGAGGTTATCTGTCCATTTCTTATAAAGTTACATTAATATTTTAATTAAGTGAGACTTTTCATATGGTACAGTTTTTTTGCTACTGCGGCTATTATCGCACACATAGGGATTGATAAAATCCGTATTTGTTTTAATTCAGTTTTCTATATTTTCGTCCGATTAAAATCCGGATAATCTGAATATATCGCTTTTTGTGATTTAAGATGTTTCGAAGAACCGAAATGAAATATCCTAAATTATATTAAAAATTGCAATAATTAATTGTAATCCATGTCAGGAAAAAGTAAAATTAACAAAAATTGTTTAAAAAGCCCACTAGCTCTGGGTATCCCGGGGTGTAGCTCTACAGTCTTTCGTAATTCGGGTGACTGCTCTAGCCATTGCCCTACGAGGCCCGAAACCCAACTTAGAAAAATCTCTACATACTTGTATTATTTTAAGAAATAGCGCGGTCAAGTGGTTAGGGGAATATAATATTTCATTTGCGTCAAAAAAGATATAATTAAAGTGTAATCTTGTCGCTCAGAACACCAGCAAGATCGTGGCTACGCCTGCGACTTTTGTGCAGCTGTCTTCCAAGGTCTTTCGCTCACGCGATCCAAAGTTGACCACCAAAATACCTAAAAATCAGAAAGAATTCTTCTTGTGCTCAACACCAACATATACAAAAACACACATGGCTCTACAAAATAAATCTCTTTGTCTTTTATATAACAAAACAACAACCGTCATAAATGAAATAATCAATGCTCAAACAAATATTTTTAATTGTGATGTTTTATTGATTTATCGTTTCTGTTTCTCGAATGTATCGTTGTTTAATGAAACTTCTACTTATAAAACTTATTTACTTAATATAACTTCATTGAATACCTTTGAAAGTAGTATCACTTCTATTGACGGTTTGAAAGTGCCTTCTGTGGGTACCAGCTGCGATTAATTGATAGTAAGTTTATTAGTAATGTTCATATTATTTTATGCTGCAACCAAGGTTACTCAATCCAAATAGTCTTATTTAACTTTCATTTTATAGTGATTGTCAAAAGTTGTAAGATAATTCTTGATGTTATAAATGATATACTCATTAAAATAATGTCTGCTTTTAATTAAATTGAAATACATACTTTAAAAATCATAATCATATGCCTATAGAATCACTGTGTGTTAATATAAATCAAGTGTGAAAGTTTATAATATTTTGAAGATTGATTATAAAATGATAAACCATTAAAGTCTTATCTTAACTAACTATAATTTTTGTAGTATTTGTCTGTCAGCTGGCTGCTACTTTTTACTATGTTAACGTACTCTGTGACTTATGCTATTGGCTATCCAACAATTGTATACTGTACAATCACACAAATATTGATCAACATTTTGATTTAGATTTAAATAAACATTAGAAAATATTGTATTGGAATAACTGAAATTATATTTTTGTTTCAGATTCCTATCAATTGATTCTCAATTATGAGTCCAGGGGATGGTACTCAAGTAGCTGTATTGAATCGTGTTGATGACTATGTGGAATTGCTATATGATGACATTCCTGAAAAAATAAAAGGATCAGCCCTTATATTACAGTTAGCAAGAAATCCTGATAATTTAATTGAACTGTCTAGAAATGGTAAGAATTTTTGTTATATATACATTCCATGCTGATAATGTAATTGAATAAAAGTTACTGTTTTCTTGCATTGTTATGTTTATCTGTTTTTATTTCAGAGGCTTTATTAAGTGCTTTATCAAGGGTCCTTAGAGAAGAGTGGAAAAGAAGTATTGAATTGAGTACAAATATTGTGTATACATTTTTCTGTTTTTCTACTTATAATGAGTTTCATCCAGTTATCATTCAATATAAAATAGGATCACTATGTATGGATGTTATAGACTATGAACTTAAAAGATATGATCAATGGAAAGAAAAGGTTGAGGGTAAAAAGCCACTACTAACTCCAGATAAGGCAAGTATAATGTTATAAGCAATGTTGATCTGTGTTTTGTTAGATAACTGAGTTAGTTTATGTCAAGTTTCATAAGAAATTTCTGATATTCCTTTGAAAAATTAAATAAAATGAAACAAAAGATGTTTTTATGCATAAACTATTTCATAGTCAACCAAATATATATAAAGATCAAAAAGAAAGGATTTATATAAATATATGAATAAGATCAGAATACGCTACGAAATACTTATTTGCTTGGATTCTATATCTTAAAAATTTTCTTTTCAGAGTGAATTGCCAAAAAGTCGTATACCTGAACCGAAACGCCGACCAAAGTCTGGTACATGGGCTGTGGCCGATGTCAATATACAAAAATCTCGGACACTAGTATCTAGTTATCATGAAGATTTATGCAATATCACTGATGAGTGTCTCTCCAAAAATGATGAGGAACAAATGAAAAGGAAACTAAAGACATTATCAAAAAGACAAGAACAATTACTACGAGTAGCATTTTATATGTTACTTAATATTGCAGACAATGTTAAAGTGGAAGAAAAAATGCACAAAAAAGATATAGTTGGCTTGCTTATTGGAGCAATGGAAAGGCATTCAAATATTGATTTACTAATTCTAATAGTTTCTTTTTTACAAAAGCTGTCTATTTTTGTAGAAAATAAAAATAGTATGGCTACAAGGGGTATTATAGACAAACTGGCACCTCTATTAGATTCACCAAATGCAGACTTAGTCAATGTTACACTAAAACTTCTATTTAATTTGACTTTTGACACAAAATTGCGCAACAAGATGATTAAAATGGGTTTACTACCCAAATTCATACAATTCACAAGTAAGAGCAGTTATGTCAGATATGATTAAAGGAATGAAAATCATTTTGTGTCTAATGGTAGTTTTGAAATTATTCTTGATTTTCCAGGTGATGATAAACATATAACTTTAGCAATGAAAATTTTGTATCATTTGAGTATGGACGATAGAGTTAAATTGTTGTTCACCCAATCAGATTGCGTGAAATTGGTAAGTTTGAATAATATTAATATGGAGCAGCTTCAATCAATTCTTACTCTGAAAATGCAATAATAAATTATTTTTCCTTATTATATAAAGTGAGTAATATGAAAAAATCATTATAGCTAACCGACATGCTGCTACTAAATGTTAATAGTGAGAGTAATCCATCTAATGGACCTGGAGTGACTGACGTTCTACTTGCGCTATGTGTGAATTTAGCTTGGTGTGAACGAGCCGCACAGCAAATGGCTGCCGAGGGACGATTACGGGAATTACTTGCGCGCGCTTACCGTCACCGAAATACTATGCTCATGAAACTAGTACGAAATTTATCGCACCATGCGCAGATCAAGCCACTATTTGTAGTAAGTTAAAATGTTTTTCAATTGTTATGAATATAATTTTTAGAATAGGTATAAAACCTACTCTGAATTTACTATATTCTCAGTTATGCTAATAAAGTAATTAAATTGGAATACCAACATAATATTTTGTTTACTACAAATAGATATTTTTTTAGGAATTTGTTGGTGATATTGCTGGTGCAGTTACAAGTGGTGATGCGACAGAAGAATTTACTATTGAATGCATCGGAACCCTCAGCAATATTTTAATAATAAACAACAATATAGATGTGTTTGCTGTTGTGGAGAGGTACAATTTAATACCATGCATCATGAAAATACTAGATCCAGGTTAGTTATTATTATTAATCGAATTTATTTATAATAGATTGGTGATTTCTTGTCAGTTGTGACCAGTATTCAAAAAATGCAAAAGGTTATATCAAGATGATCAGAATGATGATGAAGTTAATTTTTAAAAATGTTTAAGCATCTTTTATTACATAACTATATTAAGTATCTTTTGTTACATATGTTACATAACTCACCCTGGGCCGCCTGTCCACTGCGTGTTTTGACAAGTTTAGTTCCTGTATATCGTAAATACGTTAAGTACAGTTTATAATTCACTCTGCGTTTTGATTTGTTTGTAAGTGAAATTGTGAAAGATTCAACAAATAAACAATAACCAACATAAATTTCCGTTTTTGATCAAAATATTTATCGGCGTCAGGAAGTTGTGTTTATTCACAGCGTCTTTTCTCTGAAGCCGGGCTAGTGTATGAGTAAAAAAGAAGTAAACTGTTTCCTGAAAACTGATTAAAAATTAATATTTTTGCACCATAACCTTCAGCTTCTAAGCTTTGGTTACGACACCAATTTAAATGCATAAAAAATCATAAAACTTTGTAATACAGAAGATGATTGTGTACTATCTGTTCTCGATTTTTATGATTATAACAAATATTAAAATAATATAATTATAAAATAAATCAATAATTTCTTTTATTTTACGAATTATCTCATTACAACAAAATATAACTGTTATGTAATTAAGTATTCGGTATTCGGCCGAATAGTATGGATATATTCGGTATTCGCCCGAATATAACAAAAGATGCCGAATAGGCCGAATACTAATCGAATATTTGTTGCAAGTCTAATTAAAACGCGTTTCGACTTTACAGTTATTTTTTACTTTACTTAAAAATATACATTCGGTTTAAGACTAACATTAACATTAAAATAGACAAGAACAAAATCAATTATAAAGCAAAGCGATAAGCGTGAACTATTTATTTTAAGTAATTAAAGGTGGCGAAATCAAAGCAAGAAGTGTAGTTCGTCGATCTTTCGTTGCCTTATATTCCTTTTTGCCCTGCGCCCGCTCACGGCGGCTGGTAGCCAATGCCTTGAGGATGCGTCGAACGCCCTTTTCTAGGCCGCGCATCAATTAGCGATACATCGGGAGTTCCTTACGGCCGGACAAGTTTCAATGTTGTCGCGAGAACATTAGATCGCCTTATCATCGTATAATTTGCGACTCTTATAACTTCATTTATAAGCGTATATAATAGCGATTTAAGTCACTACATTATATTAGGATTTTTTATTTCCGAAAATTGTCATTAGGAACGGGGGGACAAGCTCAGATATGTAGCATGCATTTTGTTTTTCGCCGGAAATAGCTGAATCATGCCCTGTGGGCTGATTGATTAATTTCCATATTCTTAATGAAAAATGCTTAAAAAATCCACTTTGTCCCTGGTACTCCGAGATGAGTCATTATTGCATTAAGAATATTTTCCAGTATAGCATTGTGAATGCAAAATTGATTAATTATTCCATATCTATTACAATCCCTATCAAATATATAGCGATTACTAAATAAATGAATATTTTGATGCGTTGTACAGAAAGTACGCACAATAACGCTTGCTTTAGACAAAGCCAAGCAACGTAAAAAATCATTCAATATTTTAAAATCATTGCGATTGCAATATACCCCATGTCAATTAGTTGAAGCGTGAAGAGATTGCGATGGATTTATAATTAAACGATAGGGTAGTTTCGTTGAACAAAAAATAACATTTACATCGTAATATTTTACTTACAGAGCTTCTGATTTTGAGTTTAAAATTAAAATCGTAAAATTATCTTAATATGTTAAAATTAAAAGTCGTGATTTTTTGTCTGTGTGTCACGTGACTTGAAATACGACCCGCCATTGTATGACGCCACTTTAGCGACAACTGCCAGATAAGCCATGAAGATATATTTAATAATTATAAATAAAATTCCTAGATGGCGCTCTTCTTAGCTTATTTAATCTTTTTATTTCGAAATCGAGCGATAGATGCACTGTTGTTTTATTAACATCTTTTACTCTTCTTTATGCATCTGTTTTGTATACATATTGACTGTGTGATAATGATTGTGATGTGCGTTGTACCTATAGAGAGTACGTGCGATCCAGAGTCAGTTCTGGAGGGCGTGGTGGCGGCAGGCGCGCTGGCCGGCGACGAGGGCGCGTTTTTTTATTATTTAAAATAAACAGTTACAAGTATTATTTCAAACAGAGTAGAATACCCTATTAGCCACCCTGATTGTGATGTGCTTTATACCTATAGAGAGTACGTGCGATCCAGAGTTAGTTCTGGAGGGCGTGGTGGCGGCGGTCGTGCTGGCCGGCGACGAGCGCGCGTTTTATTTATTTAAAATAAACAGTTACAAGTATGATTTCAAACACAGTAGAATACCCTATTAGCCACCCTGATTGTGATGTGCGTTGTACCTATAGAGAGTACGTGCGATCCAGAGTTAGTTCTGGAGGGCGTGGTGGAGGCGGTCGAGCTGGCCGGCGACGAGCGAGCGTTTTATTTATTTAAAATAAATAGTTACAAGTATGATTTCAAACACAGTAGAATACCCTATTAGCCACCCTGATTGTGATGTGCGTATTACCTATAGAGAGTACGTGCGATCCAGAGTTAGTTCTGGAGGGCGTGGTGGCGGCGGGCGCGCTGGCCGGCGACGAGCGCGCGGCGTGTGCGCTGGTGCAGGCGGGCGGGGGCGGCGCGCTGGTGGCGCTGCTGCGGCTGCGGCAGGCGGACGACGAGCACGTGCTGCAAACTGTGTACGCATTCAGGCAGATACTGTCGCACCCCCGCGCCGCTGAGCATCTGGTCACGCGCACAGGTACCGTAAGCAACGGGTCTCGTAATTTTATGGTCAATTTACACGTGATTAAGCAGATTTTTAAGTGATTAAATACGTGTAAACACACAAGAGGGTAGTTTCGGTAGCGAAAAATTAGTCACGGAATTGCACAAAAACTTAAATTTATATCGTAATAGAGATTTTGCAATCCACCTAAACATGAGTATTTTTCATTAAGAATATTTTTCAGTATAGCATTGTTGTATTTTATTATTTATTTGTGGGTTTATTTATACATACTTGATCTCTTAAAATTAAGTTCAAAATCGACTTACTTCTTAATTACGTGTAAACTAGCCATTACCCCTTAACTCAACTATGCCCAGAAGTGGAGATGCTTTTGAGGGTCTAGGGTTAGGTAACTAATGATCGCAAGTAATACTAATATTCATTTGAATTAACGAATATCACCACAAATATTTTTAAATGTTCTATTGAAAAAATTAACTTAAAAATTACAGTTTGGCTGTGCACCGTGTATATAAAGATAAAGATTTATTGTTATGATTATATGCAAACTCATTTATGCACTATATCTATATATGTCACAGTCACGTGAGCACAGGAGTAAAGATATACAGAGTTCTATCTTCTTACAACTGCGCTGCGATAGGTATATTACTTCAAGCGAGAGCCGCGTGTGTGCGTTAGTACTGGCTATTCGTCATACGGAGCGAAATTGGTTTATACCGGCTGGGTCAATGCTCAAGCGCAGGGATCGCGTTGTTCACGGTGTGTACGTTCTTATGCGTTGTATTGTGAAAAATAATTGAAAGAGTTAATCATTTAACAGTAGGAACAAATGATTTATCAATTTGATTTACCAGAAAAAATGGTTTAGTCGAATATATCTACTTGTATCGAAAATGTCTGGAACAGCATAAATGTGAGAAAATAAAATTATATGTTTAATAATAAATTTAGAAAAAAAATTTTTTATTAAGTCACAATTATGCTTTCAGTGAAGGTGTTTTAATAATACCTCTGGAAAATTTTATCTCATATATTGAATTGCTCGAATATATTGATTTAGAAAATAAAATTGTTAACAATGGTAACAATATTTTAAATAGTACCCATAACAGAATTTCCATGTAAAGCTTTCCATTAGACTATTTGAAAAAGATTTATGTAAAATTTAGTATTTATCATTCAATTGAACGTCACAACAAATTATTGAAAAACAAAAATTACAAAAAGTAAATATATAGAGTAAGTCACTTGGTAAAACACATGTTTCTTTATAGTTAGCATTTCATTATACTTACGTATATAATAAAAAATAAAAAATTGTTTATTTCATTATTTCCTTCTGTGGCAACCCTACCAGAATAGGTATTTATTTTGAACATGAGTTTCTGTACTTCTTTATTCATGTGACATGGGTATTGGCTTAGATAATCACCATTTTTAAATGCTCCAGAACTGTTGCAATGTGGATCAACCCCTTATGTTCTCATAGAAATATATATATTATAATAGTAAAAATATCATATGACCTACAACGCCTATCCGGTATCCGGTCTATTGTTTTTTCAATAAACTGAACAATATTTGTTAGAATACCTGTATTGATTTATGTATATGCCCTTATTACAGAAGCACCGGCCTATCTTATCGATCTGATGCAAGACAAGAACGTTGAAATAAGAAAAATGTGCGATTCTTGCCTCGATATTATATCTCAAATGCAGAATGAGTGGGCGGAGAGAATAAAGGTTTGAAATTTATCGCTTTCTTAATAGGTATAAAATGTCAAGACATTATACAATGGCGTGTTTTTGTTTGTTTAAAATCATTGTTACATATATTTTCTACCGTAATTTCTCGAAGCGTTTGCCGTTGTTGGACCGATTTAAAAAAATCTTTCTTTTACGGGAATCATATGCTGGTTACATAGGCTTAACGCTGACGAAATCCAGGAAAACAGCTAATCGTCGTGATTATGAGCCCTATTCAAACAATTTTGTGTAGGCCTCCTTCAACCACTCCGCTCTGTTCTGTTTTGGACCACCCGAACATGATATGTGTCAACATAAGCATTAAAACGGACTTCTTACATATTATTTTCTAAAATAACCAAAGTAGGGTATTTGACACTATTGAAAATAAGTTGCATGTTGTGGTCATCCTGTTAGATAATAATATAGTAAAGTTTATTTCTTAGAATTTGCAGACTGTGTTTAACTTTAGTAAAAATAACGTAATGAAAATGTAACATTTTTAAGAATTTAATGAATAACGAAAACTCCCTGTAATTAATTGGATGTCGTCGCAACCAATAACAGGTTCTGTTTACGGCCGTGTGACGTCACACGCAATTAGCAAGCTGTTAAGTCAATACAGTGTTATTGGAGACACGTCAATTTGTATTAATACATACAATTTGTAGCTCATTTTTGTAAACAAAACCAGAGAAAATACTAATACAAAACGTTAAATTTTACTTCAATCTATCTTCTGTAATACTATTTGTCTACTCCGTAAATAAATAGTTTACTTCGTAAATGTATAGTTGATAAATAGGTTCTGTCGCCTTGACATATTTACCAGAGTGTGACGTCACAAATACCACGTGATCAGCGCCATTACATAGAGCAGCAATTTTGCGCGATTTTGGTTATTTCAATTTTAACAATTATTTTTATCGAAAATAGAACTGATTTCCATGAAATATATTGACAGTGTATTTATAATGTATCAAACAACCATTTAAATAGTTCTCAGAAAAGTGTCAAATACCCCATTAAGTAGGTAAGTATTAAGCGGTAGGTCATCGGTCAATAGATACGGTGTCATAATAAACTGATTCTACTGTATACAATGTATTATGTTCGCAAGGTGGAGAGATTCCGTTGTCACAACGGCCAGTGGTTGTCAGTGGTGGAGACCCTGGGCGCGGAGGGCAGCGGCGGCGGCGGCGACACCAGCGACGACTTACCGCCGTACCTCTCCGCCGAGTACCTCACAACGCACCGGCTCACCACCTCGGGTATCTATAGTCCGTTTCACATAGCTTTTATTAACAAAACCATTTCGCGCTATTTGCATTTCCAAATAATTAAAAACCATCGTTATAAAAAAATATTTGTCTGTGTACCTATAGGTATATTCAATAATTGTTTAAATTTGAACATTAAACACAACTTTTTTTTTTGATAACTGAAATTTTCCCTCTAAAGTTTAAAACATAAATACTTGTATCAAAAAGTTTTTTTTTTGCAATAGATATTGAATCAATGAATTCGTTTTAAGCGAAATATGTACTGTAAATTTAACATATGTAAATTTTTGATAATTGTTGTAACAATTGTCTTAAAGTATAAATAAATTTTGTGTTTTTCTGACTGGAGTTCGTCTCGTTGATGAATTAAAATTTTTCTTAAATCCTGTTTTATATATTGATCTCAAAATCGATTATCTCTAGAATGAACTCAATAATATCGAGTTTTTGTATATATATAATTTTTATAACACATGACTAAACTGTACCCAGTAAACTATAATTAATACGTATTATTTTTTTTCTGATAGTGTTAAATATACTATTACCAATAATCACACTTTTGTGCTTATAACATTTATATTGTTGCTTAAATTAATTATGAAAAACAAATATTTTATAATCGTTGTCGCGTGACCGCAAATAGCGCGTGACGTCACGCCTCCTTATCATATCGGTACTTAGAGAATTAAACCTTATGTATGACTCAGCCAAGTGGTATAATCAGCCAACCAATTGGGCGGCTGGCCCTTTAATTGAATGGCGCCATTTAATTAACAGGCTGACTTTCGATTGGCTTAGTAGCGGAACGCAACGGCTTCTATAGTACGGCTGAAAAATGGTCAGCCAACTAATTAACTGTCAATCAACTCACCGGGAACACCGATATTGATTAGTTAAGAATAGAAGTAAAACAAAATATAAATTGTAGTGGGTGAATTTAAATAAAACTGTACGATCTGTAATTGATACAGATACAGGACTGATCGAAAAGACAAGAATAACAAACTGCTTGTTAATGGTGCTTATAATCCAATACAGGTAATTTTAACGCACACGCCCATACCGTTAATGGTTTAAGCTTATATAAAGACAAGATATACTGCGATTAAGACGGCCACAGCGCCATCTATCGAAAGCAGGCTAAGTAATGTATTAGACTGCGATTATTTAATATATTTATTACGATTACGAAGTTTGGTGCTACAATAGTTTATTTTCAGATTTAAACTTGTTATATCTAACTTTTTTATGTATTTTTTCTAGATACATTTCGTGTATATATATTGTAAAAAAATTTAAAAGTTGTCTACACCCCTATTTCGCATCTATATCAATTCCTTTCGATTTAACATTTAAAGGATACTCACGAACATCGTTCGCATTATCCTTGTACAGCTAGGCCTTTTCGGCTTATTCTTTCTTTTCCTTTTTGGACTTTGAAAATTAATTCAAGAAATTTCTATTGACGCCATGACAGCTGTTATCAAATTTAAAAATAACATTTGCTGGATACAGTGTATTAATTTTTCATTTTATTTCAGATTCTCAAACTTCACTCAACGATGATTCTGATAGCTTTTCTGGTGAAGTAGACATGGATCGTATCAGTAACAGGTAAGAAGTATAATATACTAATTTTATCATTCGCAAATATTTGTTTATTAGTTTGTTTGCATTGAATGCACGCCAAAACTACAGGATCGATTCTTTTACCTATGGGTGTTCCATCATACTTGGTGATGAAGGTTATAATTTACACAAGCGAAGTCGTGGAAGAACAGCTTATATTCGATTCGGATACAGCTATTATTATGAGGTGTGGTAAATCTGTTGCGCATACCTACTGCTTACCTAATAAGTAATTTTAATTTTTATTAACTGGTTGAGCCAATTCAGCTGATATGTTTGTCGTAGTCCAGAGATGGTTTAAACGGGGAAAGGTGGTATAAAGTACTCCGGGTCACTTATCTAGTCTACCACGTGTGTTCATAAGTTTGGGACGAAATAAAAGTTGCGTAGCTTATTTAATAATTTAATTTAAAATATTATTTTATATTTCTAAAATTTTCAGTAACCAATAAATAGAATATAATCAACAATAAAATATATGTATATTTTATTGAAAATAACCGCCCTTGATTTTAATACAGGCCCTTAGACGATTTGGCCAGTCATCAATGGCGGCACGAATCTTTTATAGCGGAATTCACTTTGCTTCTCGAACAAGGGTTCGCTTCACTGACTCCAAGTTTGGGTGGGACTTTCGGCAGGCCCTGAGCTCTAATTCAGTACATAAAGAATAATCCAGTGGGTTGAGGTCGGGGCTGGAGGAGGGCCACTCGTCCGCCGCGATGAAGGCCAGCACATTCTCCCTCAACCAAGCTTGGGGCTTTTTGCCTTATGAAATGGCGATGAGTCATGCTGAAAAATCCAATCCTTATTGTGAAATAACGGGTCAGACAGGGTTTTCACCACGGGCTCTAAAATGTCACTCTGATAATTTTTGGCTTTCACCTTTACACACTGTTGGCAGAAATCGTGCGCAGTGACACCTTCATACGAAGCTGGGATATCCTTACTACTTTTAGCGTACACTTTATTGTTTTGTCGGTTGTAAATTTTCTCGTCGGTGAAGAGTATCTTCCTAGCATCATGTCTCTTTAGCAGCAATAAACAACGTTCACGACGTAACTTACGGAGACTATCGTTTAAAAAATGAACTTTTATACGGCTATAGGGTTTTACCTTAAGATCATACCTATTTCAATACTCGATTCACTGAAACGCGCAAAACATTAGTCTGCAGATCGAGTTTCTTCTGAGTGCGACATGGATTTCGACGAAGTTGCTCTCGGATGATTTTGATGTTCGCATGCGTCCTCACTAGGCTTGCCAGACCGCCGGGAAATCCGGGATTGTCCCGGAATCTTGCCTCTTGTCCCGTGTCCATTAATTAGCGCTTATTGTCCCGGATTCTGGTAACTTATTATTTTTTACAAAATAAACTAGCAACGAATGACACGGCTGCCGGTGAGCGGGTGCGGGAGGCGCGCGGGCGCAGGAGGGGAGTGCGTGCAATAGTTTTTTAAGTTTATTTTATGTACTAAAATTTTTTTTGTTACTAACAGTCAAGTACTGATTATTTTGTATCTTCTTTGCGTCGCCCAGTCGGGTAAAAAGGGAATTCCCGTAAATTATTTGTGTGGGTTGACAGTGTTATTAATGTTTTCATCAATTTATTGGATATCAATATCTGCATATTATTATTTATCGATATGCGTTTTTGTGATTCGCGATTGTGAACTTCGAGTCAAGTTTTTTTTTTCGAGAATGGTTAAAAAGTTATTGTATCAGGAGTAAGTAATCGTATGTCAATAAATTTTTTGTACTGGTCCATACAAAAGTTCAATTTTATTTGATTAGGTACCCTCCTTTGCGTCGCGCAGTCGGGTAAAAAGGGAATTCCCGTAAATTATTTGTGTGGGTTGACAGTGTTATTAATGTTTTCATCGATTTGTTGGAAATCAATATCTGCATATTCTTATTTATCGATATGCGTTTTTGTCAAGTCAAGATTTTTTTTCGAGAATAGTTAAAAAGTTATTGTACCAGGAGTAAGTAATTGTATGTCAATAAATTTTTTGTACTGGTCCATACAAAAGTTCAATTTTATTTGATTGTAGTCCGTCAAACCGTCAAATGTAGTAACACTGACGGCGATAAAGTGTTTGCCGGGGATTCCCCAACGACGCCTTGTATCGTATCATTTTCATTCATTCACGTTTCGCTTTCCTTTTACTTGTAACGTTATCAGTGAATAATGAATACCTACTTGAGTACAATCTTACATAAATATTGCATAAATAAATTAGAAAACTAATATTATGGACAAAAAAAAGAAACCCGGTGGTGCATTTAAACGCAAACGACGCCAAGAAAGAGGAGAACGTAAACAAAAATTGCCGAAAATTGACAAGTTTTTAGTCAGCCTTCTGCAAGTACTTCTGGATCAAATTTTTCTATTGTTAATTTTTGTAAATAGCTTGCATGGCGATAGGTTAAATAACAGTAAACTGGTGCAACGTATCTATGATTAAATAAATATATAATAAACCCTTGAATCTTTTTTATTTCGTTTTATTGCCCAATACCTACACCAAGTATAAAAATAATTGTAATTTATGTTGTTAGTGTTTAATAGTTTTATTACCTGCCTATGCACGAAAAAGAGCTGATGATAAATTTATATGTATATTTAATGATTTTACTTTAAAAAACCTTACCAGTTTTGATAGCAGTGGGCCCCATTTTTTTATTTGCCCCAGGGCCCTAGATTACCTAGCTACGCCACTGTTCGTAACACATGCAAGAATTGATGTTTTAGTGAGTGAGACGTCTGAGTGATTCGGAAAATCTTTATTATCAACATCACAACAAAAATTTACCCATCTAACTATTACCAAAGAACATATTATATTATTTTTTTGTATTTAATTATTATTCTCTATAACGCGCAGGCTTTGCAGCCCATCTCACACGTAATAATCTATGCCCGCTGCCTGTGGGCACGAAGTTGCTGCAGGTCCTCGACATATGAGTCAGATGGTCTGCTACAATGTAAATTAACATAAACTTGGATTAGAAGTATACCTCATATATAATTCGGAGTGACTTCTCACGTCTTAAATACTTACTTTTTGTTTCAGTCACGCCACGGAAACCAAGGCCAACGTACTATATGGAAGTAATCAGTTATTGTCCGACAAATCTGGTGACAATGATTCTTTGTTTACCAAAGACATGGAGATATTCGCACAGTAGAAAATTTAAAAAGTCAAAATATCTTTTATCATCAGTGATCGGATAATAAGATGCACATTTACCTTAAGTGGAGAAGTTCAGATGTTGGCAGTTATGGAATGCACTTTTGTATAGATTTTTAGCTTGCCGTACCTTAAAGGATACTAACGGGACCCTCTTACTAAGACTCCGCTATCCATTTGTCTGTCATTAGCCTTTATCGCAGGAACCGTGATAACTAGACAGTTAAAATATTCACGAATTATGTATCTCTGTTGCCGCTGTAACACCAAATACTAAAAACATAATTAAATATTATTTAAGAAAGCTCCGCTACAAACGTTTTTTTTTGCATTTTTATAATGTACCCTTTGTGTGTGAGTCCAGCTCGCAGATTTTTTTTAATTAACTCATTACTATAGCTAAAATAAAATTTATTAATAAATGTAATCCTGGATTTTATTAAAATACCACATACTATGTTAACAAATTTGGCAATCTTAAATTATCTGTAAATATGCCCATTATCCGATCACCGGTTATCATGCTTCACTATTTAAAATAGCTTTTTAGTCATTTTATTTATATTTTATTTTATATTATTTAATAACAACTTTCCCTTCCCCGACTAAGTATCTATCTATCTAGTAAAGCATAAATATGGTACGATACTGTACGTTAACAATAGACTGTTCGTTTATAAGATCTAACTAATAAGGTACGTATCGATACGAACAGCGAAGATTCAAAAAGGATCGAAAAATCACATTAAACCACAAAATCTAATAAATGCAAGGGCTGATCTGGCTTTGGCGTCAGGAGTAGTCATATAGTCGTGGTCAAATCATAAGAAGTTAATTTTGATATTAATACGTCCAGTCTTATATAATCTATATTGGGAAAATAACATATGATGTATAACAATTTTAATTAGTAGTCCACCTTGGCCCTTGACCTAGCCCAGAGGGGGAAGGTCATTACCCCCCGTTAACAACACCTCCCCCCTGGAACCGCCCTTGAAAAAATTAATATTACTAAACACTAATAAATACCAAACGATCAATAAGCGAAATGGAATATGCAAGTTGGTCAGTGCAAACCAAAAAAAAAAATAACATGGGAATTCATAAAGCTCATGTAGACAAATGTGTTAAACAACATGAACGAATTAAAGCACAGCGATGGTGCGTTCACACAGGTTATTGATAACGAGCAAAATTCAAAATGTATTGGTCCATTAATATCACTGTTTCAGATATAATTGAAAACCCGCAAAATCGGTATCGGATGCATTCTCTCTAACAAACCCTTTTTACATTGCGAAAAAAGTTCCACCATACAGCGTATTACAGTATCTAACTTGTTAATGTCCCTATCCATTAATTACTTCACATTTTATGCTTTATTGATTCATGACTAGCTTGAGCCAATTTTATATGGTCTTGAACACTTTTTTTTTTATAAATGATAATAAAATGAAATTACTCTTACATTACATACCTATGTAAGGCCGTTTGTCCACCGCCGCCGTCACCGTCACGTCACCGAGAACGAGATTATTTCGGGCCGAATTTAATATGACGTAAAGGCGATCGTTTGTCCACCGCGACCGATTTCGCTGGTTTAGTTTATTCCAGCTGTCATGCGTGGTAGTCACGTTTACGAAGAAATAAAGTGATGGCTAGGTTAAACCGGCGACAACTTCTTCTACTGCTTTTGTACCTTCGAAAACGCAGGCGAAGCAAAGAATTTTGGGTTCATCCGCTAATACGTGAACGATACATCACAGGGGCGTTTTATGTACACCACGCCAAGTTGCGGCAGCATGACAAGAAATTTTTTAACTACTATTCCTATAGTGGTTTCCTTCGACATCCTTGTCGACGACTACGTTCGATTATATCCTATGTCATATTAAGGATAGCATCACACTCCAAAACACGAACTACAGGACATGCATACCACCAACTGAAATGTTAGCTGTAACGTTAAGGTACGTAGTAAAACATTACTCCATCACCGCAACTAGAAGACGCATGTAGTGTTGGGAAGGTCTGTACAGTTGGTAATGTCAGTCTGCGTCACTAAATGTGTCTTCTACTTGCGGCGATGTGTAGGAAGTAATACTTTTTATATTTTAATACTTATATTTATTTTAATAATAGTGTGAACTTATGAATCACAGGTAGTCACCTTACATGATAGTATGAATACCAAGGTCAAATTTTATAAAGCAACAAGTTACAATAATTCTACAGGCAAATTGACATTAATGACGCAGTCTCGATCAATCACGAATGCGGATTCCGTCAATGTTGCCAGTGATTTACCTGTAGCCTGTAACTTGTAGTTTTATAAAATAGGGCCCAGGTAGTTAGATTAAACTTACACACCTAAATTTTAGAAAAATCTTGGGAAAATAATTCACTAATAGATTGTATTTGTTGCTGAGGTGCATATTGCTGGGTTTCATGCTGGGGAGAAGTCAGTTGGTTTCCTTGGTGAGGTGCATACTGCTGGGTTTCACGCTGAGGTGAAGTCAGTTGGTGGAAGTTACCATGATCGGTAGGTGTAGCGAAACGACTGCGGTTTTAAATCTGCGAAGCAATTGCATAACTTCGATTCTAAAGTCAAACCTATCCTCGTCGTTCAATTGTTTGACGGATGGAAGGAGAGATATCAAAAATGCACGGTCATCGTCAATTAATTCAGATTCCGATGCAGCGGAATTTGCATGTATAGCTTTTAATATTTCTACATCGACCTCATTTAACCTTTTCGTTCCCCTTCGATTCGTGGTAGATGTGGATGTGGATATGGAAGGTATTGACTGGTCAAGGTTACTATGTGATGTTTGTTGGCTTTCGGGACGACTTTCAGAATCATTTTGAGTTGGTATGCTTGAATCAGTTTCGTCGGGTGTTACAGTCTTCAGTAGAAATTGTAGGTTATCACTGTAAATGTACTTTTTTTTTTGCGGCTTGTCCTGACTTAGTCTTAAGGGACTTTATAAATGTATCTCGAATATTACTCCACTTGATCATGACAGCACTTGCTGAAACAATAAAATTTAACAATTAACTTTCATTACAGATACCTCGCAAGTAGAAATACCTTCACCGATATGTCATATACCTTCCAACTGGGTATCAAGACTATAAGCAGGATAGTGACACAAGTGTGTCACCAAATATGGACTTTTTTAAGTGGTGAACACTTGGCTGCGCCTACTACTAAGCGATGGTTATTAATAGCGGAAGGATTTAAAAGAAGAGCTAAATTCCCAAACTGCATCGGTTGTGTCGATGGAAAACACATACGGATTGAAAAATTCCCGAAATCTGGCACTATGAACTTTAATTATAAGGGATATTTCTCAATTGTACTTCTGGCAGTACCTAGTTGATTCAGATTACAGATTCGTATATGTTGTTATCGGTTCATACGGTAAAGACTGCGACTCCGCTATTTTTCAACGTACAAACTTCTATCAACTACTCACTGAAGGCAGGTTGAGTATACCTCCACCTCCACCGCACTCATCTCAAAATAACAGAATGCCACATGTTATACTAGGCGATGGAGCTTTTCAGCTCACTGAACATTTATTACGTCCTTATGACGGTAACCATTTAGATGTGAAAAAACGTATTTATAACTATAGACATTGTCGTACACGAAGCTACGTTGAATGTGCATTTGGCATTATGGCCAATAAATGGCGAATATTTCATCGCCCTCTAAATGTAAACAAAAACCTTAGCAAAAGTATAGTTAAGGCATGCGTCGTTTTGCATAATATTGTACGTGCAAAAGATGGCTACAGAGGTGAGGATATGTTCATGTCTTTTATGCACGATGGGCTGTCTGATCTACTAAGGGAAAGAAGTGTACTGCATGGTGGGCGTACTGCTAATGACATAAGAAATAATTTTGCTGAATACTTTGTAAGCCCAGAAGGCTCCTTACCTTGGCAGATGGATAAAATCTAAACTTGTAATCATTTAATTAAAAACATACATACTAAACTACCATGTACTTACTAATTTCGTCTTTGTTTTTCTGGTCCATATCCTCAAAGTTCTGCTCTAAAAAGGCACAAACATCGCGCCATGCATTTCTACGCAAAACTTTATCTTTGGAGACTTCCTTGGTTTTAGCCCACAAACATTCTTTACTTTCTATAATTTCTATTAATGAATAAATATCGTATTTAAATTTTTTCGCCATTTTTATTACAATGTTATACTAATTAATGATAATTGATTACAAACAAAATAATAACTGAGCTCGTGTACGGTGCGACGGCGACGGCAGTGTGTGGACAAGTTCATACGTGTTTTGTTTTGCCGGCACATCGGCCCGGCAAAATCTCGGGCGACGATCTAGCGGTCACGCCGATCTACTCGCAATTTCGGCGGGCCGGGATGACGGCGCTCGGGTGACGGTATGCGGTGGACACGCGGCTAAGTAATGTAATGTAAATGTATGTACCGCTACTTTGGCGCCGTCATCTCGTTCTCGGTGACGTGACGGTGACGGCGGCGGTGGACAAACGGCCTAACAGTGGTTCAATGATTAAACCTATTTAACTTATAATCAGGGAAAATAAAAAGAAATACTCATTGATTTACACACACATCTATTGCATTATTAAATAAAATATTTAATTTATAACAAATTCTTACTATATTATCAAACAAAATTTTTTACTTAAAAACTAATGACTTTCTTTCTTGATAAATCGTAGGCCACAATATCCACAAGAATGATCTCCAGGTTTATCCTGAAATTTGTAACACCTTTATTTAGAAGTTTATGAAAACAATATTTTTCTCTGAGTAAAACATTGCATTCAAAGACATGATCCATGATCCTACCCACTCAAAAAGATTAGCCTATTATGTCTCATATTATAAGCTGTCTGACTATAACAGATATCAAGGCTTGTACATAATGCCTTATGTCCAAGTATTCATACTAATATATTTTGATAGGTACTTCTTTTTATAGTTATTAAATTAAAAAAATAATGTACAGTTCATTATGTTAATGTTATAATTAGTTGATTCTTCTTATCAGTCAAAACATGTCCTGAATATTTGTTAATCCATTGACAAACTGTAGAGAAAGATACTACTTGTCTATCAATTTGTCTTAACCTTGAGGGTGTCACTAAAGACATGACAGTATTCAAAATTCACCATAGCGATAACCAGACGCCTTATTGTCAAAATGAATGTATTTTTTTTAATTCGTTTTTACACAGTCAAGCTTTTTGTTTTTCTTTAATTTTTTTGTTGCTGCTGCAGTAGGTATAGGAAGTTGACATATTGCATTTAATGTATTTAATTATCCTGCGCTATGTACTGAGAAAATGTAGATACTCCATGGAATTTTCAGTAAAATAACTGCAGACATTGATGAAGCTGAATAAAACTTTTTTTTTTGTTTTATTTTACTCCATACAAACTGAATTTTCCCAACACAAACTGAAAGTAGTCAATTCTGTACCTCATGAGTATAGTTTTCAAACTAGATGGGCCATGAGAAACGATATACTATCAAAAAAATGTAAAACTAATTTGTATCAATAATAAAACCCTGAACCTGAAGGGAATGGGTGGAGTGGAACAAGAAACTTGTTGCTGAAGGTTACACTGAAAATTTTGTTTTTGACATGTTCCCTGAGGGGCCATCCATAAATTACGTCACACAAAATTCAAGATTTTAACACCCCCCTCCCCCCATCTTGTCACCTATTTATCTATATAAATTCTACTAAATATTGTTCTAATGTCACAGTTCCTTGACCCCCCCCCTCCTAAAGTGTGAAGTAATTTATGGATGACCCCTGACAACCATAGTTATATTCAGGTGTAGTTAATAGTTAAATAAAAGCTATTAATATTTGATGTGGTGTGTGTAAAGATAATTTTCTTAAAAGCATTAATTTACCAGATTAATATAAACCCTTGGATGACCTTCTGGTCCACTGCCGCCATCACACCACACAACTCTGTCAGTTACTTCCTTTGGTGGAACTTCTGCTATCAAGTTGACTGCCCAGTTTGGATTCACTTGCTTAGGTGCACTGGTGAATCTGACCAATCTATAATCATCAGAATCCCATTTCTGAAAACAGAAATATCTTTAGAGCACAACATAGCTATCAACTTGTACATTCAAAACAAATGCCATTAATATATCTGTCAATCTCTAAATACAAATTATGATTTAAATCTCCTCCTAAATAATTGATAAAAACATCTACGAGGGTCAAACTGAAAGTTCTTAGAACTGGCCACTTATAAACAATATAATAAAAAAATAATTCTAAAATTTGAAAATATAACTCTTTGCCAATATTACTGAGTATATATTTCATTCATTTGTCATTTGTTTTACGATTTGGCGGCAAATTGAAAATTGTCTGTGTCACGTCATCATGAATTTAACACGAGAAAATTTTCGTGCAATGATTTTTTATGACTTTCGATGTCATTTAAGTCAACAAGAAAGTTATGATAGACTACGATTGGCCTTTCACGATGAAGCCCCATCTCGTGCGACTGTTTACAACTGGTTTAATGAGTTTAAACGTGGTCGCACTAATCTCACTGATGATTTACGTGAGGGACGGCCTTCTACGGCGACGACTGAAGATAACATCTGTGTTGTGCGGCGTATGATAGAGACTGACAAAAGAGTGACCTATCAACAGATTCGGACAAGCTTAGGCATCGGTATGAGTCAAGTGCACAAAATCCTCCACGAACATTTAGCGGTCAGGAAGCTTTGCGCCCGGTGGATACCTCATAATTTGACTGAGGCTCAAAAACTCCATCGTGTGGATTGGTGTCGTAAAATGATTGAAAGATTTAACGGAGGTGACTCAAATGCTGTGTTCGACATACTAACAGGTGACGAAAGCTGGATTTACTGTTATGATCCTAAAACCAAAAGACAATCTGCTCAGTGGGTGTTTCCTTTCGAGGAGTTGCCAACTAAAGTGAAGAGAGATCGAAGTGCGGGAAAAAAAATGGTGGCCTCGTTCTTTGGAAGGATAGGTCATTTTGCAACAATTGTGTTAGAGGATCAAAAAACAGTTTCTGCAGAATGGTACACTACCAATTGTTTGCCACTTGTCTTGGAAAAAGTTCGAGAGAAACGACCTCGCAGTAGGATCCTCCTTCACCACGACAACGCCTCGTCGCACACCGCCAAGCGAACGATCGACTATTTGGCGACATCAAACGTTGAATTACTGGGTCACCCGCCGTATAGCCCCGACCTCGCGCCTTGTGATTTTTATTTATTTCCAAAAATTAAAGAAAAACTTAAAGGAAAGCGGTTTATGAATGCTGAAGAAGCGGTGGCTGCGTATCGCGATGCCATTGAAGAGACCCCTAAGGACGAGTGGGCAAAGTGCTTTTCCCAGTGGTTCCATCGCATGCAGCGGTGTATTGACGTGAATGGACAATATTTTGAAAAGATATAATAAAACTAATAACTGGCTAATGTAATCAGTTTTTGATTTTCTAAGAACTTTCAGTTTGACCCTCGTATTTATATCAATATTATAATTATATCCATGTCATGATATTAATCAATATTAAATTATTTAAGCCGTTTTACACAGGAGTTAATAATAACCTTACTAATATTATAAAGGTAAAGGTTTGTAAGTTTGGTAAAGGTTTTAAAGGTTTGTATGTCTGTTACTTCATAGAAAAACTACTCAAGAGATTTTGATGGGAATTTGTTATATGAACAATTCTAAGCCTGGATTAACATATAGGCTACATTGTGTCCTACTAAACAGTTCCCTAGGGACCACATAGGCGAAGCTGCTGACAGAAAGCTAATAAGTTATAAATTAAGTAGCCAAGACCCTAGTAATGTAGAAATTTGAAACAACAAAGGTACCACTCAAATATGAGACAACATAAGGAAAATAAATTTCTGTATCTATTATATTGACTGGGCATCAAAGCCAGGGTGTTAGAGGTGGCGATACCTTGGAATCGGCTTGCAAGCCTATCATTTTGCTGAGGTGCTAATGTTTTTTTAATATAGTTTCCACATAGTTCCATATTATCAATAGATAATAGATGTGATATCAATGATATACATGAGGTAGCAAATAAAGAAAAAACATCAGTTAGCTACTAATTCAATGAGCATGTAATACTACGTTGTTTACGTAATTGTCTGCTGATATTATATATTAGTAAGTACGTATTATAGTTTATGTAAACTACATAAGGGGAAAAAATTGGTTTATGCGGTACAGATTTTTATTACATACGTAATAAAGAAAATTACGAGAACAGTAGAGGGATCGACGAAATTACAAACCTGGCCAGTATGAGTTGGTACATCATCAATTTTATTAGTTAAATGGCGCGTACCAATTGGTATGCTATTCCTTTTAGCAATAGATATCATCAAAGGATAAATACGTCGACAAGTATTATTCATTTTTCTTGATATTCAGATTAATTTAGTAATAAAATACAGTCCAATTTGTTATTGGTAGTACTGACATTAGTACCCGTATTATTATTACTCATGGCTCGATTCGATGCATTTCGATGTCGATGAGTGATATCGCACGAATCGCACGCCCATATACAATGTATGGAGAATCGCAAAGGTTTGTAGGTACTCATGAAATTGCACACTCTGTCGATATAAATCACAAATCTCCTCAACATCGAATTGCATGTACGTACGTACGGCTTGTGATATCACTACAAATGTATGAAGGCGGTTGCGCTCGATTTGCTTTCTATCTAATTTCGATTATCTGTTCAGTAAAATCGAGAATCGATTCAGTCAGTTGCGCACTCTTACAATATCGTCAAAATAAATTACATTTGTCAAAAAATATGACAACATCCCTTCTAAATAATCAAGTGAAAAGCTCGATGATGTTTAATTAACTTAACCTGCGATTGTGAAGGTTAAGCAACGATCGCAAAGGCCGATAATCGGATGGGTTGTCAATTTTGTTTGGCTGCACGATTTAGATGAACCACGCGAGGCTACTTACTGGATGGATGGATTACTGAATGGAGTATTCGTGCTTTAGCGTCACCAATCCTCATTAGGACATGACAGAAGAAGCCTGGATTGATTGGTTCCCTAGGGATAAAAGTGCTGACAAGCCATCATTAAGCTGCACAAGCGAAACTGTTGGCGGAAAGCTAGAATTCAATTATCATACAACAAATTATTTTAGATTACTTTCTCAAAACTGTAACCATGATTGAAAACGTATTAATGAAGCCGTAGCTGGGTGGTTCGCTCGTCGATTTCAAGGCCTTTGCGAACATTTCTTTATCTTCATGATCGCAGATCAAAAGTGCTAACCTATTGTACACGTAGACGTAAAACCGTAAACACACACGCTTTTTATTTCATAAATAAAAATATATTGAATTTAGAAACAGTTGCTCGGTATACGGATCTCCAATAAATCGGTCGAATTTCGTCACGCTCCATTGATACGTTCATGCAATGAGGACGTATTAAAAAAAAAGAAAGCACTAAAAAGCACCTCACTAGATGGCGACTCTAGCAAAAGTTGATTTTTGCAGGAAACGAATGGACCAAAAATAGTCCGTTGCTTTTAAATATATTAAATAAATGAAATTTCTGTTTTTTTTTTAATATGGACCTGTTCCGTTAAACACGGAAATTTTGCGAACATCCCGTAGTGAAGTTAGAAACTTAGATGTCAATACAAATACAAACAGTACAAAAAGAATATGAGTTCTTTATTCAGTTTTGAAAATTAATCTACTTTTATATATGAAAGAAAACCGGTAGGGTTGTCATGGAGAAATCAATAAAGTAACGTAGCGACATCATCTTCTAACTTCATATACTTCCTCATTTAAATCGACGAGCGATTCGATATCGGTCGAATTGCATCGAGCCATAAGAAAATAGCCGTGCTCTCTATGAATTTTCAAAGGAAAACAATAATTACTAATTCAACCTAATATCTCTCCTAATATCATTACCTAAACCTTGGTTTCGAAAAGCGAAGCATGGAAGAAGAGCTACATGTACTCTTTCACGTATGCGTCTTAGATATGTTTGTTCTCCAGCATATTTACCAAACTTGGAATCATTAGCGATGTTACCTGCGAGTGTGGAATGGATACTGGAGATCTAAACCATATTTTTTTGCTTGTATACACTACGATCGCAGGGCTTCCTTAATGACGTATTGCCACTCCGTGTTTAAATAATATTAAACTCTAACCTTTCCTATATTCTATATGTATTATAAAATTGTGTAAACATATCTTCCTTCTCCTAATTCTTAAACCTTTTGAACCATTGATATTACAATAGTTCTTCTTCTTCTTTTTTATTCTTTTTTAATTAATGGCTTATCTGCGCATTTCGCACAATTCTGCCAATGTCAATTAATTCTTTGTAATTAATGGCGAAGGGTAGACAGAACATGTCAGTAGATATACGATGTCAAAAATTGTCCCCAGCATATACTATACATGAACATGGCACGATCATGAAGATAAAGTAAAAGAACTGGAGGCCAAACTCAGAACTATTGGTTGAAGCAAAGTTATTTGACCTCTATTGACCTTTCGTTGGACTCCTTCTTTCTCTTCCTTCCTTCTTTCGCTTTGTCATAAATCTAAATTTTCCCGGAACCTGTACCGGTCATTGATGTTATTCGCTAATTTTATATTTCATAAACTTTTTGACAAGTGGTACTAATAGTATAGTTTTACACGTCATTAATTGCATAGGACTTGAAACTTTATTTATATATCAGAAATAAGATTGTACATTGAATATACTCTGAAATCCAATCCAATGGAACAAAAAACTTAAACAAAAGGGTTATTAAGCAATAACTACAATTAAATAAAATCTATAATAAAAAATTGTACGCAAATACTATATAATCAGAAGGTAGATACATAGCTGCAAATTAATAAAAATTATTAACTTTTTAACGTCGTCATGTCAATCTCATTAATCAATAATACAGACTTGCAATTTAATTTGTTGAATTATTATTAAAACCTATAAATTGTAAAATTATATTCCACTATAGACCGTTTCACATGTTTCGAATGGATACGATGACATTTGTTAAGAGTTGATGAATAAATATTATTCTCAAATCCTGTTTTATATGTTGATCTTACAAACGTTTATCTCTATTAGAAATAAACTCAATAACATCGAGTTTTTGTATCTAAAAACTTCAAACCCCATACATCACCGTACCCATGCTATGTCATAAGACACCGTAATTTTTTTTCTAAATTTCCCCATTGTTGTGGTAAATGGCATCCTCAAAAAATGGCAACCTCGTGTGTGTCAATATGGCGAATGACAATTACTAATTTTGTCGATTCGAAAATTGTGATTCATATATAAACGTTTCTCGCTATCAAATCGTGAAAAGTGGTTCAGAAATGTGTAGTCCTAGGTTGCGCAAGCAAATTGTATCCTGGGTGTTCTTTGATATTTCACAGGTGAGTCGTAAGTTACTATAATTGATGACTGCTTGCATTTTATAAAAATAATGTTTTTAACGTAGAATCCTTCAATTATTGATCATTTACAATAATATGGTATATAAAGTAATATATGATTTAATTGTTTACAGTAGTATATTTCAGAAATTTTCTAATAAAAGCACAGTTCACATTGTAAAATAAAAATAAACAAACACTAATATGGTGACCATGAAAAAAAGATAAAGGATAAACAGTAAAACTGAACTTAATATTTTTTATTTCACTTTTAGTTTTTCCAAGGATCCAATAAGTAGAAGTCAATGGTTATTGAGTGTCAAATAAAAATAAAAGTTTTATAAAACTGCAAAAATATGCAATAATCATTTTGTGGCTACTGATTATATAATAGAGAATCGGTTAAAGCATACAACAATTCCTTTTTATTCTGATGTGGTAAGTAAAAGTCTATATTCTACTAATTAGGTACTAATTCTTAGGTAGCAAAAATAAAATACAAACTTGCGAGTGAAAAGGCGAACTTGTGGCTCGACGTCCTTTTTAAGTACGCGTATTTAAGATGACACACAAGCGAAAAAGGTCGTCGACCCACAAGTTCACGTTTGGAAGGAATAAAATATTTTTATTTTATTTAATGTAATATGTCATGAAAAAATGGTCGTGAAATATCTTAATTCCCTAATGGCAGGGTTTAGACAAAATAACCATAATTCGTTTTTTTTTTTTCAGTCGGTACAATCTGATCTAAAAAGTGATGCATTTACCAAGCCTTCTACACCTTCAACATCTCGTCGTAGGTTGTCCAATAGACTTGCTATGGTAACAATCAAATAGTATTTATTGTCATCAAAACTGTACTTTTTTAGTCACATATAAATTAAATTTAAAAATAACATATTGTTTTTTTATTTTTATCTGAGAATGACAATTACATCTGAGAATGTAAGAGAAGAATGTGATATATAAATCAGTAAATTGACTTAAGGGTGAAATATTTACTGGGTGCTTATTCCATTTCAATTCGGTCGGAAGGAAGGTAAGCTGACAATCGTAGTCTGCAGTCTTGTTGTTCACTTTGCAAATTAGATTTCCTCCGTGCATTGGAAGGCACGTTAAGCAGTTTGTCCTGATCATATCTGCAGTTGTAAAAACCCTCCAATCCGGAATGGACCCACTGTGGGTACATTAATAGGCTGGTGAAGTTTTTTGCCAACTCTAATTCCCACACTGCTAAGTTTAAATCAAACTCAATAATTTTTTTTATTTTATTTGAGAACCCCCTAACGAGACTCATTAAAACTTTTTAAATTTCCTCATTTTTCCCCCGAAAATAACCTTTATTTATAAAAACAAATTTAATTATTTTGAATATCTGTGTTTAGGTCAAAGAATGACAAATTTTACTAGATTTGGTCCAGTAGATTTGGAAAAAAGGCTTTTTGTGCGGAACTTTAATAAAGTCAATTTCATATTTGACGGAGAATCTAGATTAGATCTATTAATGTCATGTGTAAACTTTACTACCAAGGAAAATTTGATACTTTTTTTTGTTCTATTATTTAAACTTGTGTCCTTTATTTTGTAGTTGTGTGGACACCCTATTAGAAAGAGAGGAGGGGGGCCTAAGGAATGAAATAGAAAACATTCAAGGTCAAATTTTTATGCTTCAAGTAGGTATGGAGGAGTTTGGTCTCCAGTTATTTCTTTAGCTTCATGGGCACGATACTCTCCAATTATTCATAGAATATAATGAGGAAGTATAAAAAAAAACGAAAGCACTAAAAAGCACCTCCACAAGAGGGCGACTCTAGCAAAAGCTGATTTTTGCAGGAAATGAAAGGACCAAAAGACAGTCATTTCCGCTCCTTTTAATTAACATATTAAAAAACTGAAATTTGAAAAGTTCGAAACTTAGATATCAATACAAATACGAAAAAGTACAAATAGAATATGAGTTGTTTACTGAGTTTTGAAAACTAATTTACTTTTAAACATGAAAGAAAACCGGAAGGGTTGTCATGGAGAAATCAAGAACGTACCGTGGCGACATCTAGTTTTATTTCGGGAACTAATGTTTTTTTTTATATTCCCTCATTGAACATGACACAGAACCAAGGAACATATACTCTGTGCGAGAACTTGCACAGAATAGACGGATGGTTTAATACATGTTTGATGCCCGTTTTTACCTTTTATTTACGAGTTAGACTTCGATCAACAGTTCAACTTAAATATGTTGATGTCTATAATTATCATTTCGCCTTGTCGTTAGTGTATATAAGCTTTTCAAGCGATGAAATAAACTTCACATTGATATATAATATGTATAATAGCACGAGGGACAGATTTTTTAGCTCCGGAGTTAACTTCGATGTTCCGAATTCAAACCCCGTAGTATCTTAGGTTCAGTCTCATATAGATTTTCAAATAAATTTAGCTAGAGCGTAGACACTAAAGTCGAATAGTCCGTTCAGTTACTTCCATAATCTTTGACAGATTTTTTTCACTATTTGTAACCGGAGTATTTATGCATTCTTTTTATGACACATTTTTTATTTTTCTGATAAGAAATTAAAAATTATATATTTTTAATTGATTCGCGATAAAAATAAAATGTGGTCTTTAGATGACTTACTTATGTTGTTCTTACAGTTTTGTATAACACAGAATAGCATTTATAAAATGATTACGGTATATAATCGCACACAATGAACGCTTTCGCCACACTGCGCTCAGGTATGCTAATTAGCATTGTTTTAAGGTGATACTTTTTGAATTCAGGTTAACTATCTACTCTGTTTTTTTGTAATAACATCGTTCTGAACTGGTATTCGAGTGAAAAAATACATCACTGGAGTCTCTATGCATTCGAGTTATCAAGTCAACTCAGCGCATCGGGTTGATTCTCTTGCTACTAGGTCAATTAATGGTTAATTAAGATCGATAGCTGATGAAAACCATTGATAACATCGAGATATCGATGTTTTAATAATACATAAATATCGGAAAATTAATCTATATACTATTTGAAATAATTTTACATAAATTGGTCGTTCTAGTTACTTTGCATCTTTGTCGTACTGAAAAACAATTTTATTTGGTTTACATAACCATTTTATATTTTAAACACATGCGATTTTGTCACAATAAGTCACCATCTGTCGTTGTATTGACTCGAATTCCATCTTACAAGAGAGAAAATGCGAGAGATCACATAAAGAAAGTGGTTCCCGATGAGGAAGTATTAAAAAAAAATTAGTTCCCGAAGTCAAACTAGATATCGCTACGGTACGTTCTTTTGCTAGATTCGCCATCTAGTGGAGGTGCAATACTTTCTCATTACGGGCATACTATGAATAATACAATCGGTAAATATAGATATTTATTTGCGAACACATGTCTGGCATGGATATTTTTGATATCACCAGTAGGTGATATTAAATTGAAAACAAAAACAAGTAAAAAAATATGAATGCTGCGTCAAATTGATTTACTCTTTATACCATAGACCAGACACCATCCAACCTAGGATCCAACAATTTTATTAACAGAACACTTCCTCAATCGTATTTAAAGAACTTATTATTACAAAGTACATACAGTACAGTACATATTGTATTGTACCTATGTATATTTTTCGACGAGTTCGTCTGGTCACAGTTGGTCACACTGACTGATCATATGACATACCATCTATAAAAAAAATACTTTTTGTTCACATTGCTGTAAAGAGATTTCAAGTCAGTTCTGTCACCTATATTATTTCTATTACAACGTAGAAATTAAAAATATTTTGCTTTCGCCATGAATTTTGTATGCGAAAAAGCTTAGATGCTTCGTTAAAGAAGAAATAGAATCTACGAGCTATCGGGCTAAGTGCTCTCAGGTTCGCTTTATAGACTAATTAATATTTAAGGTATGTACATACTTTGGATATGTTTATAATATGCTGTTTGCATGCATAGAGAACTTATCGACTTTTACTTTAATAAAATTTTCCACTGACTAGAAACAACCTAATAGTGCTGCTTTCTGCACAGATAATTATTAATTGAAGGCGTTTGGAAAACAATGGCTGGTTTTGATAATAATAAAAGTAATCAGGATGACACAACTTGTGATAATGATATAGATATTACAGACCAAGATGTCAGTAATGATGACAATATGAGCGAAGGTAAAATTAATAAAATATAATCATTTAAAAAAACTCAATAGAGTACCTAAACTTGTTACCAAAAGGCTTTCTGTGCGCCCATAATATTTTATACTTAAACAATGTAATTCATTACATAATTTAATCTTCAATATTATCACATAATTTACTGACTTTTACACAAGAATTTATACTATACCTTACTAGCTCTGGCTCTTTGATCAGTCTGATCTGTATACCCATACAAATAATATTGGACTGATCCATCATGTTAAAAAGCTTTGTTTATTGAGTACATAATATTTTGTATTGTGGAACTGTAATCAATTAAGACATTTGTTATGTAAGAGCAATATTGATTGAGTTTATGTATGAAAGTTTATCTATAAATAAATATAAATTGTCTGTTTTAACAGAATACTATCTACTGGATTCAAAACTCGATGAGTTGAACTCAGCACTGGATTTTCTGGAAAAAAGGACTGATGATATTCATGAAAAGCTGAAAGAACTATTGCAGTCTAATATTGAAATAAGAAATGAACTAAGAAATGAAAATATGAAATCAAATTAGAACAACCAACACTCTCAAAACTATTCAATCTTCAATAATTGCAGACTAATATTATAATATAAAAAAGAAATACAATAGTAACAAAATGCTGCCTGTTTATTTTTAAATTCAAGTATTTTTATTAAAATAAAAGTAACTTGTTTCTTATTTCATCAATTGTGATTTCTTCATGTTTTAATGATACAAGTTTTTGTACATTATTGTAGAAAATCTTGTGTTTTAAATGTGTAATTCTTCTGTATACTAGTACTAAAAAAATTTTAGTATGTATGTAATAGATGCATTAGCAATTATGTACTTTTGTTTTCACTGTATCCTAAAATTTGCTAGTGCGTTGTCCTTATTTAATATTAGGCAAAATTACCGCGCTGCTATAAACTAATAATTGTGAACATTTTTCTTAAGTAATCAACCTATATGAAAGTAGTCAGCTTTTAGTATATTTTTTTAATTTTGAATAAAATTACTTGATTATTAAATAAACCAATATGATTAATTCGAAATTTATTACTATTAAGTAAACATTTGTGTAATTCAAACTGTTACTGCATAACTTACATTCCACAGAGCTGTGATAAAAAAAAAATTACTCATAATATCCGCACATACCTATAAGTATATTTTATACACTTAAATGATGTCCCGCAAATTGCTAAAGTGCTAGAACCTTGTCTAATTAACACCTGTGTGATGTCATTTGAAAATAGAAAATATAGATAGCACGAAATGCAAGAGATAAACTATTAATTTATTATTGACGTATTTATGAATAATTCCCAAAATATTAATAATAGTTTCTATAGATAATTATAGTTTTCATGTTTTTTGCAAAAAAAAAAATCCAAAATGGCCAATTTATATGTTTAAAATGAGGTATGTACATCAATGGTAAACAAAAAATTAAGAAGAAAATAACATTTCCTTTTTAATAATGCGATAACCAGAGAAGAACATTTTTTTAAAGATCGCCATAGATAATTATGAATTGAGAGACATTAGATAAATTTATTTTTAATGAATCAGGTTTATTTGCTGTCGAAATCTAATAGTAGTCAACTATAACAACAACAAAAGAATAACAATCGAAATACAAAATTCTGGTACCAACTCGATAAATGTGCTCGTCAGTGTTTATTTATTAGTCATATTTGGCTTGTTACATATTTTGTGATCTGTGGACGTATTCATTCTCCAAGTGCAGTAGCAATTTGTGTTTTTAACTTAGAATAAATAAACTGTAAAAACCAATTATTGTTGCAACTTGCATGGCTTAGATTACACCTTTTTCTGGTAGAGAATGCCTTTAGCATTAAGTGTGCCATTTATTTGTTTGTTTTTTTTTTAAACGCAATATAGAAAAAATACTTAAAACAACTGCTCACGTTAAGCTATACAGTTTGTGTGTGTGTGAGTGCGCGCGCGCGTGTGTGTGTGTGTGTGTGTGTGTGTGTGTGTGTGTGTGTGTGTGTGTGTGTGTGTGTGTGTGTGTGTGTGTGTGTGTGTGTGTGTGTGTGTGTGTTTGTGCGTGCGTGCGTGTGTGTGTGTGTGTGCGTGTGTGTGTGTGTGTGTGCGCGCGCGCGCATGTGGTGTGTGCAGTTTGTGTGTGTTTTCACACACAAACTGCACACACCACAGACAAGTTTTGTGTTAATTTTAATGAGTGAAGTTTTTTTTACTTTCATGTACGCAAAAAAACCGACTTATGATGGCAAACTACAAATATATATTTGTATTAACGATCCAACAAGGAAATGGAAAGGTAATAATGGCTCTTTAGACCTGGGTTAACAGGGGATGTGTTTGAGTGGGATTTCACTAGAGTTTCAGCTTCAGCGAGTAGGGTAGCTAGAAACTCATTTGATGGCGTTCTCTGCTTGAGGGTTACTCGAAGCGCTGTCTTTACGCACTTTGCCATTCGCTCCCTAGCTCCGCCCATAAAAAGAGCTGATGGCGGTATAAATTTCCAGAGAATCTTCTCGTTTGCGACAAAATCTTCAGCAGCTCCATATAAAGATTTAAGCTCTTTGTTAGCGCCAACGAAAGCAGTGCCATTTTTAGAAATAATTTCACAGGGTGGACCTCGGCATGCTATAAAATGGCGTAGACACATAAGAGCTCTATTTGTGGATAGGGTGTGCACTACCTTTAAATTAATTGCCCTTGTTACTAGCAGGTCGGTACGGCTACGTAACGCTTTTCTACGACCGACAGCAACTATCAGGGGTCCGAACATCATTTTCAACCGTTTTATCTGTAATTACATCTAGATTAGGGTTATTAACATCGTCTGTAATATCAAGTTACTGTACAGCTAAGTCATCATTCATTCTTGTTTCGAATTGTATATTTGTGACTTCTGCTTTGCTATTTTTTCTTAATTTTCATTTTCAATTAGACTTTCATAAGTATCATTTTTGCTTTCGTAATACATTTCCTTTATTACCTTCACGTCTCTGTTTATCATTATATAATTTTTCTCTGGTATGAATATCCGATAACATTTTTCATTTGGCGCAATAGCCCTTTGATAGATTTAGGAGTTAGCTTTTCCCGGCGTATCTTTTTGTACACGAAAGCATTGCTTCCAAATATATGGAGATGATTCCGCGATGCTGGTCTGCCTACCTCTCAAATGGTGTTCTTGCGTTCAGCAACGCCGTTTTGTTGGGGCGTATAAGGTGCGGTACATGTGCGGTAAGTCGTCGCTTTATTCCTTAAATACTGTTCGAACTCTTTGTTTCTGTATTCAATCCCGTTGTTAAATTGTACTTAGTCTAGCCATAAATTCTGTTACTGGCTGTTTACATATATTAAAAAAAAAACATTAATATGAATTTCAAACATTACCGTTTACGATAAAAAAGGACATCTTTCCCGCCATTATTTTATGATTTTTGTTTAGAAATTATGTTTTGAAAAAAGAGTGGGGCGATAAAGATATTGGGATTGCAGTACTTGCGCTGCACAAAATAAGTAAGGAGCTAGCCGATATTTTTGATACATTGAAAAAGCTAGGGATTAGCCGAATGTTTGTGTATCGTACCATCCAGTTGTTATGAATCTGATAACTCTGATTAATAACGAGTTGAAATTCAATTAGTTCGAATTACGTAAACGCAATTCGAACCAATCCTTGAATAAATTTCTTTTTTTATTTGTTTGAAGGAAAATGGAAACTAATACGAGGGTCAAACTGAAAGTTCTTAAAAAATCAAAAACTGATTACATTAGCCAGTTATTAGTTTTATTATATCTTTTCAAAATATTGTCCATTCACGTCAATACACCGCTGCATGCGATGGAACCACTGGGAAAAGCACTTTGCCCACTCGTCCTTAGGGGTCTCTTCAATGGCATCGCGATACGCAGCCACCGCTTCTTCAGCATTCATAAACCGCTTTCCTTTAAGTTTTTCTTTAATTTTTGGAAATAAATAAAAATCACAAGGCGCGAGGTCGGGGCTATACGGCGGGTGACCCAGTAATTCAACGTTTGATGTCGCCAAATAGTCGATCGTTCGCTTGGCGGTGTGCGACGAGGCGTTGTCGTGGTGAAGGAGGATCCTACTGCGAGGTCGTTTCTCTCGAACTTTTTCCAAGACAAGTGGCAAACAATTGGTAGTGTACCATTCTGCAGAAACTGTTTTTTGATCCTCTAACACAATTGTTGCAAAATGACCTATCCTTCCAAAGAACGAGGCCACCATTTTTTTTCCCGCACTTCGATCTCTCTTCACTTTAGTTGGCAACTCCTCGAAAGGAAACACCCACTGAGCAGATTGTCTTTTGGTTTTAGGATCATAACAGTAAATCCAGCTTTCGTCACCTGTTAGTATGTCGAACACAGCATTTGAGTCACCTCCGTTAAATCTTTCAATCATTTTACGACACCAATCCACACGATGGAGTTTTTGAGCCTCAGTCAAATTATGAGGTATCCACCGGGCGCAAAGCTTCCTGACCGCTAAATGTTCGTGGAGGATTTTGTGCACTTGACTCATACCGATGCCTAAGCTTGTCCGAATCTGTTGATAGGTCACTCTTTTGTCAGTCTCAATCATACGCCGCACAACACAGATGTTATCTTCAGTCGTCGCCGTAGAAGGCCGTCCCTCACGTAAATCATCAGTGAGATTAGTGCGACCACGTTTAAACCAGTTGTAAACAGTCGCACGAGATGGGGCTTCATCGTGAAAGGCCAATCGTAGTCTATCATAACTTTCTTGTTGACTTAAATGACATCGAAAGTCATAAAAAATTATTGCACGAAAATTTTCTCGTGTTAAATTCATGATGACGTGACACAGACAATTTTCAATTTGCCGCCAAATCGTAAAACAAATGACAAATGAATGAAATATATACTCAGTAATATTGGCAAAGAGTTATATTTTCAAATTTTAGAATTATTTTTTTTATTATATTGTTTATAAGTGGCCAGTTCTAAGAACTTTCAGTTTGACCCTCGTATAATGGAAGTAAGCATAGAGAAATTTTTTTTAGAGTTTTAGGAACCATGTGGTGGTTGAAGGTGTGGTCCCTATTGTGGTGACGGAGACAACTGGCCAGGGAAACTAAAGGATAATTGTCTCCCTCCGAGCTAGGTGTTGTTAGCCCGGGGACCGCGGTCCAACCGATGTAGGTTGGACGTTCTATTTATGTTAATTGGTAATTAAACTTATTCTGTGTGATGTAGGTTTCTTTGTTCTAAATGTCTTGTAGTTATTAATTTATGTTGCTTGTATTGGTACAGCGCCATCTCGTTACTTGCCGTTGAAACTTATTGCAGTTCGTCTTGCTATCGATGGCTGTGACGATGCTTGTCTTCTCGCTATCGATTGTTGTGGCGATGTTACTGCGATGAATTAGATGTCGCTATGTATCAGTCGCCACAGTACTTTCCCCCTAGACCGAAGGTCGATCCATGTTGATAGTAGGTGGTATGCAGTCAGTGCTTCAGAGCTTGCAAGTGCCAGGTTGTGACGTCGGGACCGAAGCTGCTGGTGTGCAGGGCTGCCACGCCGGTGAGTTGTGTGTGAACTGAGGTCCGGTCGTGGGCTGCGAGGACCAGGTCGGGATGATGCCGTCGGGTGGTACCAAGGATCCAGGAAGCG